GTTTGCTCCACGTCTGGAGTTACCTCGGACCTCTTATGTTCCCTTCGAGCATTACTCCCGACAACATTCGGACTTTATGCAGACCATGCGGACGCTTGACAGCAGCGCTGTACTACCTCCGCGACAGCAGATGGTTATCGGTAGCATGATCAGGATCCGAAGATTGCGGGAGTTGTTTATATACTGAGCAGTTCGCATCCTAGTCCCCCATCTCGACCTCTTGGTCATTGGGACTAGGTGCGCATTCACTTTGTAGTAGATAGCATGCTTTATTGACTTGGTCATTGGGACTAGTGCTTTCGTGCTCACCGCCGGCACTCGTTGAGATCCTCCATCACCTAGCCTTGTGGTTTCGGCCACTTGTACGCCTACGCTTCTACGCTCCTACGCTCCGCTCCGTTCCGCCTACCTCCGACCCCTCCGAAGTTTCGGAGCTGTTTAGGAGTTTAGAGTACCGCCCCTGTTGTGTCCACAACACGCGGTATGAGGGGTTTTCGGGCCATTAGAACATTCAGTAGCACGTTGTCTTAGCATAATCACTCGAAATTACAGGTTTTTTGTGTTTCTACCATGTGTCCACCCCCTTAGGTTCGCAGGGGGTATCAGGGGTGGACATGTCCACCCCGGAGGTTCGGGTTCGGAGGGGGGGGTGGACAGGGGACCGAACCTATGGTCGAAATGGTACAGTATGGCGCAGTGGATGTATGCCGTACTCTTTTTTGCTAAGTTCTATATGTCCTCCGCGAGACTCACGTTACGTTGCAGGTTCATCCCATCTTCATAAGCATGCACCCAGTCGTCGCTCTCCGTTGCCTGGCAAGGCCATACTCTTATGCTGCCCAAGGATGAAGTCCTAACCGGACGGCGAAGCTTGAAGCATCCCCAAACTTGCGTCTTTGCCTTACTCGATGCCTTCACTAGGCCTGAATACCAACCGATCCCTCTCTCCAGCCCGTGTTCTTTGCGTCGACCCCAGCACCAGGCTGCGCGCCGTGCCGATTCGCACCGCGCTCCAGGAATTCGAGATGTTTAAGCCATCGCTCGAGCAGATAGCGCTCTTCCTCGCCAAACAGGCTAAGACCCGAGCCGAGACTCTCCCTCTCACCCTTTCTGGCACTCGACCCTCGACCCACCTCCTGATCCTGATCCTGATCCATCGCAGCGCACTCGGCGGACTCAGAACTGGAGACGATGAGCTCGTACAGCGCGCTGACGTCCGTCTTCAGCCCATAGAGCGTTGACGCCCTGATGCGCTCCTCTGTACTCGTCTCCTTCCCAGCTTCCTGCTTCTCCTCCTGCATCTGCTGAAGACTCTCCCCACCGTAGAACACCCCAAAGAACCTGGGCAGCAAGCCCGCCGCAATCGTCGCCTTTGACGCCGGTGCGCCATACAGCCCCTCCTCCGAACTGATGTCGCTGAGATTGTCGCCGTCGGCGTTAGCGTCATTGCCAGCTCCAGCGTTGACGCCGCCGAATGGAGCTACGGCCGCCCTCGGGCCCAAATTCAGACTCGACAACAAGCCCGCCTCCCCAATAGGCCGCATCTTTGGGCTCCACGCCCTCTGCCCCATCCGCAGACCCTTGCGCCCGGGCATCCTCAGCTCGCCCCGCGAACAGTGGTCCTCCGCGCACTTGAGCAGCGCGCCGACGCCCATCGAGCCGAGCGTCTCGCTCGCGGGGAGCGGGGAGCGCTTCGCAGCGATCGTGCCGAGTGGAGAGGCGCGTGTCAGCGGGGCAGGGCACGCGGGGACAGGCAGCGGCGTAGGCGGCGCGTTGGAGTACAAGAAGGAGGGGAGAGAGGGCAGGGAGAGGCCGGTGCCGAGCCCGGCGTTGTGTACGCGGGCGGCGAGGGAGGAGCGTGTGCGAGACACCGTGCATGAGCCTAAACGCGAGGACCATGGAGTGCGCATAGTGTGTGGGTTTGGAGGCGGGGAGAAGACGGATGGGCGGGTGGGCATGGTATGGGATATGATACCTGGTGGGCTCATGGGTACAGGTATGGGAGACGAAGACAGCATGCGTGCTGCCACAGGAGTGTTTGCATTCGAGTTCATAGGAGAGAGAGAGGGTAACAAGGACGCAACAGGCGACATCGAGGGAGGCCATGGTGACGGTGCCCACGACGTCGGCACGGTCGTGTTCATGCCAGACGCGAGGCGCGGGGAAGGCGATAGCGTAGGTGAAAGATATGACAATGACAACGAAGACATTGCAGGCCCTTCAGCCATCTCCGCATCCTGATCCTCGGGCCTTCCTGGATTTACATGCATCTGCGTTGATCGCGGAACCGGCGCCTGAACCTTCAGCTGCATCAGCTCCTCCGCAGGCGTCGCCAGCCTCGTCGGCCCGGCCGGCGTTGGCGGTACGATCATGAATGCGCCGTCGAAGGGTGTCACCCCCATTGTACCGCCAGCATCCCGACCAAGCCCAGTACCCAGACCCAAGGAGCCGATGCCCAGCGTGGACTCGTCCTCACTCGCGAACGCCTCGCGCCGAGTGACCCACCCAGCGATAGCGACGAGCGTGCGGCCCCAGGTGATCTCCATCTGCCACTCCTCGCCTATGGGAACCTCAATATCGAGCCCGGGCTTGTCCTCGTCCTCGCCTTTCCCCTCTGCCGCACCCACCGCACCCTCCTCCTCCCTCTCCACTCCCCCTTCCCCTTCCCTCTCCGCCTCTGCCTCCTCCTCCGGCACCTCCGCTATCCCACTGAGCGGCACCGCCTCCCCCCACTTCACACGCGCCTCCACCGCCCTCCTCGCCCTCGCCCTCTCCCTTGTACGCTCAGCCACCCTATCAGCCTTCTCCCTCGCCCGCGCCTCGAAGCGCTCCCAGCCCCAGCCCATCGTGCCGCTCGTGCGGCACGGCAAGCCATCGGCGAGCTCGAACACGTCTGCGGCCGCGAGCCAGTACACGACCGGGTCGGCGGGCTCGCCGCCGAGCAGCTCCATCTCGGGCTGAGGTTCACATCCGGGGGCTGGCTTAGAGGCGGATTCCGTGGCAGTGTCGACGTCAATGTTGGCGTCGGCACGAACAGCAGGCGGCGGAACCGCTGAGAGCTCCTCAACGTCCATAGCGTTGCCCAGTCCACCAACCTCCTGCGTCTGCACCCGGGCCTGTCCGAGCGCCTCAGCATCATGATGAGCCCGTGCGAGATCATGCACAGGCCCCCGCGTGAACGCTGCCAGGTTCTGCGCAAAATACGAGGACGAGGAGGAAGCTTGCCCCTGAGCGCTCGCTCTCGAAGGCGAACGGCGCACCTCGCCCTCGTCCTCCAAGACGTTCGACAGCGGCGTCGGCGGGCCAGACGCAGGCGGGGCCGTTGCGACCGAGAACGGTGTGTCCACAGCGGGCGGGGAGACGTGGTGTGGGGCTTGCGGGAGAGGCGGGCCGATCGTGGTTGCGGTCGTGGGCACCTGTGTCACAGCAGGAACCCGAGGATCCTGATCCCCGCCCCGAGTCTGCGCTGTCAACCCCTGCGCGAGCGCCTTCCCGAACAAAAAAAGCGCTGTGCCGAGGATAGTGTGCACTGCCGACGGCGGATCGGTGTACCTCATCGGCTCCCTGTGGCATTTACAAATAAAACCCTCAAAACAAGGAACACAGAAAAAAGACAGACAAGATCAACCCATCAGCCTTCCGAAGAAAAATGCCACAAAAAAAACACGCACGGCTCCATGCCCTCATACCCACGCATAAGCTCCTCCGTATTGGGCCCCCCGTAATTTGTGCTTGACGTCCGCTTCGACTTGCTCAGCATTGACGCCGAGCGCGAGAGCGAGAGCGACTGCGTCGACGCATTGTTGCGGTTGTAGTTTTTCAGCTTCTGCACCGACACAGCCAGCTTCGCATTCAGATTCTGCATCGACATCGTCGGCGGCAGCGGGACCAGCGTCGCTGACGACGCACTCGTGCTCATCTTGCGGGGCACATGTGATGGCGACGGCGCGCCGCTCCTGTGTCTTCCCTCCGACGATGCAGTCTTGTTCTGGTTCTTGGTTGGAGTCTTGTCGCTCTGCGGCGGTTCCTTGTTGCCGTCCCTAATGGTGGTAGTGCCAGCACTGCTCCGCCTCGAAAGCAGTGTCGACCGCGTCGGCTCGCGCAGCTGCACTAGCTCGTCCCTGGACCTGTCCAACACCGGCCCCCCATCTGAACCCGTATCGCCATCCGTCGAATCCAAAAACGGGTCCTCTTCGTCCTTGTCCCGCGTGAGAAAGAACTCGGCCGGGTCCTCGACGGTCTGCAGAAAATACGTGCACCGGTGGATAACCGCGCGGAGCGCCGGGAGCGCGGTCAGCGGCGAACCTGTCATATGTTGCAGAGGCGGGGCGTCCGTCGAAGAGTAGTCGTCAGCCACCCGAGAAACATAAAAAAGAAAGGGATAAAAAATTAGAAACGAGCACGAACTGATACGGACCATCGTACGCCCTCAACATACCCACAAACGCGCCCTTGAGCGCCGTCCAGTCCACCCTCGTAAATCCACCGACACCGTCCCCTTCTTCGATATCGGCCCCCATCGCCTCCGCCACTGCGCGCGCGCGCTTCACCCGCGCCACGCCCGGTCCGTCAGCAACGATGCTCACCGCCCAGTCCTCCTCCCCTCCCCTGCCTGCCCGCCCGCACCCATGCGACCGCGCCGGCAACACACTGCGCCGATCGCCACCGACATCGACGTCGACGCCGAGCGTGCGGTACTCGATCTCGCAGCGTGCGCTGCGGAACTTGATGGGCGCACGCGCGCTCATCCGGCTCCGGCTGCTGTTGGTGCTTGCACTACGGGTGCCTGCCTGCGCGCTCGCGAAGCTCGTGCTGGTGTCGGCGCTGGAACGGCTCGCGTTGGCGGCGCCGAGGATCGTAGTATCCACACTTGTTGTGTTGATCGTGCTTTGAGCGGTCGGCGATGGTCTCGACCGCGAGTGTGCATGCATCGGATAGGAGTGAGGGCGAGGATGAGCGATAGGGGCGGCGGCAGGAGGCGTAGGTATATGGTGGTGGGCAAGGGGCACTGGGGCACATAGATCGCCCGATCGAGGGGCACTGTTAACATTAGCTCCGTCGCTCGCTGTTTCCCCTCGAAGGTTATTGGCTCCTCCCCGCGGAGGGAGGGGGCCCATGAGATCGGCGCTGCTGGTGTTTGGAGAGCTCATGTGCACGTCCGGGTCTTCTTCCTGGGACTGTGATGGTGCGGACCGGTTAAGGTTGAGTATGAGCTCGTCGGATGATATACGCCGCCGTTTGGAGGCGATGGTGTTGGTGCTGCTTGCAACGCCGTAGTTGCTGTTGGTGTTGGTGTTCAAGCCAGATGAGTCGATCCTGTCGTCCCGGTCTGCATATGAGGGCTGGCCATAACGGTCGTGCGGGTGCGAGCGCGAACGTGGACGCGAAGAAAAGGAGGGTGACCATTGGTATGCCTGCGAAGTGTGGTAGTCGCTCTCGTGAAGTTGAATATCGCTCAGGCTCGGAGACGTGGATCTGGGTGGGTCTGGTGGAGTATGTGGGGCGTTGACCGGAGGTGGAGTGAGAGGCACGTCGTGGTCGTATGAGCGGGCACTCTTCCGTGCGCGGGGACGCTTTAGCGTAAGGCGAGTCGGGGTGGGTGGAGAGATGGAGGGCTCGGAGGCGATGGGGGAGTGGGTGAGCGGGTGAGGGTAGGTGGGGGAGGTAGTGGTTGCAACCATAGGTAAGCTAGCCTGGGCTCAGAGCCAGCTAAAGACTGTAGCTGTGTGGAGCCGATGATGTTTGGAGCGAGGAGTCGGTGCCTTGGTGCCTATGGAGCAGTTGAATTGCCTCGGAGTCGTCCTCGAGGTGGAGATACCAGTGAGAAAAGCAAAAGTTGACAAAAGGCTCGAAAGGTGGGCCATCGTGAGGCTGCCATTGAAGAGCAGAGGATGAGTCTAGAGCAACACCAAGTCTCGAAGAGTCCAACGAGGGTCCAAGAAAGTCGCAACACGTCCGCGATTGGTCCAATCAGGCGCCCAGACCACCCACACCGCGACAATCCGCTGCACAACACTCCCACGTGACAGCGTCGACCGCGCGGGCCCTCGCTATTAATCCTAACCTCACTACTCAAGTTGAAGTCTCGGAGAACAGGGTTTTTAAAAGGACCTTCGCTTGCGTGAACCAGGCAAACACAATCATCGATCAAGAGCGCTACATAAACATCAGACTCGTGAATAAGTACTAGTCCCAGACATCAAACCCTGAGAGGAGCAGCGCGCGCAACCTGCATGCCCTCCGGCAACACGCGCCGTCTCTGGGGCACCTCAAACAAGAACGGCTCTTTGCCAGGCCGCCGCAGCGTGCACAGCGCGCCCCCAACAACGCTAAACCGCTCCTCCCCCTGTAAAAGCTCTTTCGGGGGAATGCCCGCGTTGGCCTCCCAGCTACTGAGCCGCCCCGCGCACAGAACCGACAGTGTCCCCGCCACAGGAGTGACATGGAATGAGAATCCGAGCTCGAAAGAGTTCACCGCGTCCTGTGACGCGGTGTCGTAGACGTCCATGCACCACTGGCCCTCTTGTTCCAAACCGCCGTTCCAGAACCTGATCACGAGACTATCGGTGTCGGGAATATGGACGACTTGGACGTCCTCGTTCGCAGGATCTTCGTCCGGTAAGGGTTTCCTCTGTTGAAGTGGGTGATCAAGATTAAAGAGGGACTGCAGCGCGAGGACTTACACCTCGCTGCCTAATCTTTCCTCCATTCCGGTCTATCATCCTGCTCATATCTGCATCGAACCGACGGCGCCACTCGGACCACTGCGATTTCGGGATGCGCCATTCTCGGAGCTGCTTGTTTATCTGCTCGTCCGACATATAGTAACGATCAAGACCAGTCCCTGTATCACAGTTGTCGTACAGGTACTGTTCAAAGCGGTTGCGCATCGCTCTCGGCTTGTCCTTCGAAATGAGCGGAAAGCGCTTGCTTGGTGCCATGGGGCCGTTCGTAATCGCATACGGCAGATGCGGGACGTTGTAAACCTATGTAGAACAAGTAAGTTAGAGTGAATGGAGCTCTCAAGACTCTTATATGACAGACTTTGGGTCTGGGATTTGCTCGGGGCATGTTGATCGTGACGAACGTACGCTGCGCGAGGAGGTTGTGAAGAACGACGCGTTGCGCGTACGCGTCTTAGATTAAACTTCATCACATGATGATAGCTAATTCTCACGCTTTTCATCCATTATCGACTGAACAAATCCTTTCTTGATACCATGCACCTGCTATATGAAGTTCATAATGCATTTTTCCATTGTGATATAATTACGAGTACTGTACTGAATACGAGTCTTGACACATCCACTCTAAACCTCACAGAGGAACAGGTCGTGCAACCTGCATGCCCTCTGGTAGTAACCGAGACCTCCGGGGCACCTCAAACAAGAATGGTTTCTTGCCAGACCGCCTCAGAGTACAAAGCGCACCCGCAACAATGCTAAACCGCTCCTGCCCCGGCTTTACATCTTTCGGTGCAATGCCCGCATTAACCTCCCAACTCGTGAGTTGTCCCGCGCACAGAACTGAGAGTGTCCCTGATACAGGAGAGACATGGAACGAGAACCCGAGACCGAAAGAGTTCACCGCTTCCTGGGACTCGGTATCGTAGATATCCATGCAAAATTGACGTTCTCGTTGCACCCCGCCGTCCCAAAACCTGATTACCAAATGATCGGTATCAGGAATGCAGACAACTTGAACGTTTTCGACTGCAGGATCCTCGTCTGGTAAAGGCTTTCTCTACATTGGATGAGAGACTGAAGGAAGAACTGATGACGGGAGACTTACACCTCGTTGCCTAATCTTTCCATTCTTGTCCAGCCACCCATTTAGCGTTGCATCGTACTGACGGCGGTTTTTAGCCCACTCTGACTCCGGAATACCCCATTTTCGGAAGCGTTTGTTCAGCTGCTCGTCGGTCATATAGTATCGTTCAAGGACGTTGGTCCCTGTGTCCATGTGGTCGTACATGTATTGTTCAAAACGATTGCGCATTACCCTCGGCGGCTTGAGCTTTGAGGCCAGCGGGTGGCGCTTGCTTAGTGACAGGGGGCTGTTCATAGCGTTCGGCTGCGAGTTATGATTGACCTATGTAGAGGGAGCGCATCAGTGTAAAGCAGGCTAGCAGGGACTTTATATGACAGACTTGAACCTTGGAGTTTATTCGAGGCATATCGATCGTGACGAACGTACGCTGCGAGGAAGTGAGGGGGAGTGAATATTGAGGCTGCAGCCTAATTAAAACGCGTCTTCAACACGATCACATGATGTAAACGTCTCAACGCTCACTTCAACGTCGAAATCCCCAGTTGTTCGCTATATAAGCGATCTTCCGCATTTGCTTGTAAACCCAGGGGGTCGTGGCACAATAGTGCCGCTATTATGGAGTGATAACTTGAACATGTATGGAAACAAGGTATTAAAGCGTTTACCGTTCTAGATCTACTCAGCTGTAAGTGTCTTGTGCATGCATAAATATGTGGTATTCAGAATCCAGCCACCTCTTTCCCAATCTCATCCCCCCTGGGAGATCCAACCCGACCAGATCTCATCCCCTTGTCCGTCCGCCCTTGCCCCACTTCTCAAGCAGGAATGCCAACATGAACTCATACACCTCCCTATACGCCCCTCTCACCTTCATCCCATGCTCGCTGTCCGTGAACATCCGGAACCAGAACCCGCGCACCTGGTCCGCCGTGAGCATATCCAAGAGATGCGCCGAGTTGGCGTAGTGCACGTTATCGTCGCCCGAGCCGTGCGCGAGGAGGAAGTCGACGTTGTGGAAACCCTCGACGTGCGAGATCGAGGCGTTGACGTATCCGTCCGGATTTGTCGAAGGCAGACCCATGTAGCGTTCCGTGTAGACCGAGTCTGTGAACGGGTTAGGCAGTGATACTGTGTGGGACGAGCCGTACGACTGACCATAGTATCGCCAGCTCGTGACGGGCTATAAGGCGACACGAATAAGCTGAGGCAGACCCCGCGTGAATCAGCAAGGACTACTCACCGCTACTGACATGGCCAACGAATGCACCCCCGCATTTGCCTCGGCGACTTTGGATCCCATAAAGCCACCAAACGACTATAATAAACCAACCCATTAACCCAAGCAATGTGATAATCACAACACAAAAGCACTCACCCATCCCCACACCCCAATCCTCGTCCGATCTACATAACTCTTGCCCGCCCAGATCCTCGCCGCGTTAATCTGATCGACCGTCTCCCAATAGCCCAAGTTGTTCTTGACCGGGTTCCGCAGGTTGCGCCCCTTGAACCCAGTCCCGCGCCCATCGACGGTCACGACAATGTACTGCAGTCCGCAGACGAGATAATCGTGCCAGTCGCGCTTGTAGTCCACGTTCACCTGCTGGCTCACCGGCCCGCCGTATACGAAGAATAGCACAGGATACTTGGTCCGACCCGAGTCGTCCATCCGAGGAGGGCGCATTTCGCGTACATTGAGCTCTGGATCGAGGTTGTTCAGCGTTGAGCCGTCATGAGATGAAGTGAAAGAGACTAACCGTAGCCATCGCTCTCAATCGTCGAGTACGTTACCACTGGCGCCTCGAACTCGGCGAGCGTCGCATTGAGCTGGCTGTGCTCCGTTAGGACGTACTCGAAATCTGCATATTATCGCCTTCAACATCTATACCTCCAACGATAGATAATAAGACATGCGCACCTTCATTGTCAACCTGCACCACTCTCTGCCACGGCACATTTGGCCCGCGGTAGTTGAGCAGATAAAACCCAGCCTTTGGCGAAAAGCTCGCTCCGTATGAGCCGGGCACGGACTCGTCCGTAAGCGACGTCGGCTCAGCGGGACCCTTGATCAGGTTCTCGATCGTCGGGATGGGCACAGAGTAAAGGTGCCGCTCGGTGGAGGGATTCGCTGCCTGGAAGTAGACCAGCCCGCGCGCGGCGTCGACGGCCTGGATTCCGTCCGTGACCTCCCACTCGCCCGTCGTGACGAACCGCGGCTGATCTGAGTCAACGGGGTCAAAAAGCGCGATGTGGTTGTAGCCGTTCGCGTCGGGGACAATGTCCAGGTAGGCGCCGTAGGTGCCGTATTGGTCTGTGCCCGGGAGAGGGAGGACCGTTTGGTGCTGGAGGCGACGACGAGTGTGAGCAATTCGTTACATAGGATGCAAAAAAGGGCGACTCACACTGTCAATCCACCCATCGTCGCCCTCTTCGCCGTCTTTGCCCAGCTTACGCACGACCTTGCCCACCGTGACATCATTCGAATACGCCAAATCGAAGTACACCACATTCCCATCATCCGCCGCCCTCGTAATTTCCTTCAGAATCAGGCTCCCATTGCCCACCCACGCCACCTCCGTGATCACGCTGTTATTCCTATCGATCCTCCCCTCCCAGTCGAGCTCATACGTTGCCCGGTCCGCCTCGTCAGGGTGTAGCCCGTCCGCCGTGTACGCAGAAAGGTCAAACACGCTCACGCTCGCGATTGGGTTGGCATATCCAGGCTTGGGGTACTTCATCACGACCTCGTCCGTGTATGGCACGATCTCGTACGAGTTCTGGGTCGGGTTGTACACGGGGAAGCGGAACTCGTCCACGAGCGTCTCGTCTAGGCTCAGGAACGCGAGCCGCGACGCGTCGGGTGACCACCAAAGCGCGAATTCGTCCTCGAATACTTCTTCTTCATAGACCCAGTCGGGCACACCGTGAAAGAGGGAGGCGTTGCCGGTCGAGGTGATGCGGATTGGGGTGGTGGAAGTACTATGGGCGAGAATGCGAGTAAGTCATGAGCGAGAATGCGGGATGGAGACGGATGCTTACGGGGAGGGTAGGACGTAGAGGTCGTTCGAAGTAACAAAGGCAATAGACTGGCCCGTTGGCGACCAAGCAGCATATGCAGTCACAGGAGGCTCACTGGGTGCCCTAAGAGGCACCGTCTCCTTTGTTTCTAGATTGTGAATATAGTAGTTCCCAAAACTGGAGTGCCTCCATTGCTGTATCCTGCTGTAAGCCGTACTACTCCTCGTTCGTTGGCTCTCGGGGCTCACCTTCTTCTGGTTTGCCTTAAGCATAATAAACTTCATATCCGCAGATAGCTTCCACTGGCTCCAAATGAGCATCGCGCCTTGCTCCTGACAAATGTACCACATGAGACACCAGCCAAGTCAGCCAAGCAAACGAATGAGCGCATACATCCCGAATGTCCGCCATAGACACCAAATTGGATGTAGTGTTAGTCTTGAGGTCAACAAGTTTGATAGTGCCGCCCTCGAATGTAGAGAAAACGCCGTCTCCCGCTATATATTGCTTGTCGTAAGCTATTTGTGGATAGTACAGGAGCACATTGGGCGCGTACCTTCAGGCACCCAGTCCAGACCCCGTGTATACGACGAAAACGTTCCGTTGAAGACGTGGTCCATGGTAATCTTGCGATGCCCATGTGAACGATAGCTGCCTTTGTAAAGAGTGGATGCCGCGAACACGCCAATACACGCCGCTAGGAAGACCAGCGCTGCAAGCGAGAGGACGAGGACCCGCAGTGGAGAACGCTGGATGCATAGACGAAGACCCGAGCGCTATATTAGAGGAGAGCACCTGCACAAGGCAGAGCACGCACCTTATCACCTCCCCCAAGCCTGAGCGTATGACTCGAACCACGCGCCTCCCCGTCCATCGCGCGCTCCGCGAGCGCGGGCGAGCGCTGTGCCATCTTCTCCAGCAACTCATCCTCGTCCTCGTCCGAGCTCGGTGCGTCGAACGGGCCCTCGCCATAGTAGATAGGCGGCCGTGAACCGCTGAGCGCTTCTTCTTCGGCTCCCGGTGGTGGTGGTATCGCCGAGTGCTCTGGCTCATCCATGAGCAGCCGGTCCTGGCTGGTGTTCTGCATGCCCATTCCGAGGAATTCTTCGCGGGGAAGGCGCGTGTACGATGAGGGTGAGGCCGGCATGGTCGGCGACAGCGATAGCAGCGGGGCCAACCAGGAATTGGTGGTGACTGCGCGTTGTCAGTTAGCGTAGGCGGTACGAACGTGTGTGACGGCTGTGGGGGAAAGAGGGGATAATATAGCACAGCCACTTTGCCCCTTACTCTTTCAACTTGATCAAGCATGGCAGTGCGTCATGAAACGAGAAAGTACTTTTGAAAATCAAGTCTACTAGACTCAACCCATAACTCTGTTTCTTTATACATGTGTTATATATCCAAGCAATTTGCAGGTACTAGAAATGAAAGAATGACTGGCAATTTCCTATGTATAAAAATCGACGCAAGCGCGTTGACGCAATGTAACGCCAAATCGTGTTTCAAAACCGTTACCCTGTGTCAGCACGAATGCCAATTCGTTTAGTTCCTTCATGATTGGTGCTAGCGACCAGGCTGCAAGCTGGCGAGCCCAACTTCCCTAAGATCAAGGCGTCCATTATGTCCGCGCACCCAGGCAGCACCATCAGTCATATCGTCCTCGGTGTCACCCACAACCTCATGAAGCTGCCGGCGGATCTCAGCGCTGAAGTTTGCCGACGCTAGCCCGAGGTTCTGTCCTTTGAGCGAGCGAAGGTCGCGAACGAACCTCTGGCCCGAAATCGAGAGAACTGGTCCAGAAAGCCTACGGGTTCGACTTTCGTCACATGTAACAGATAAAAGACTGAACAGGAAGCGTACGTACGTAATGTTCAGGAACCAGCGAGGATCCAAGCGGTCGCTCTAGAACGAAGTAACAAAAGCCACTTTAAGGTTGTTATGCCAAACGAGGGTTAATTCACAGACACTTACATTTCCCCACGACTTCCTGCGAATACACGACGAGCCATCGTTAGGCACGAACATTCATCAAGAGCAGCCGTAGTGACGCACCATATCATGATAGCGAATACGTTATCGAGAACACATGCCTACCACTACAATTAACCCGTGAAGCGTGACTCATTTTGCATCTGAAGCACTTACAGCATAAAGCAACAGCGCTTCGAAACTAGGTCAACATCATGCTCAGTTATTTATGGGGTGCAGATTCACCTGAAACCTCGAGGTGTCGCCTCAGACGCGTGCGGTACGGGCAATCCTGCTCGTATCTATGCAGACTGCACATCGTGCAGAGAAAAACACCTGTGTCAAGAAGCAGGCTGGCATCAATCAAAGCGAGCGTCGTCAGACATGCACAGGGTAAAGCGGAGACAACGTTCACTGTACCTTCCGATCCAAAAGGCGTACTGTCCATGTGGTCATAAGCTATGTCGTCTGACCTTGGGCATTGAACGAAACTTACCGACTCCTCTGAAAATCATGTTATCCCACCACATCTGAGTACATATAAACAACTCACCAGAAAGGAAGCCGACACATGTTCCGATCGTACCCAAGTACATGGACGTGTTCCCTGCCATCCGCAGGAGAGAACAGAAGCTAAGTTAGCGTGTAATGATACAAATGAATGCGCTTACAAACGGGATTTTGAGCAGACATTAGACAGACAGTCAGGGCAAGTCCCATGTATGCGGAATAAAGACCAATCAGAGCTATGGAGATTTTTCGGCGACAGCCCCAGATGACCCACGCTCGCAAGAGCACCAGAACTATAGCAGCGGCAATGTAAGCATGGATTACTGCGCTATAATTACCGAAACAGGTGTTACGTACTATGTAGACTCTCAGTGGAAAGCCATATAGACACGAGGACGAGAATATTGTATCTCCAACAGAACTGGAAAGCAGTAAGTCGACATGTCAGACTTTCCTCGGCGGAACCAAGTCAATAGATAATGAACTCATACCTTCGTATCCTCGCTCTGGTAAAGGACTCCAGTCCTCTCGATGCAGAAATAAGTCTGCAGCCCGATGTTGCCGTACTTATTGACCAGATATAGTGTTTTCACAAGCGACCACTCCGCTTTCCAGATGTATTCAATCTATCGATCGAGATCCATAAAGTAAATTAGCTCGGAATCCAAGACGCCGTCCACCGGACATCAAAATATGACGAATGAGACATTCAATCATGCAAGATGCTGGAATGTTGATCAAAGTGCGAGTATTCCCCCGTTGCGAAGGAAGGGTTGGCAGCAGCCAATGGACTGAGCCGAGACGCAGCCGAGAGGAGACGCAAGAGCCTGAGGGCAAAACATAGGCACTGACCTCTTTGTCCAAAGTAAGGAACAAATCATACACGACAACGGTATACCCAGCTGTGCCCGCGATGCTGCGATTTGCGAGTGAACATTAGCAACAAAGGCAAGGGCGAGGTCTTCATACGCACTACCGCTCAAAGAGGTGCTCCGAAAAGACGATCGGGACGTTAGAGAACCGCGGCGGCATCGAGCGCAATAGCTGAGTCATCGTCAACGAGCTGAAGTATGAGTTAGAATGCTGCGTTGCCAGTAAGGAAGGTTAAGGTGAGAAACGGAAACGAGAGACCATGGAAGAGGGCGAGAGGGTGTCCAGGGCCGGCGCAACCGGGTCACGGTATTTTGTTCTTCCCCGAAAGAAGTCTCAGGGACTATTTAAAGCCACTGCTAGCCTGATGAACGACGTTTTTCTATCTTGTCGTTTAACGTTTATGGCCCGTGCGTACACATTTTGATGGGTTTACAAAAGACGGCTGTCGCTGGATAAACTTTTACGTTCTAGGCAATGGAGTCAGGCTTTTTCGGGTCAGCAAGGTAGGTATGAATGGGTACAGCAAGCATTGAGAGGGGCATCGAGGTGTGAATGAATGGGACCAGAAAGCGCTCATAGTATCGAAGGCTTGAGTGCTCCGATGAATACTGTGAGACGTTCTGGTCTCTTCACTTCCGCCCGCATCGTAGCGCCGAACGTTCTCCAAGTTGAAGATAAGTGATTGGGATAATCGGTGTGAAGTTTATCAAGACAGCTACTTGCTTCATTAATCGACGAATAAAAGAACTTGCCCCATAGGCCACCACGCAAGCTGAGCATCCAAAGGCGAGCTTGTGAAGTGCTGTTGTCATAAAGTCTTTGATCAAGCTGAGTTAGGCTGGAAACTAGGAAACGACTAACCACTTCAATGAAAGCAGAGGCAAAACATAGCAATTGGGAATGTTTGCAGGGAGATTGTATGAAGCTTGGGTTGGCGCTGGGATTGACAGCGGTACCTGTCCCACAAACGGCTCCGCACGTGGGTAGCCCCTATCCCGTCGGACTGGAGCCCGGGCCGGTCTCGAGCAAGTCTTGAGCTTGAGCTTGAGATCGCGATCTTCGACGAGTCGCCGTCTTGATTAGGGATCAAGTCGCTCGTAACGCAGCGAATTGACGCGAAGAACCATACAGTGGCTCACACCGTAGAGCATATCAAGCAAACAGTATATACAAATCCACAGATGCATACTGTACAGCAAACAGTACTCTCAGACCCGTATTTACGACTACACAACGTAACACTAATTGTAAAAGCAAGGCGCGTATCTCTCCTTGTCAACCGATTCTTATTACTCTGTGTAGGCACAAGTACTCGTCCGACATGTACTCACCCCGGGCCTCGATGTCGCGTTAGACTTGCAAGCTCTATGTCGCGTCCCAGCCCACTACTTTGTACACGCTCGTGAGGAATATGATCTTCTTCGTGCCCATCGTCTCCGTCGTCAAACTCCGCAAGCTGCCGTTCAACCTCTCGACTGAGGTCCGACGTCGCCACGCCGAGGTTCTGACCTTGCAGCGAGCGGAGGCTGAGGACAAGCCGCTGACCGGCGACAGAGAGCAGTGGTCCAGCGACTCTGTATACGCAAGGAAAGTACATGTTAGAACAGACACTAACTCGAAGTTATGGACCGCAGGGATGATGAGATAGACTCGCGTTGTGGTTAAGAAAGAGCGTGGATCGAAGCTTGCGGGCTGGTGAGCGTCAGAGTGCACGTCAACGTTTCATTGCCACCGGAGATGAAACGCAGTCCTCACAGTTCCCCAGTACTTCCTACAATCACCAGCATGAGCTTGAAAATGGAGCGCGAAAGAAAAGGCTTCAACCGGGCTTACCACGCAAAGAGAGTGAAAATGCCGGTGATCACGGACACCTTTCCCGTGAGTTAGAGGCAAGACATTCATTTCTGTCACGAAGCCACTTACGGCATAGAACAGGATGGCTTTTCGAATCAACTGTCAGAGTCCGCATTTATTCTATAATGGACGCGAGCTCACCGGCAATTTTCAAGTGCCGTCGAAGGCGCGTGGGGTATGGAGAGATTCTCTCATACTTGAGTAGGCTAAGCATTATGCATAGAAAGAACACTGTGTCAAGAAGCAAGCTAGAAGATAGAGAATCGAAGGTGCTGTTAGCAGCATTAGTCAAAGAGGTAGATTTCCTAATACTCACCTTCCTACCCAGAAAACCCACTACACACAGGCATGAGCGGGTCTTCATGTCAATAAAGTCGATATGGTTGAACGCACTGATCCACCTGAATATATGTAAGTCTATTGGAACTAGTCTCACGCGAAAGAGCAAAGCTCACTTGGAATATATCCGACGCACTCTCGGATTGTCCCATAGTACGGGTATATCCAAGGGGTACCCAATATTTGGAACCTGCAAAGTGGGTTAGTTCGTTTTGTAAGGCCACTTCGGCCCCTACCCCCCCTACCCCCCCTTCCGTATATAGAAATTGAGCCCCTTTTAAATTACCCACGTCAGGTACATAACATAATACACCCGGCGGCTCTAAAACATAAGACGAAAACATACAGAACGAAACTAAATAAACAAATTACACAAAGACGACGCTGTGGAGCTACCTCTTTCCGCCGCGTTTGAACCTCTTGGTTATGCGAGCGTGCAACGGGCACCTCCAATCCGCTTCGAAGTGATCGAGATACATACAAGTTAGATGGAACTAACATATGAGTGAACATCTAGTCAGTACACGGCGCGAAAACGACATAACAGTGAGAACGTACCCATCCAGTCTTGCACCGTTCGTACTTGCACCTGATCGCGACGCCGTCGCTGATCTCCTTCGGCGTGACAACCTGGTCGCAGTCGCAAGCGTGCAACATGGCGTTAAGGTCGCGCTTGCGACTCTTCCTCCCGGCGCGCGTGACAACATCGTTCTCGACAAACGCCGGCGCGTCCAGAGAGACGTCGTCTGAAGGATGTAATACATTAGTTAGGACGGCGAGGAAAAGCGAAGAAAGGGCGTACTTACTGGCGTCGTTTTCGGCGTCAGACAGCGAGCTGGATGGGCGTGGGTCGAACACGCCATTGCCATCGTTAACTTCGTCTGCGGGGAGGGGCTCCTGATCCTGCTCATTGGACACTTGTTGAGCCTCGCGTCCGTCCTCGTTTGACTCGAGTGCGAGGCGTGACGTGCGATGTGCGTCTGAAACGGCAAGCACGGGTGCTTGATAAACCTTGCGGGACTTGCGGGATTTGTGGAAGCGCCGCTGCCAGATGTACTTCTCAACATTCTCGCGTTCGTCTTGAGGAGTCGTGTACTTTGTGATGAGGTGGGGTAGAAGCTGAGAGGGCGAGTGGTGGATGCGAAAGTGGGCAACCATAGAGTACTTCCATATGGCTGGGTTTCGTACGGCTAGCTTGTTAGTGGGAGAACAAATTGGACATGGCACCGGCACGTTCGTGCATGGTGCGCTCTCGCTTGAGCTGCCAGCAGAGTGATACGAGAAATAAACAAGATTGGGGCATGACGACCGAGTTACGTCCACCTGAAACGAGCCGCCTGAACCTTTTGTGGGCCGTAGGTAAAAAACGCACCCGGATTTGGCAGCAGGTTGCATGCAAAAACCACATATCTCCACCGTGCAATCCAAACCGTCATCGCAGAGGATATGAGCACCGACGTGCTCGATTACTCGAGGTCCGCTGTCACGCTGCCACTCGAATGTTGGGCGACAGCGGGGGCACACGTCCAGCGTATCGTTGATGGTGTTGAGGCGAGCTGGGTCATCAATGTCGATGGCGAACGCTGCTCGACCTAGCACAGGATATAAACACCAATGAAAAGGAAAACAGAAAATACGACGCACCACCAGACCTGTACGGAAACAGGTCTTGAGTAGGCACAGATGGGAGGCGAAACAGGCCGGTGGCAGACTGAGTGATCTGCGCCTGCAGGCTGAGTGCAAATGCCTGCAGGTCAGCTGTAGAGAAGAGGAACGACGGGGAAGTTGGGTAAGAGGGATCCAGATTAGGATTAATGGCTTGAAAATTGTGACCGGGTGACGACTTGAGAACCCTGCCCATTTTCCCTGACCATTCCCAGTCCTCAGACTCGGGACCAGGATTGGCCAATGAGCGCTCGGTGAGAATCAGAATCTGAGTAGTGACGGAAACCCCTTCTTCTCCCAAGGCACCGGCCGCAATCTCCACAACCGGACTGGAATGGAAATGTATTGCCGAGATCTGAACCACCGCCAAGAATAGACGTGAATTGGCCTTCACAAGGGTGACCAACGGCTCGCCAACGAAGAGTTTTGCTCCACCAAAGATCGACAGAGAGTTGACGACATCTGTGTCGATGTCGGGAGCCGCTGTGAACCGTAACAGCCCAGCAACACGTTTGAGTCGATCTGTCGAACCAGCAGAGTTGATGAAACGAAATAATTGACGAAGGACTCGAGCTTTATACACGCGCTTGCCCTCAACTTGCACGTACGGAGAGAACGTCTGGTTCTGCTCTGCCAGCTCGATTGCTACGCGATCCTCCATGTCCAAATCGTCCGTCTCGGGTGTGGGGGCGGCAATAGGGATTGGGTCATCCTCAACAGTGTCCTCAGGGTCAGGATCAGCAAGACAGGGGCCAGGAGGTGAGCCATCCGGGAATAGAAGATCCCCGCCAGATTCCTGAATTCGAGCGAAGCACGCATGCACAGCAAATTGAGCATAGTCGTGCTCAATGGTCTCACGACCGTGAGTCCATGCGGTAATGGGAAGAACGTGCTTGAGGCTGACGTCGCCTCGCCAGGATGCCGGGTTGATGTGATCGACCTTGGCAGTGAGCTCCTCGTCACTTGACAAGCCCGGGAGCTTGAGCCTTCGCGGAGTAGTGTCCCACTCTGGATATTCGACAAGGATCTGGCCACTCTCAGTGACATGGGCTATCCGGTCGCCCAGCTGGATAAGGTCAGCATTTGCATCATTACCAACAATTGTGCGGTAGATCCCAAACGAGATCTCTAACCGGTCGGTCCCTAGCATAATGATATAGAAGTTTCCGAGGGGGCGGTCCACTTTAGCCTTAGCGACACAGAAGAAGACGTTCTTGATTAGGATTTGAATGTCGGTGTAGAGTGGCTTCGGCAGAAATGCGCCCCCGCTGGCGCCTGGATGAGTATACAGGCTACAGGCCAGGTGAGCAGCAGCACTAAGATGGGCAAGTTGATCGGATAGGGACATGTTGACGTCAATATAAGGGGTAATGAGATGCCTGAGAAAGTTGCCAAAGATACGGATATACTTCCGCGCAGCGATCACTGTTGGACGCGTGCTAGATGTTTCAGGAAGGTCCCAAACAGACTTGAGCAGGCTGACCGCGAGAAGAACATCTTGCTTATCGTTAGGATTCATTAAGTTCTCAACCTGATGAGGTGCCAGACCGCCGGAGCGGAGATGCCAACCAAGAGTAGCAGGAGGAATGTTATAGTCGTAGATGGTGATGCCCTTGTCTCGGAGAATAGCACAGCGAATCCGTTTCATAATTACATGTTTCCAGTCCTTGTCTGATGTCAAATCGTTGTCGCCCACTAGTGTATTCATTAGAGGGAGCTTGCCCACATACGAGAAGATGGGCGATGAGGGTGCCAATTTCCGCTTGTGAGTGAGGAGCACTAGTGCCGCGCCGCGTCGTGCTTCGCCGTCAGAGGCAATGCAATACAGTCTACCCGGAACCTTCTCGTGCTCACACGCATCGATCACTACTTGGATTAAATCTGCATGCGTGGGTGCGTCTTCTGTCTTGCACGTTCCTGACACGAGAATAGGGCGTGCCGCGTGGCTCCGGGAGTCACCCGCGAGAAGCCCAATAGCAGCAACTGTGGCCTTTTCGAAGATTCCAGTGAGTACCATGCCGCTGGCTTACATGAATAAACTCTCACCTCCACCGCCAATCGCACTTTACCATCCGCAACCGCCTTGACAAGAGCGTACGCCTCTGCCTCCGAACAGAAATCAAGCCCTATCTTATCCGCGTCCTCCCTCGCCACGCCAACTATCTTGTTTGTCAGGTCGTCCCAACGCGGACGACCCTCTACTTTAATTTCATCAATCATGAGCGAATACCCATAGACCTGGTCGGCACTTGACGCCGAGTCATCGGTAAGTCCTAGTGTTCCCTCTGCAAACGAGTTTTTGACGTTGTAGCTGACTTCATCAATTGAAGGAAACCCAGCGGAAACACGAAGCGGAGGATTGACTGAGCATCGTTGTATCGTGCTTGTTGCAGGTGCGCCCGTCGCCTTGTGGTAGATACTGAGAACGCGTGGGCCGGCAAGACGCAGGATCAACACACAGAGCTTCTTCTCCGCCGTGGAGAAGCTTTTTGGGCTGTAAAGGCCACGCGTTGCCTTGTCGAGTTGCTCGGCCATTTTCTGCACTGACATGCCGTTCTTTATACAGACTTGGATTAGGTCCTGCACGCGCGAGAAGTCGCTGTCGGCAATGGCAAGGAGAAACCTTTTATGGTCGTCGAGGGCGGACGACTTTCGCGCAAGACTCTTCGAGAGGTTGACTCGGCCAAGTCGGAGTGCCTGGACCTGGAACGTCTTTGTGCGGATGATGGAGTGGAGGCCACTGATCGGCTGGTAGATGTGGGGGGTATTCTCGTGTACGCCGTCCTTCATTCGCTTCACGATTGAGACAAGCTGACCATTATTGCCAAGCTCGCTGCATGGAGCACACGCCGCTGCTACCTTTGTCCTACCCGTGCACTTGCTCGCGGTGAGCCAGATTCGCCGTCCCTCTGTGTGAACTGACCACGGTAGCACCATCCGCGTGTGCAACGCAAACGGATATACCATCACGCCCCACTGCCCACCTGGCACCGGCAGCTCAAAGCCATTGCAGGCGAACGAGCACCTGCCATCACGCGTTGAAGTCAGCGTCTTCCCCGCGCTGCCGTGGCCGTGCACCCCGTCGCGACCATCATCGCTATCGTCGATGACGATGAGCCGTGGTGAGGGAGGGCGTGTGGACGTCGACAACGAGGCGCCCGTGGTCGAAGCAGCCGGTACCGCCGCTAACGGGTGGCTATTAGGTGCCGGTTTCGCAGGCGAGGTCGCCAAACCGTCAGCCACCAATTTGTCGACCAATGACGGGTCGATAATGCCAACGCGACCACTAGAACAGCTAAGCTACAAATTCACGCGTTCAGTTTGGACACTCACTATGCCCCGATTGCCCTCAGAAGTCGCCCAACCTTCCCTTCCACCAGGCAGGGGTCAATCTCCTTGTCGATCAAGATGAACTCGAAGAAGTTGAGTACCCCATCCATCCCGGCGTCTCCTCTTCGAACGAGCGTTCTAATCTCTTCCTCTGGCCTTCCACCTCCGAAAACATTGTTCATCTGCTGATCGGCGTCCTCCCAGACGATGTCGGCGTCCATGTCGCGGTAGTTGTCCGCCCAGTTCTCGAAAACGACGAGCTCGTCATTCTCGCATGCAACTGGAATAGAACTCGGCATGTGGGCAATACCATCACGAAGGGTCGACAGCAGCTTGTTGGCTAGAGGTGACGGAGCTGCTCGGGCGACGGCTGGCTGGGATGGAGGATTGGAGTGCTCAGGCGCTGGTTGAGGCAGGGGAGTGGAGGGGGAGGGGCCTGGAAGAGGGTGAGGGGGGTTTGCTACTTCAAAGAGGGTGCGTTGCTTCATCGGCTTCTTCTTTGTCTTCTTCTTCGCTCGTTCGTCCTCTTCCTTTGCCTCCTTCTCCCGTTGCTTCTGCTGCTGCTTACACCTCTTGCTGCCCTTATGCATGTCCATATTCTTGCTCCCTGCAGTCCCGACAGTGATCTGCTGCCCGCAGAGTGGGCATTCATCGGTGTCGGTGGCCTTAGGCTTCACTGCACCCAAGGCGGCCGTCTTCCAGCCCGATGTTTTAGTGGGTTATATACTTTGCTATGCATGATGCGTACCTCAGCCTCCTGAGCAGACATACTACTGAAGACTGCTGTTGTTTTAAAGGGTGGTGTGTGATGGATTGAGGGCGATGTTTAAGACAACGCACGCGCGTTGTGATAATTCATCCGACTGCCAGACTACTCTAACTACAAATCTGTACTATAAAATGTAGTATTCCTCTGCTACCCAATTGTTGCCATTCCGTGACGCGGCGTCGCCGAATCGCCAGTGATGTGGACGCTTGTGACGATTCACCGTAGTACTGGACTAGGTAGAGCGGCACACTAGAGGTTCACAAGGTCGAATAACCAGCCAATTGAAGTCAATTCAAGAGGGAGAACACTGCCGTTCTCGTAGGTACATGCATGTCTTATATATGAGTAGATAATCGCTTTCCGGCGTTCGCCGGAAAGGGAGAGTAAGCGTAAGTGACCATGCGGTACGCAGACGGCCAGCGGCCAAGCAGAGGCTGGGCCACTCGGCCCCAATATGGACTTTGTACTCGCTACACACCCCCCTCCAGAGGAGCGCCTGCCTCCTCTCGACCGATGCCTGCATCCTCTACTCCCCTTCGCCGATATCCACCACGTCAGGGTCGGGTTCACCTTCAGCGTCGGCGTCGCCAAGATCGTCGTCATCCTTCAAGGGTTTTCCGGTTTCCGGGTGCACCAATTCGTCGTCGTCCGCGTAGGCTTCAATGTTCGACAACCCGCTAGCAACGATCGGGTTATCCTCCGCTGTGTCCATTGCGACGTCTTCATCCGTGGTAGTGGCCATAGCGGGCGCAGTGGATGCTGCCGCTGCAGTTGGGTTACGAGTGGCCTTAGGGTCGAAGAGAAGAATGTTCGGAGGGTACGTCGTGGAAGCGTTGTCGGAAGTGGGTTGGAGTTTGTCGACAGTCGGGACTGATTTGGTGACCGGCTTCGCAGGTTTAGCGGGAACGGTGACGGACGGTGCCGGCGGCTCGGGAATGATGTCGGCGGATGCTAGGTGGACCACGGGCGAGTCGCGACGTCCGGACCGTCGGACGTCGGCGCGGGGGGAGCGAGATGCGCTCCGCGCCCTGTGAGTCCTTTCCGGTATGTGCTTGTCCTTGAAGTTGGAACCCTTTGCTGACCTGTCATGATAGTCGCGCTGGCGCGCTCCGCGAGACGAAGAACGAGAGCGTTCGCGAGATCGGCTACGAGAAATGGAACCGGGCGATTGTCCGCGACGAGAACGTCCGCGAGCGGAGGGACCAGGAGAGCGTTCATGGCGATACGAGGTGTTGACGGGAGACCGGTGGCGAGTGGACGAGTGATAGGGTTGGCTGTTGTGACGAGGCGACCGAGAGCGAGGGGAACGATGGCGCGGCGGCGGGGGCGCCGGCGATCTGTGGTACGATCCACCACGTCCCGATTGCCCGAGCGGTCGCGAGTTACTGACGTTAATCCTTCCAACAGGCGGTAGCACCATCGGCATCCCACCACCACCCCTCCGACTATTAACCCTTTGTTCCGCCCTCACCTTCCCATCCAACAAATGCAAGGTGACCCCTGTCATCCTTGCATATTCTTCGGGCGGCAGCACTGCGTAGCCCTTAGCCTGGAGCGAGCATACGAGCTGCGCGTGGTCGCCGAGTAGGTCTTCGAGTTTCGGGGCACGACGCAGGTTCGTCAAGATCGGACGACCATCGTCATCGCGCCGGATCAGCTGAGTGGCGCCGCCACTCCTGTTGTGCTCGTACGCGGCGATCTGGTAGCCTGCTGGCTCGTCGTTGTCGAGGTGCTTGCGTATGGCATGATCGTGTTCGTGGATCGCACGTACTTGCTCGATGGAGTACGACAAGAGCTGACCCTTGTGTTCCAGGTATACAAAGCCGTCGTTGCCCATGGTAAACAGACAGCGTCGGCGAGGTCGACCACCAGAAGGGGCCATTTTCGGGAGGAGTAGGATGAGGGATGCGGCAGCGACGTTCCAAGTGAGTAAGATTAGCTGCCACAGAAGTGCGAGTGCTGATCTCGACCACTTCCTCATCCTCGTCTCTCTTATATCTGTGTCGGCGTCCATATGGACAAGACCAGCATATATTTGCGGATCATCGGACGGCGGTCGTGCCGCGCCTTCTCGCAGATCCGATATGCTGTCGACGCCTAACACGTCAAGGTAATCCTTTAAAGCTTCCTGTTTATCGAGCTCATCATGCCTCATCCAGGTTATGTCCCCGGATGTCCACATGACTTCGAACATCGCTTCGGTGCGCGTGCCTTGATGTCCAAGAATTCGGTCAATTGCCCACTCGGTTCCTGGCACCTCGAACTCTGCGACCTGATGGTCAAGACGCCCGGGGAACAACCGGTCGTCATTCGGGACATGAATCCTCAACAACGAAGCATGGAAGACATTGTGAACCCCTCGCTGTCGTAGACGCGCTGGCAGTTCCACCCGGAACGAGTTATTGCGGAAGTCATCGATAATCCGATAAGGGCCAATGAACTTAGGTACGAGCTTCCTCGCAGTGCCCTTCGGTAGACTTAGATTCTTGGTCGAGATGTAGATCAGGTCATTCTTCGCGAACGGACACTCCTGTCGTCGGGAGTTGGCTGCTCGCGTCTGTTTCACGCGCGCCGTCAAGATCGCGTCGTGGGCGGCCATAATGGCGGCCTTCATACGCTGGGCGTATACCCGTACTCCCGGGTACTCGCTTTCCGCGGGAGGGTTCCAGACTAGGGTCCTGGGCATTCGACCCGTGTTCAGGAAGAACGGGGAATAGCCCGTCGTTTGCGAGCGCGCGAGATTGATCGCGAACTCTATTGCAGGTAAGCGTTTCACCCAGTCGCGTTGCGTCGGACTGATGCACGATCGTAGCATCTGCCCAATCGTGCGGTTGGCTCGTTCGGTCGACCCGTCTGTCTCAGGGTGGTACGCGCTGGACATCTTCTGGTCAATACCGAGCAGCACGTTCAGGTGCGTCCAGAACTGGCTATTGAACAAGACGTCACGATCGCTGATGATTGCTTTCGGCAGTCCGTGATGCTTGTATACTTCCGCGAACACTAACTCAGCCAGGTCCTTCGCAGTGTAAGTTGTCTTGCTTGGCACGAGATGCACCATCCCGGTGAGCAGGTCTATTACGGTGGTGATCGAGTCGAACTCGCCATCTCGGTTCTTCGAAACAGGCAAGGGTCCGACAAAGTCAATACCGATCGCGTCCCATGGACGAGAAGGCACGGGCAACGGGTTGAGCAGCCCGTACGGCTTGTGATTCGGTGCCTTGCTCTTCTGGCAAGTCTGGCATGAGTCGCAGAATCTGTGCACATCTTTGACTATACTTTTCCACCAGAAGTGCTCGCGCATATATGTCAGCGTCTTCGCAGGACCTAAGTGCGCTAGGAGGGAGTGCGCTTGGTCGATGATGACCTCACGCAAGCGGCGTGTGCCCTCCATGACATCAGGTACGCACATCACTGTCCTATCGCGCATGCGAATCCGTACTAATCCATCTTCGACTTCAAAGTTACGGAATTGTCCAGGAGTATCGGCGACGTGTTTCAAGTCACGATCGTCGCTGTAGCGGCCCCGAATCTTGTCGAGGAGGCCATTGTACTCAGGGTATCCCAAGGGAACGGCGGGCGGTGAGTCTGGTTCCTGTTCCTCATTGATCTGATTGCTCGTTTCTGCAGGTTCAGTGGTCCCATTGGACCATTCCCCCCCCTCCCGCGTGTCCTTAGGACCGCGGAGGACTAGCTTTTTCTTCATGCGCTTTGCAAAGTCGCGCGCGGATTCCATCGGAGGGAGCGACGCCAGCGGCGAGGAGTCGGCAGGCTCAGCCACGGTTATCGGGGCGCGGCGTGTTTGTCCGCCGGCCCGACTTCCTGAGGCCGCCGGTTGCGGCGTCGTCGACTTCGCGCTCGTCGCACGGGAAGACGACGCAGCACGCGTGGGCGTAGTGCCGGGCCCGTCAACCTTCTTCGCGCCGTCGGCGATGCGGACGCTTCGTCGCAGCACGCCTGCGGTCGCTTCGACGCCGACTGTGACCGGCGCGCTGATCACGCGCTCCTCGAGCTCCGTCACACGGAGGTGATCCTCGGTGGGGAACTGGACGTATTCCGTCGGCGCGCGTACGGTGCCGGGCGCGTCGAACTCGTACATTCGCGATAGAGCGTCGGGGAGGACGTTCTCCTCGCCCGGAATATATTCAATATCAAAATCGAACATCCCCAATTTCTCCCACCACCGAGCCTGGCGGCCGGAGAGATCGCGCTGGTTCTTTAAGTGGATCAGGGACTTGTGGTCCGTCACCCAGGTAAAGTGAACGCCTTGCAGTATGTCGCGGAAACGCCACATGGACTCGACGCCCACGAGCAACTCCTGCTCGTGCACGGGGTAGTTGCGCTGCGCCGTCGTCAGCTTGGCCGAAAAGAACGCGGTGACTTTCGCAGTTCGCCAGTCCTCGCCTTGGGCAACGGCGCCACCAATACCTGTGAGGCACCCGTCGGTCATGAGCCAGACGCGCGGAGCGCCCTTGTTATAGTCCAACGGCGCTCGAGCATGCGGTCGGCAGCGCGCGACGTATTCCTTGACTTCGCGGAAAGCACGATCGGCTGTCTGCGTCCAGAAGAACGGCTTGCCCTCTGCAGCGACGTCTTCGAGGACGCCGAGAGGCTTTCGCACCATGAAGATATCATCGGCGAGGAAACCAACTGACCCGATGAACCCTTTGCATAACGTACGGCTCACGGGCACCTTCCAGTTGAGAATTCGGTCGACCTTCACTGGGTCCATTTGGATCCCTTCATCGTTCACGATGCGGCCCAGTATCTTCACTTCATCACAAAGAAACTGAAGCTTGCGTTCCGACAGGTATAGCTGTTGTTCCTCGAGAACTTTCAGCACCTTTTCGCAGTGAGTAACGTGTTCGTCCAGGTCGTCCGAGTATATGATCATGTCGTCCAGGTACACATCCATGAAGACGCCAAGAAAATCACTGAAAATGTGATTCATCAAGGCCTGGTAGGTAGCCGGCGCGTTGCAGTCGCCCTGCTGCACCACCAGGCTCACCATGTTGCCATCGGGCGTCGTTACCGCGCTACGCTCGACGTGCTCGGGGACGATACGAATTTGCTCATAAGCGTCCTGACCGTCGATGATGCTGCGGTACTTGTGTCGGGCTACTCGTCGGAGTATGCCCTCCATGTCCGGCATCGGTGACGATAATTTTTCGCAGTTCGCGTTGCGAGGGCGAAGGTCGTACACGATTCGCGCGCGTGGGACGCCGTCGTCGTTCTTGGCGCCAGGTTTCGGAATTACCATCACCGGGCAGGTGTTCCGCGCCGTCGACATTTTCCAGCGGCCGGATTTCAAGTACTGCTGTTTTCGCTCGTTCCACTGCGGCAGCAACGCTTCGGGACAACGAGCACGTCGCCACGGGTATATCTTATTTTCGTCAATCAAAGGAATCTGATGATTGATCGCCCGCAGCGGCGGCAGCGACGTGGAGTCGGCTTTCGCGCAGAGTGGGGCGGCAAGCTTCATCAAGTATGCTCGAGCCTTCTCAATTTTCTCTTTCACAAGGCTCATGGCCTTCGACTCGACGACAGCCACACCCGGGCCCCGCATTGGTAAGGGTTGTCGGCTTCCCATTATGACCTTAGATTCGTTAAATGCAAGTGTCATTTTGTGTTGATATAGGAAAGGCGTTCCCAAAATCAAGTCGTAATTTTGCAGATTCATGATGTCAAATCGGCGGTCGTACTTCGTGCCTTGGTACTCAATGCACGCGGTCACGCTATAGTTAACCTTCGTGCGCGATCCATGCGCAGCTAATTGCACGGTGAGTGGTTTCTCCAACTCATCCTTCTTTCGCTTTAATTGATCGGCAAACGCTAGTGACATGAAGTCTGCTAGCGACCCAGAGTCAACCAGTGCACGAGCAGGTAAGCCGTCGATGTGCACCACCACGACAATCGGGCTGGGAATATGCCGCCGAAAATCCTTCGGGCGCGATGCACTGCGCTCGAGACCAGGGTACACACCCGGTTCCACCGCAACATTGTTGATTTCGGTGACAAAGTCATAGTCCACGTCCGATATGTAGTTAATCACGGGGTTACTGGTGTGGATAAGACGCGCAACGTCCTCCAATGCAGCATCCTTGGGCGATAGCGCATCACGATCAAGCAGCCGCAGAGTGTCGGTCTCAGTATCACGGGACTCAAACATTCTGGTAAGCAGCTCTTCTGTCGAGCATCGGAGACGCTTCTTATACCAGTTGAGCAGATTGAATTGGGGTCGCCGAACTAAGTCGTCGCCCAACTCGACTGTGAAGTTGAGACGTTCATCGTGGATGGTGTACGTCCACTGTACCGGTTCGTATTCCACACTGAATCGGGGCGGCCCCCGATACTCAACCGCGTCAGGTCCCATCTGGATCAATGCCATTAAGTATTCCTCAATGAAGCGTGGCGTGATATCGCCCATGCAGATCCACGACTGGCGTCGGGTGAGTCGTCTAATTCGCTTTTTGATTGTTTTCTTGGGGACACCTTGTCTTCTAGCCAGGGTCCGCCAGTACCATCGATCAACTTGGAATGTAGGGTCTAGCAGGAAGTCCCGGCCCACCATCGGTGAGTCCCAATAGTTCACCTCTGAATGACAACGATCAAGAACAAAGTATTCATGATAGTCATCATCCATAGGTATGAGTTCAAATCGATCCCGTGCGTATGTCTCAGGATCATTTATGTAATCTCCAGGGTATGCTCTGCCAGTAAGTATTTCGACCGCGCGCGTGACGAGCGGATCCGCGAATTCCAAGCGCTCGGTCGTGCTATTGTCTGGCAGCGGGATAGTCGCTACAAACATCGACTCCACGCTGCCGCCGTTCCCGCGAACCGGGTCCTCAACCAGCGTGCGTACCACGTCCGGGTCCCCATAGTCCATTGTCAGCGCGTTGCTGCTAACGCCTGGCGGTTTGCCAGGTTTACTAGATTGGAACTTGGACGCTCCCGGGCAGTTTCGTTGCAGGTGCCCGTCCTTTCCGCACAGCCAGCAACCACTGCCGCTCGGCTGCGCTGGACGGTCGCCACCAGCACGGTTGGGCTTCGACTTATAATCCCTTTTATTAGAGAAGCGGCCGGAACGGTCAGTGCGGTTGTGTCGCCCTGACGGCCCATCGCGCCGTTGGCTTCCGTCGCCGTTGCGACGTTCATTGTTGCGGCGTTCGCTGTTGCGGTCAGCGCCGTCATTCAACGACTTCTTGTGTCGGCGGCGCTCTCGACGTCGGTGCTTGGACGACTGCTCCGGCGCCTCGTTGCTCGTCGACGCGATCCTCGCGTCGCTGCGCTGTTGCGACGCCCGTACGCTTCGGGATATCTCAATGACCTCGGCTGCTTCTGCAACTTCATCGAGCGTTGAAGTTTCCGGGTTGAGGTGATCCAGCCAGAGACCTTCCTGGAGCTCTTTATTGAGGCAGGACCATAACTTAAGTACTTTGGTTCGTTCGTCGGTCTCGCCGACCACGTTCCATAAGCCCGTGAGTTTATAGATTACATCCTTCACGGGTAATCCTCGTTGATGGAACTTTCGTAGCTCATCACGGACCTGAAGCTTGAAGTCCACCAGAAAACAGAAGTTAAATAGCTCAGAGAAGAACCTGGTGAGTGTCCACTTGTAGGGTTCAATGGCTACTCGGTTGGCGTAGAACTCCCTAGCTTTCCCTTCCAGATAGCGTCCAACTATGGAAACCTGACGGTGGGTAGGTACTCGGCCATCCGTCACATACTCCGTGCTTTCGGTCATGAAACGATGGTATGCCATCATATCCATCCGGCCGTCATAGTCATCCGGCGGAATGGGTTTGATTAGGGTGCGTGAGCTCGTACTGGCTTCGGTCTTTTTCTTATCGCGACGACGGCGCTTCTGGGCCTGTTTATGCGCTTTGCGCGAACGCCCTTTACGCTTGCTGCCCTTACGTCGCCGACCTCCATCCGAGGACGAGGACGACCACGATGGGGAATAGTCAGGATCATCTGATGACGATGACGAAGTGTCCGAGTGTTCGGGCGATTCGCCGTCTGACGAGGAGGACGAGTCACTCGACGATGATGAGTCACTCGTCGAGGACGAGCTATTGCTGGGTGGGCCTCGTCCACCCCCATTCGCGGACACGGATGACACAAGTGATGATATGCCGCCTGTGCTCCGTGTTTTCTCGGCGGCGCTGAGGTTTCGGAACGCCTTACCCAGGTAGCTCTTTGGGTTCAGCTGCGACACGGCGCTCATGGCAGGCGTTGTTGGGCCTGGAGTGTTTTTGGCTGCCTTAAGTCGCTGCTTTTCAGCGCGTCGATGATGACGCTTCACGCTGCCGACCGTGTCCTCAATGAGACGACGGATCGGGTCGTTCCCAGCCAGTTCTTGCGATGGCTCCGGGAAATCGTCTATCCTCACTCTAGGGGCAGGTGTCTTTTTAGTTTTACGGACAGCCGCCTTCAGCGGTTTGATGTCGTTCACATCTGCACGAGGGGCGATCCTTTGGCTAACCGACGTCGCCGGCGTGGCTGCTGCAGCGCGTGACTGCTTCTTGTCGGCCGGCGTCTGCTTCGCTTGTATCTCCTTTAGATGCGCTAGTCGGTTCCTAAGCGCACCCGTCATGGCGCTGATTCGTTCCTGCGCCGTGTGCGGAGTGTAGTAGTGATGAATATCACCTTCATTGGATTCATCGTCGGACTCATTGGGATCGGGCTGAAGTGCAGGTAGGTCATCATCCTCATTATCGGATTCTACACTAGGTTGCATGCTGGCGCGCTTGGCCGCCGCTATGCTCTCCAATGCCGCGCGCTGAGCGTCAACGTCTAAGTCCTCCTGTGGCACTTCGAGAGCGCCCCAGTTTCGAGGGTCCACACCCTTCCCTTTGTTCTGGGAAGGGCCTGCGGGTAGCGGAGAATCCTCGCGCTCATCCGCGCGGTCGCGATCCGACACGTCATCGTCCGACGTGTATCCGCCAGGCACTGCTTCGGATCTCTTACCAATCCGACGGCGTTGCGTGCTGGTCAGTCGCCCGACAGCGAGGCTGACCGCATGGCGTTGGCTGGATGACAGCGCATCCGCCAAGGTATTACCACCGGGTTGCATCGCCCTAGCCCCGGTGCGGCCTCGGGTTTGCTCCCCCTGCGATAACGCAGTCATCGGCCGACCGTCTTCCCGGTCGGATCCGGAATCATGGGCAGAGGCGTCCTCCAGCGCGCTCTGCGCGCGAGAACCGTCCTCGCCGTCGCTGATGAACGCGGGAGCTAACGCTTCGACCGCCAGCGAATCAGATCCAGGTCCTCGACGAGCTAGAAGCTCGGAGGATTCCCTGGCCAGCGCCCTCGCCAGCTCGTCATGAAGACGACCGGTAGGAGGCGTCGCTGGGAGCGAGGTGAGCGGCTCTGAGATGACGCCGTCCCTGCTCGGAGTGGGAGGAGCCGAAGACACGCGAGCGCGACCACGACTCCTGAGGTTGTAACGCGTGTTGTTGGCCATAGTAGAGAGATGAGAAATGTGAGGGTTTCTCGTGGATTCAAGTCCGGGGTGCTGACGGGTGATCAGGCCGTCGAGCTCAGCGGACAAGAGATTTTTTAAAACTTAGCTTGTTGAGTCTTGGTGGTTAAAAAATATGTGACGATTCACCGTAGTACTGGACTAGGTAGAGCGGCACACTAGAGGTTCACAAGGTCGAATAACCAGCCAATTGAAGTCAATTCAAGAGGGAGAACACTGCCGTTCTCGTAGGTACATGCATGTCTTATATATGAGTAGATAATCGCTTTCCGGCGTTCGCCGGAAAGGGAGAGTAAGCGTAAGTGACCATGCGGTACGCAGACGGCCAGCGGCCAAGCAGAGGCTGGGCCACTCGGCCCCAATATGGACTTTGTACTCGCTACAACGCTGTGGAGCTCTAGATAGGGGTTGAACTTCCACTTTTGGCTAGCCACGTGCACTTTCTGATCGTACCCGAGCTCAGCCAGCGTATTTCCTAAGACCACCCAGGTATACCCCCCCCCCCTAGACCCTATATACGAGATACTGATCCCGAGCACCCCTTGGGTATATCACCACTGTCAGAGCAAATGGCGAACTCAGTCAACGAAAGATATCGTACAAACAAGAAATCAGTGTAAAGTGATACTCACAAGGCACGTTGTTGCCTGAATGAGCAACGCCAGATAGGGCCCAAGCAGCGTAGCCCAAGTAGAGGACCAGCAAAGCGACGACAACCGTGCGATTGCAACCCCACAGAGCCCAGGACCGCAATAGCACTAGAACTGCAGAGGCTCTAGATGGGTAACTCAAGAACAGCTCACAGCGGATATTCCACTCACTGTGCACGCTCTCGGTGGTGAAAAAGACGGACGAAACGACGACAATGCTGTATCCATAACAAAACTATACTCCGTACGCAATGCTTCAGCCTCAGTCTCGCAAGCAAGAGCGATAGCGAACCTTAGTATCCGGTCCCGAGTAGAAGATTCCCGTCTGCTCCATACAGAAGAATGTCTGTATTGCGAGGTTTCCGTACCTAGTGAATAGGTACAGAGCCTTGACTAGCGTCCACTTCGCCTTCCAGATATACTGCACCTTCAAAAGATTGAGGTTCGAGCTGGAGATCAGCATATGCGAGGATTGGTATCGGACCGCCGGCGGACCTGATATCAATGTACCCCAAAATGGTTTGTAGCAACGGTCGACGTAATAAGACATGTCGCCGTGTGATGACAGGGTTCAATTGAGTTGAATAAGCCCAGAAGAGGACAGAGATGATGCGACGGCGGGACCACAAACCCGAATTACGTGTTGCGTATAGGAACGTTACTGAGTCAGCGAAACAAGAAGTAGGCACTGGCAGGATGCGGAAGCAGCGGAGAGTACTCACCTCTTGATCAAGGGTAAGAACGTAGTCATAAACGATGATCGTGAGCCCAGCCGTACTTGCAAGGCTGTGCGCGCAAGAGCAAGTGAGCTGAGGAAGAGAAAGTTAGAATATGACTGAATAACCAACGCACTTCCGTGTCAACAAATGCTCCGAGAATATTATTGGGACATCCGATACCGACGGCGGCATGGATTCCGACAACGTTTGGATCATCGCGCTTTTACTGAGCTTGACAAGGCGTCGAATCACAGGAGATAATGACGAAAGCCTTCAGGAGAGGAGCATGCAGGGGAAATACCAGTGGTCAGGTCCAAACCCCGTCAGCCCGTTGAAGTACGTAGGTTCTTGTAGCCAAACTGCTGTAGCGCGGCCTTCGGAACGTGAACTTCTTTCACAAACTTCTTTTCAGCCGTGACCATTTTCCCAAAGCAATACAGTGGACTACGCGTCATCGTCCACACTGAGCCCGTATTCATTTTACTGAATTGTGGGCGCCTATGGGTCCCACGTCTGTCCCGTTGCCGAAAGCCTGATTGTGGGTTTGATACTCTGCAAGAATTCACACATCAAGGACGTGTCCATGAAACCCAATAGCTTAAATCCATGGTAGATGGGAGGGGACAGGAGGGAGCTAAATGGAACGGGTTCAAGGGCTGAGGATTGTTGCATGGTGGAAGCGGCGCGGCATCAGAGGATAAACCCGTCGTGGAGCACTATGTATACAAGAATGGGACGATAGTCACTGTCCCATTTTAGATGCATGGGGCTCCAAAGCGTGGATTACAACCAGGGATAAGGTTCCGTTCACTACCCAATCAGAGAACACCAAAGCAGCATGGCGAACTTTTATACCCTTTTTGCTAGACCTGGAAGTAAGTTTTTCAGTAGCTCGAGAAGTACTTACATTTTGCGAGCGCTCTGCCAGTTGCCTCCGTACATACATCTATCTTGATTTGTTATCAGTACTCCGACGCTTTGGCCTGAAACCGAGCGGGCACTGAACGTGAGGACTATGAGGCGTTGGTCAATCATGGAACAAAAGGGTTAAAAAAGACCGAAGATAATATTAAGAGAAGCATGCCCTCAGCTAATAACAAAGTGAGATGTACACATGTACGCATGTTGGTGTCAAGGACCAACAAAGTTCCCGTAATTTCCACGAGCATCAGATAGCACAGTTTATACGAGTCAATCAACAGCGCAATTAGGAGCGCGAAGCTTCGGAGGAGCAATGCCTGAGGAGTCAAGAATGACAGTACAGCAAACCTCGGAATCACCGTCCCATACCCCATAGATACTGAAAGAGCAGTCAGAATCCTGTTCAGGCACGCAGTCCTGTCCTGGCGATGCACGACGCGATTCAATTACTCAGCAAAGAAGTGAAAGCTCTGAATCTGCTATCCCCGTGATCTTCAACGTCCGAAGGGCGGGGTAGAGTGGGGAAGCGCTGCGGGCCTTCGGGTCGTATACAAGTCTGCGCAGCACCTCGAGATAGCGAGAGGACATGTTAAACGCGAGGCTTGTGACGGGGTTCGTGGCACGAAGAAGCCCGTTTAAACCGATGGCTTGATCGCTGAGCTGCAGAGTGGTGAGCGAGTTGCTTCCGCCGAGGAAGCTGTCGAGCTGGAACAGCTCTGTCTGTGTGTAGGAGGGATTGTATCGAGCTCGGTGAATCATGAGACGCTTCAGTGATGGAAGCCTGAACGCGTTGATCATCGCGACGCTCTCGGGAGTTGAGATACCTATACAAAACTTGAATCCTCGACTTGTCTCAAGGTCACCGAGGGCAGGGTGGGGGTGTGCAACGATGCTCCAGTAATCGTCATACGAATGTCAAGACTCAGAGTCCTTAGGTTCTGCAGTTCTTTGACCTCCTGGAGGAACATGATATAGGAATCATTGCGTTTACCCACGCGGTGAGTAACAGCTCTCGCAAACTCGACCAGGGGACGTACAACATCAACTCTGCGAACTGCTTCATCGTGCCAAAAGGGCCACCAAAGGGGAAAGTTTTGATGTGCAGTGACGAAACGGGGCGAGAGCGCAAGTCCAAGACAACAGTTGGAGAACGATGCGTGATCCGCCTCCGCTCTAAGCATATGCGCTCAAGGCAGCCGACAGCCTCTGCCCACTTGGTTACGTCGAACCACCGTTCAATGTCCTGTTCAGACGACGAGACTCTTCAGCCGATCAATGTAATGAGAGCATATTCGATCATGAACGGATGAATGGACAGATTTCCCCCACTCGTCTACTTAGCTGACAGGGTGTGCGGTGAGGAACAGCGGGAAAGGTGCGATAGGGCTTGAACCGGAAGTCGAGCATGTCAATGTACTGCTGTACGTCGCCATCTCCCCCCGGCCGCTAGACGATGAGGTGGAAGTGTCGCCATAGATGGGTGGAATGATCAGCGACCTCCCTCCATCGTTTTCAGACGAATCGGAACAGGAGCGATGCTGCGCCGACGTCCCAGTTCGGTTCGCGGGGGAGACAGTGGACGAAGATGTTGTCGAGGATCTCATCAGGCATACGACGGACCGAGTGCGTCACCTGGAAGATCCGAGGTGTCTTCAATTGAAATGCTAGAGAGCTCGGAGACAAGGTCTGCTGTGGGATCTGCAGCACGAGTGCGGGAGGACATAGTCGTTTAGTGGCAAGCCAGGTCCACACTCCAGATCCGGCGTGTCGGCAGACTCGGGCCGGCCTATTTCCTCCCTCACTTTTACCACCTTCCTTTCGATAACTATTCACAGATGTCTGCTGTTGAGCCCCAGTACCCGTGGAACGGTGAGCACTCTTACAGATGAGAAATTTAGTTTACTCACGAATTCCTCAGCGACTCACACTCAGACTCACACCGCAGGGCATCGCCACGAGACGACAAAAAGAGAAAGAAAGAATGCAACGAGAGATTATACGGTACTTATACACGCACGGCAACAAACAAACAAACAAACCAACAGCACAAGTATGAAATTCTGTACGTAGGAAAAAAGAAAGGAATATTTATGTACTGTACCAATCGCAGCATGATACCATTTGCACAGTCCACGTCCCATTGCCCACGGCACAACACGGCAAAGTTCAACCCCACACTTTCAAGTTCCAAGTCCTCTGCATCCCGCCGCCGAGCATACACGAAACGCGACCGCGAACAATAATGCGCAACAGCGATACGGAAAACAAAAGTTGAACGGATATACACGCAACAAAAACATGTAACGTAGAAGAAGCGGGCACGCGCAGTGACAAGGAGGACCGCCGGCTAACTGAACCTGCCTCCAAATACTCATCCTCATCCTCATCCTCATCCTCATCCCCATCATCATTCAAACCGGAACGATCAAAACGGAGTGCGTACGATGGTGCAATGGTGCGATACCGACAAAGAAAAGAAAGAAAGAAAGAAAAAGTAGGCAAGGGGGGCTGATAAGCTGACAAGCAGCAAATTTTGAGGAAGAAGAAAAAAAGGTTGATAAATAATGACGAGATAGACAGCGACAAATGAGACGGGAGAAAAGAAAAGGAGGAAAAAAGACAGAAGAAAACGCGAAACACGAGCCGAGGCGAGGAGGAAATTAGGTATGGCCTGATGATAATACAGAGTTCAACCGATCGAGTGAGGACAGAGCTTGAGAGCGGGAAACCGAGACGACGGGGAGCGAGCGGGAGAAGGCGCCAGACAAGAAGGGGGTGTAAGAGCAGAGCAACGTGACGAGACATAGCACCGTCGAACCGGGATGAGATAACTGAAAAATTCATAGCGAGCGGGAGCAGGGAGCAGAGGACGAAGCCGAAAACACACAACGCGCACAGCTCACGACGACGATGGCATATCCGTCGCCCCAGGCATATTGAACCAGTCCGCGAAATCTCGCTCGAAATCGATCTGCCCATCCTGCCCAGGCATAAACATGTCCGGGAAATTGTCAAGCGAGCTTGCCATCTGCGTCATCATGTTCGTGTCGAACAGGTCTATCGGGGCTTGCTGCTGCTGCTGCTGCCCCTGCCCCTGTTGCTGCTGCCCCGGTGGCCCTGGCTGACCGTTCATCCCGCCTCCCTGCTGCTGCTGCTGCTGCTGCTGAGGCCCACCTTGCGGTCCACCCGGTTGACCCTGCGGCCCAGGACCACCAGGACCTCCGCCGCCAGGAGGACCACCAGGCCCGCCCTGCGGCACATTATTATGCGCCATCGCAGGCGACGGCGACGGATTCGTCATACTCGACGCAGTCCCGCTCGGCGTCGGCGGCGCCGTCCCCCCCTGCCCTTGCTGCCCTGGTCCTCCCTGCCCTTGCTGCCCCTGCCCCTGTTGCCCCTGCGGTCCCCCCGGTCCCCCGGGCGGCCCCTGCCCATGCCCAGCCATCGGCGGATTCCTCGGCGACCCCTCCGGCGCGCCCTGCGGTCCCCCACCCCCACCAGGCTTCATATCCTTATTCCCATCCTTTCCCGGCGGCCCACCCATACGCGGCGACGGCGGCGGCGGCATCATATTGCCCATGCCCTTATTAGCAGCCACCCGCGGGTTCTGCAGTCCTCCTCCAGGCGGGAACATGTTCTGCCCCGGTCCGCCACCAGGTCCACCAGGCTGACCGCCTCCAACGCCAACACCGACACCGTTAAACTGCGCCATGTCCGCGGGCGCCGAGTTCGGCCCTCCTCCGGGTCTGTTGGGGCCCATGTTGCCCATCATACTCTGCACCGGCCCCTTGTGCATGTTGGCCATCTGCGCATGGTACACGCCGTGCTGCTGCGGCTGCAAGTTCAACAATATCATCAGCACGTCGTCGTCATCACACTCCGCCGACGGGAGGAGGTGGGGATGGAAGTGGGAAGGAAGTGGGGATGGAAATGGCGAAAAAGAGGCGATGAAATGAAAATGTCGAGAAAAACAAGAAGAACCAAGAAGAAAAACCACTCACCGGCTGCCCCTGCGGCCCACCCTGCCCCGGCATAATCCGCTGCCCATGCATCGCCGGACTCATCCCCCCCATCCCCTGCCCCATCCCGCCCATACTGTTCATCCCCTGCCCCGGCGGACCCTGAGGAGGACCGCCAAAGTTCATCGGCTGGCCGCCCATCGGCCCAGGACCATGCCGCATCATACCGTTGGGCATCCCTTGCGGACCACCATGCGGGCCTGGACCCGGTGGCCCACCAGGCTGACCGGGCTGCAGGTGCTGGGGGTACGGTGTCCCAGAGCCGGGCTGCTGCTGTTGCTGTTGCTGCTGCTGTTCTCCGGAATTGCGGCGTGCTCGTTTGTTCGCGGGCGGTGATCCATCAGTGTTAGGCCCGTTATGCTAAAACGAGAACCCGCATTCAATCAGTTTCATCTTCGAGTCTAATCTCTGATGAACAGCGTACCTCTTCTCCTGGCGATGTGCTGCTACGCTTGCCTCCTCGCTGCTGCGCTTGCAACTGCCCATGCTGAAGCGGATGTGGCCCCTGGTGGTTCTGTCCCTGCATGTGCATGGACTGCATCTGCTGATTCGGGTTCGACGGGCCAGCAGGACCCGGCATACCACCCGGCATGCCAGGCTTGCCGCCCGTGCGCATCGCCAAGCGCTGCTTAACGAGCGCATACAGACGTTGCTACAAAAAAGCAACGTAAACACTCCCTCCAAAACTACGAGAGCATTCCAAATTTCTCAACGCACCTTTTCCTCAAAGGTCAGTTCCTGACGCGTCGCATACCCGAGATCCGCCTTAACCATGGCTACCTCGGGGGGCGGAAAACGCGAAATTTCAGCCGAAAGCATGGCCTCGTTCATCGGCCCAGGAGGACCAGGGCGGTTCGCCATCGAGGGGCTCGGGTGCATCATCCCGCCACCCTGACCAGGCGTGCCCGGTCGGCTCGGAGAATGACCGAGCTGGGAAAATGGCGGTGTCTGCGCTGGCGCGTTGCCCCCGAGCGTCGAGTTAGGCGGCATCATCCCACCTCCAACACCGGGACGAGTCATGGGCTGCATATGCGGTGACGGGTGGCCGAGGTTGCCCATCGGCGCCGAGGGGTGTCCTGGGGTCCCTGCCGTCTGCGGGGAGTTGGCCATCGTCGGGGACTGGTATGGTGGACCGCCGCCGACAGACCCGGGCATACCGCGTGGGGGTCCACCTGGGCGCTGCTGGCCGGGCATGATGTTGGCGAAGTTCTGTGGCGGGCCTCCTAGGCCTCCTGGCGGGCCGCCCCCCGATGGCATCTGCATGCCGTTCGGCTGCTGCATGCCCGAGGGACCTGTCGGGTTGAACATGGGTCCTCCTTGTGGACCTCCTGGGGGTCGGCTACCGGGGTCACCGACGTTGGGTCCTACGCCGTTGGGCATGCCGTTGAGAGCCATCGATCCTGGGGGCCTCGGAATGCCGTTGGGGCCTGCTGGGGGGAACTGGGGACGACTCTGGGGGAATCGGGGGTTGCCCGTGCGTGCGGCGTTCTGGCTGTTCTGGTGCTCATGAAGCATGAGGGCCATGACATGGGGACGGAGATTAGGGAGGGTACGCACCTGGGTGTACACCATTGCGTCGTCTGTTCCTGTTCCGCTGCTCTTTGCTGTGAAAAGTGCCCAGAAGACTGTCCACCATCTGGACAGCAAGTGAGAAGCAGCGACGGGAAGGGGATAGAAGGGGGTATGACGCACTCGAAGAGCAAACCTTGCCTTGCGTTGATGGGCGGAACCGAGTCCGACGACAGTTTCGCCTCCTGGAAGAGCTCGCGGGCTGTCTTGGTGAAGCCGCGTTTGGTACAGTAGTCGAAGATATAGAGATTAAACCTGTCGAGGGAATGGGTGAGCGGGACGGATGAAGGAGGGGGGAGGGACTTGCATGCTGTCACCCTCCCATGATACGGGGAGGATAGCTGTGTCATGGTCCTGCTGTGGCGGGACGGATGACGACGATCCTGGGATGACCGACGCCATGGGTGTTCTCGGGAGCGTCGGGGAGTCGGGGAGTCAGCTGGGAGGGATGTGGGAGGGGGGAGGAGGAGGGAGAGAATCGCGGTGCTCGGGAAGAGAAATAGAGTTGGGGTGGCAGAAGCGGGCGGTGTGGGAGATATAATAACTGTAAACGGCCGACTAAGCGCCCAGAAGGAGCGTCCTCGGGCCAGTCAAGCAGCCCTTGTCAACGCAGCACTCGACCTGTCCGCTGCTGTCCTCGACGACGAGCTAATAGGCAGATGTTGTTGTGGGAGGGGGTGGATGTTGTGGATGGGTGGATGGACGTGGAGAGGAAGATAGCTGTTGGCTGCCGAACGAGAGGCACAAGGCGGATGGGAAAGTCGACAAGTGACCCCGACAACTCCCACACAATCAATAAACAATCAACAACACTACATTACACTCTACCTAGCTGTAAAATAAAATATCATGTCCAAATCCTCTATGTCATAAACTAATGTCGGCGAACTGCCGCAATCTGGAAATCCCACCCGCCCACCATATACTTCACCTCCACAAGCCGCTTGATCTCCCGCCACCCCGCCTCCATCTCCTCCGCCTCCGCCAGGTCCGACACCACGTAGATAAAGTCCGCCGGCGAGAGCAGCGACCGCAACAGCGACCCGATCAAAAACGCGATCAGTGCAGTCATCATCACCATCCACAGCGAGAACCGCGCCTCCCCCAGCCCCGCCGCCGCAGAACTCAGCGTGGCCGTCGCAGCCGCAGTCGCGCTGCCGACCCCCCCACCACCAGCACTGCTCTTGCCACCCGATTTGCCTTTGCCCCGCTCGCCCGTACCAGCCCGTGACGACGCTCTCCTCCCGTCCTTGCCACGCCGACCATTCGCCTCCGACGTCCGGCCGGCACGTCCACCGCCACCGCTGCCATCGCCACCATTACCGTTGGCACCGACTGGCTTCGCGGCCCCAGAAGAAGAAGACCCAGACGCCCAACGTGTGAGCGGGTTGGGATACGCGTTCAAGAACCCCAGCAGGCCCCCAACAGAAGACCCAGCCGATGACGCTGGCGCAGCATGGCCCCCACTCCGAGTCGTGGCCGCTAGCCCATTCTCGGGCACGTCCTGCATAACGCACAGCGCGCAACCGGAACGTGCCACAGAACGAAATTGAACAAGGTTTGCAAGGACCGGTGCGGAGCATAATCGCGTGTCAGCCATCTATCCACGTTTTCCCGATAACGCACTGCGATGCGATCGCTGCGACGTACCGGGTCTATAGATCCGTTCTGCCCCTCTTCGGAAGCGGATGTTCCACCCTCGCTCGTCTTCGCTTCAGCGTCCGCGGCATCGCTGACGGGAACCACCGCACTCGCATCGAGCAGATGCTCAGCCAGCCCAACAGGCGTCTTCAGCTCCTCGGGAAACGCGTCCGCCGGGCCATTCATCCTGCAACGAGGCAGCATCAGCAATCAGCACCACCCCCAGAAGTCGTCGTCCAAAGCCCAATTAGCGCGCGCCAATAACAAAACGCCACCCACACCCTGTCCCCCGCTCCACCCCAGCCAGCCAAACCAAGCCAAGCCAAGAAAAAAAAACGTTGCACCCACCTCGTCAGCACCGCCATCCTCGCCACCTTGTCATCCTGCAACTCGTCCCTCCCCAGCGTCGTCAGCGCCTCCTTCTCCGCCACAACCTGCACACTCTCCCCGTCCACCGTCACAACATACGCCCCGCGCCGCGCCGCGACAGCCGGCTTAATCCGCACGTCCACGATGAACCCCTTCTCCTGCAGATCGACGAGCCACGCCGGCCGCGGCGGCGCACCGCGCGTCTCGCCCGTCAGCGGATCCTGCACCGTCGACACCTGGAACTGCGCCGTCGGCAAGCCCAGCCTCAGCAGATGCCGCGGCGCGCGGTCGTCCGCGTCCGCGCTCAGTCCCGACGAGTGCAGCGGCGACGCGGGGACAGTGTACACCGCGTACGTGAGCGGGAGCACGTGCAGCAGGTCCTTGGGGCGCTGCAGCGCGACATGGTGACAACGTCGCGTACTTGAACCAGAACCAGAACCAGAACCAGAACCAGAACCAGAGGTAGAATGAGGACCGGATCCCCGCGGACGCGAATACACCTGCGCCTCGTACCCCTCGGGATAGAGCTTACAGTCCACCACGATTTCCGCTACAACCAAGTCCAACGGCTGCTTCACCTCGCCCTTGAGCGTAAACGCCGACGAGCTCGTGCGCAGCCTCTCCCCCGCGCTCCGGCCCACCGACAGCGTGCCCGCGCGGGGCACCGACGTTGACAGCGAAGGCGGCGGCGGTGGCGTGATAACCGAGCTCGGAGAGCCCGATAGCGTCGCAGCCCTCGTGTGCCCCCCTGTTGTTTGTGATACCGAGGCGGCGCGCCGCCGATCCAAGGTGGAGCTGTTGTTGTTGTTGCTCGACGCGGAGGCAGAAAAGACAGACGCCGTCGGGGATGGAGACGGCATCTCAGTCCGATCGGGCCGGACGTCAGACGGTATGACGCCAGCGCTGCCGTTGCCATTTGGGGGTGAGGAAGGCGTCGCCGCGATGACGCTGGCGCCAGAATTGAGCTTCGCCGTATTCTCTTCGACTTTTGACGTCGACGGTGCTGCCGAGATCGACGGCAACGACGCCGGAGAGAGCCCGCCCGTAGTGATCAGCAGCGAGCTCGTGTACACCCTATCCTCGGGCGTGAACTGACTCGCAATAAGCACCCTGCTGTCGTCCCTCCTCCTGAACTTCCACGCCTGACTGTCCGGCGCCGCGTCCTTCGCTTCCGCAAGCACCAGCCCCGGCGCAGGCAGCCGCGTGAGCGGGCTCGGCGCAAATCCCGCGCCCTTCATGTACGCCTCGAGCGCAAGCACAGAGCGCGACGCGAGCGTCCCGTTGATCATCATGTTCACCGCAGCCGGAATCGAGCCCGCATAGTCGACAGCGACCACGCGCGTGCACCGCGTCGACGGGATCATATAGTTCTCCTTCGTGTACGGGTCCAGCGTCTCGAGCACCCACGCGTCCACGAACACGCGCCCGATCGGCAGCCCGTACGCGTTGTACTTCTCCGCCGCGAACCGCCCCGCCGACGCCGCGCTGAACGACGTCGCCACGCAGATCGTCACCGTGCGCGCGGCAGCGCCCACCAGACCCGAGCCGGCGTCGGCCGTGGGCCCGCTGTCGTCCCCTGTGGGCGTGTTGATGCTCGCGGGCGGGAGCCGGGCGCGTGCGACGAGCGACGCGAGATAGAACCCGCGGTCGCGGAATGGGAAGCCGCCTTTGGAGACCACGAATGCGGCGTGGCACTTGGCGTCGACTGCCTCGAGCACGCTCGCGCTGTCGAACCGGTCGTCCCACTGCCGCCGGCAGTCGTACGCTGTCACGACCGCCGCGACCTCCTCCGCGGCGACGCCCTCGATCACTTTCTCCCCCCGGTGCACTGGAATTAAAGACGAGATGTTGGGTACAACTTTGCGCTGCACCGCGATGCCCTTGTCGCTCACGGGCGTCCATCCTTCGGGGTTTGGGTCGGATTGGAGCGCGTGCACGGCGTGCAAAGCGTTCACCGCGTGCTGCATGGGCGTCCGCGACGAATCCACTTCGGTTCCTTCACCGAGGCTGACGCCCACCGCCGGAGAAATCGCAGCCATAGCCTGCTGCGTGCTCGCAGCCGCCGACTCCACCGCCGACGTCCAAAAACTCGTCAGCGGACTCGAGAACCGCGGCGCCGACAACAGCCACCCCGACGAAGGCGACGACGACAACGCCGGCGACCCCGCAGGCGACGACGCGCCCACAGGCGACTTGGGCAGCTCCTGCACCGGCGAACTGCTCCTCGGCGTCGCCTCCGCGCTGTCCACGCCCCACTCCGCCTTGCGCCTCCGCACGGCATTGACCACCGGCGGCTGATCGAGCGGCACCCGCACCGGCTTGATGCGCTTCTGCTTCGTGAGCGCCTTGATCTCCTGCTCCGCGATCTCCTCGACGTCCACCGCGACCTTCGCCCCGTTGACCATCACCGTGCCCTTGTCCTTCCCCGACACCGACGGGCCCCGCCGCACGATAATCTGCAGCCGCTCGTCGGTCGCGAACATCGCGTCGTGCGTCAGACTCAGCCACAGCCCCCCGCCGCCGGCAGAGAGCCGGTGCCGCCGCAGACACGTCACGTTCTGCGGCGGCGGGTCCGCGACGATGTCCAGCGCCGCCGCCCACGTGTCGAGATCGCAGCGGAGCTCGCACTCGATCGTCTGGGCCGACGACGACGACAGCGCCGGCGTCCTCTCAGCGTCGGCCGGCCCCGCTGCCGCCAATGGCAACGACACCGGCGGATTCGGGATCCTGCGGCTGTCCGCCTTCTCGTACTCCACGCGGAGCATCCCCCGCTCGTGGTCGTACCGCACCTCGGTCGCCTTGGCGCCCTCGAGCCGCGTGACGACGGGCGGCCCGCCGCACTTGATCGTGTACTCGCCCACGCCCGCGACGGCGTTGACCATCTGCTGCGGGATCGACGCCTTGTTCGACCAGCCCTTGGGGTCGGACTGCTCGAGCAGCGTGAGCTGCGTCGTGCTCGGCGAGAGCGCCTCGATCGCCCAGCCCTGCAGGTCGACTTGCGTCCGGATGACGTTGGGGTCGGCTTGCGGGATGTTGGGGAAGAGGTATGGGTCGTCGGCGGAGAAGGCGAAAACGTGAATGGTCGTGGGGGATTTGTAGACGGTTCGTAAGAGTACAGCGTCGCGTCCACTGTTGAAATGAAACGTTAAGTGACAAGAAGTCAGCACGGTGCGGGAGAACGTACTTGACAGGCCAAGCAGGCTTCGTCCGGAAATGCCATAGTTGCGTAAGCTCATTAACGTCTTCCAGTAACGTGGCGTCTTCGTGCTGCTTGTCCCAGAACACTCGGGCGCCCGGAGTCATCAGAGCGCCAAACAGATCCCACAGCCCAACGCCGACGAAGGTGGCTTCTGCTCTGTACACCACGAGCGTGGGGTCAATGGAGTCCAGCTGAGTGACAGAAACACCACGAGCGTCCGTAGCTACACGCATTTGGTCAGAGAAAACGGACGTCGAAGTATACGGAAAGCTCACTTGACTTCCACTTCGCTTCCGGCTCTTGCAAAAGCGACGAAAAGTAGATATAGCTCCGCCTCACGCGGGTCAATATCGACTTCTCAGCAGCAGCCGACCGCTCGCTGAGCGTGCGTGCGATCTGCGGGCGCGCCACAGAGGCAGTAGACTCATTCGACTTTACAGAGCCAGCGCTCTGCGACGACGTGACGGAGGGATCCGTCTGGAAACTCGACTCGGAGACGTCCTGGAGCGGCCCCTGCGAGATCATAAACGCCGACGGATCGCGCTCCTCGATCCCCTGTATGGCCTTCGGAATCCCGTTCAGACGGATGCCGCTCGACGGGCCCGAGAGCTCGATGACGCAATGGACTTTGAGGATGGAGGTGTCGTCGGGCAGCGGCGAATGCGCGAGTTTAAAGACGATGGGCTCGTTGGTGGACTTGTTGGACACGGAGCGCTTTTGCGTCGCGTCGAGCGTCCAAGGGAGCGTCTCGACCTTCTCTGAGGACGCTTTCGTCGTGATCTGCACGTCCCAGCCCTCCTTTGGCGGTAAAAAGCACTCGATCGACCGTGTCAGCCTCCGGTGCTCCTTGATCACATCCAGCTCGCTGACGCCCCCATTATCCTCTGCCGCGTGCGCGCCGTGTTCCTCGTCCTCGGGGTGGACGGTGTAGTCGAGCGTAAGCGCCTGCCGATCCAGCTGGAAGCGGATGCGCTCGATGCTGATGCCGTAGCCGTAGCCGGTCAGCATCGGTATGCGCGCGCCGCGCGTCTTGACGGTCTTGTAGAGGCCGAGCATCATCGTGCTGAGCTGCTGGCATACCGAGGCGTTGGTGGAGATGTTCCACATCGATCGGAGGTCGTGCTGCCAAAAGCAGGTAATTCGTATGCGAGGGGCCGTAGAGAGTTTCTTGCGCAGGGCCTCTGCGGGCTGGGGCGACTGCGGCATGGAGGGCTGGATGAGCTGTACGCACCACGCAAAGACTATGGAGGGGTGTAAGTTCTGGAAATGGAAATGACGGATCTTGGGGGACTTACGTGCAACGTCTGATCTGACGTAAGGGGGAGAAGGGCGGAGGTACCGGGGCTCGTCAGGGGAACGTGGTAATGAGGTCGAGATGTCGATGACGGTGGACGAGTCCTGGTACAGGCGGGATATTGTTACAGCATCGCGGGGACTGAGTGAACGTTAAAGAAAAATAAAAGAGACATGGACAGGAGAACACACTTTGCAGGCCACCCAAGCGTAAAGCTAGTCTTGGCCACCCGTGTCCTATGATCAAACATTTCCACGAGCTGCGCTCTCTCCACCGCCGGGTCCCATTCTTGCCGCGTCTCCGGTGTGCTCAGGACGGCCTTCCATGCGTCGAGTGAAACGGGCTCGTCGATGTTTTGAACATCGAGAACAAGGCGGTATATGCCGTCCCCGGATTTAGTAGCCTTGCGGTGGACTACAACGTCCGCCAGTTCCGGGGTGGCGCCCGCTCTTGCTTTCCCCTTGGACGGAGCGGTCGTGTCTCCTGATAACGATATTCGTTTCCAGTCTGGGGATGAGTGGGAAGCGAGGAGCTGCTTGAAGCTCGCTTCAGCCTCGCCTAAAGCACTGTACCATGACTGACGTAGCCTGTGCGTGGTCGCCGTGAGCACACAAGCACTGTTTTTCACTCATCTGAGAAACATACCGAGTTCCGTCTGACATTAGAGGATGAGGAGGAGATGAAGGGAGTGCACGACTCAACCCAACACGCGCACGTCTTGGGGCAGCTGCGACCGGAATATGGGATTCATTGGCCACGTGACCCTTATGTCATTTTACGGGCCGAAACTGGCCTTCTTCCGCGGACCAATTTCTCTGCTTGACTCGACAACCCACCACGTCCTGGAGACCGATACCAACGACACAGAAAAACCTCCATCGATGGTCAACAAACTCGTAGACGGAGTGAACGGAGTTGCTAGCAGGTGAGTGCTAGTGGTCAAAGCTCTGGTGACGTTCTCACAGAACACGCCTCCAAGTTCCACCTCTCAGGATGCCCGTGTACTCAGCATACAGTCCCATGTAACCTACGGCTACGTTGGTGGAAAGGCTGCTGTCTTTCCTTTGCAATGTATGGGCTTTGACGTCGATGTAAGAACTGTCTGCCCTGCTGACGTCCGTCGCCTGAATCGGCCCTGATAGGTCATCAATACCGTCAACTTCTCTAATCACTCGGGCGAGTCTTCAGAGAGTTCCTGCTTGCTGTTAGCTGACGGGAGAGGCGGGATTAGGATATGGACACCTCGGAGGCACGAAAACTTCAGCAGAGGAGCTGGAACGCATCATCGCCTCGATGAAGCATATCGGACTCTTGCGTCCAGATCGACTCTTGACTGGTAGGGCTTCGTCCATCACTATCACCTTGTATCACCCACTCTACTTCGTCAAGGATACACTTCTTCTGCAGAAGCGCTTCAAGTAGTTCATAAGCTCGCTGCTGATCTTCGCCAAATAAACCCCGATCTTGTCTATCTACTAGATCGTGAGTGGGCCTCCAAGGATGACCATCTCGTACTGAAACGTAGCACAGCCGTACTCGGAGACTCGGGAAAACTGTACGTCTCGCCAGAAACAGTCCCCGTCTATCGCGCGATGCTCCCTCTAGCTACTGTGATAACACCCAACTGGTTTGAGGTGGAGTACGTGCCCCATTCGTGCACGCATCCTACCCGTACCTAATCAAGTCTTCTAGGGTCCTAACAGACATCAAAATGAGCGACATGTTCTCCCTCCGAGCGGCAATCCAAAAGCTGCACGACGAGTACCACGTCCCCAACGTCGTCATCAGCTCCATCCCCCTGCGCCAGTGGCTGATCGACTCCCTACCCGAATCCATCCGGCCACCGCAATCCGCCGACGAAGACGCCCAATACCTCCTCTGCATCTCCTCATCAGCAACCGGCCCGTCCACAGTGCACGCGCGCTGCGTGCCCCTGATCCCCGGCTACTTCTCCGGCGTCGGCGACCTCTTCTCCGCGCTCCTCCTCGGGCACTTCATCCCGCCGTCCACCAAAACAACACCGCTCTCCCAGCCCGGCGACAGCGCGCAGACGGCGCTGTCGCGCGCGACGTCCGCAGCGCTCGCCAAGACGCACGCGCTGCTCGCGCTGACGGACGAGTACACACGGCTCTTGCCCGAGGACGAGCGCATCCCGACGGACGAGGAGCGGGACAAGGTCGATCCGGTGCCCAAGTTCAGGCGCATGCGCGGGCGGGAACTGAGGCTCATACAGGGGCAGCATATCTTTAGACAGACGGAACTGCGGCCGGACGAGCAGATGCAGGAGTGGGCCGGGTTCTGGTAACTCGCAAGCCAGCGGGGCGTCGTCGGTGTCTGGATACTGTACTCGGCATTGGTAGATCAGACTCTCTTTACCGAAAGAGATGATAGACAGGGGTATAGACAAGTTGCATCATTCGTATGCTACAAAGAGCGAAAGTAAACATAACCGTTTTGATACTCGACCCAGGCTCAAAGACAACAGCTGCGTAACACAGCGATGAACGAAAGATCTAGTAGTAGCAGTACAAGCCCGATCGGCCCGGCGGTCTAGGCGAGCTAAGAAATGCCCGAAAGCTTCAAACTCCAAAATTCCTCCGCCACAGAAAACAAGCAAAACACCACGCCCCTATCTGGCCCTCACGCACTCGGCGTCCGCATCGCCAAGCTCGTCGCGAGCAGCAGCTCGAGCATAAACCGTCCAGACTGTCCGACCGCAAGCCACCATGATAAAGTGCAACGACGACAAGCAACAAATCAAAAGTCGGATCCGAAGCGTAGTATCTCGTCAGCACCACAGAACGCCCAAAAGCCCAGCTGGGCCAGGTGGAGCACCACTCACGCACCGGATACACGCGCAGCTCGCCGTCCTTGCGCATCGCGAACGTGGTGACCCGATAGGTCGCGACGACGCTATCGCGCGAGTCCAGACACTGCCCCGCCGTGCGCCCCATAAGGCCGTCCAAAGATGAGAAGTCGAATGAGGTTGTGGGCCATGTGCACCAAGGAGCATTCCGGCGACCAGATAATTCATGCGGGATGGAATAGGTAAGTCCGTGAGAAGCCGAGAAGCGGTAGATGGTATGAAAGGGAAAGAAGGATATTTGAGAGAAAGAGAGAACAAGAAGGGTAAAAAGGCGGATAAAGGGAAAGGAAAAGCGCAACCGGACACCATGCACAACTTCCAGGCGCCCCAAACAATAATAAGAAAGAAAGAAAAGAAGATGAAGAAGAAGAAGAAGAAGGAAAAGCCAGACCAAAAACGCACCTGCAAGTCGTTCCTCCAGAACAACGAGCTCGGCCTCCACCTATACTCGTTGTCGTCCGGCCCGCGGAACCAGAACGTGGCATCGAACGCGCTCGGCGAGCTCAGCGTCGTCCGCCAGCGCTCCCTCGCCGAGCCCGGGCGCGTCGCCGTCCCCGCGCCGAAGAGCGTGACGTTGAGCGAGGTCGAGATGTGCAGCCCGTAGTTGGTGTTGTTGAATGTGGACGCGACGTGGCACGTCGGCGGGCCCAGGTCGTTTGGCGCGCCGGCGTGGATGGTCAGCGCGAAGGAGGACTGGGTGCGGGTGCCTTTGACGAAGTATCTGCCAGGACGTACAGTAAGCAACGGGAAAGGTGGAGAGTGTATGTGGCAATTAATCTGACGTACAGGACCGCGGTCTTCTGCGAGTCCTTGATGATCTTGTCGTCGCTAAGCAGACCCCCGTGTCGGTAGACATGCAGCGACACAGGATGTCGGGCTCCTTCAGATCTTGCCGTATCCATGCACTTTGGAAAGGAGGGGAGTCAAAGAAAGAAACAAGGTAGCACGTAGTAGCACAGGCAGCATGCATGCCAGCCTGAGACAGGGCAGCAGCACTGACGTCGCCCCTGGACAATGGATGACTGGTCAGCCCCGTTCGCTGTTCCTATGGCGCACTACGGTCCCCTCGAACCGGAAGCAGAACAAAGGCAGAAAGAAAGGGCACGCAGTTTCACCCGGCGCGGGGTTATAAAACGCACGCACGGTGGCAGATCGCCCACTGCGTACTGCCGCCTACAGTGCAGGAACCAAAGAAGTTCTAGGACCGCCCAGGAGGTCACGGTGGAAGAAGTCGGCGCCGTCGAAAGTAATGAAAGTTTGAAACCTTGCCTCACCTTCTTTACAAGTAAGGCGCAGCTACAGCTGCCGGGGGAGTTCGAGGGAGAAACAGACCGTATCGAGCTCCCAGCATCAGCTCCGGAACGCTTCGGTGTACCATGCTGGGCACAAGCGTTTCGTAAATATAGAAATCGTAGATCTGCTGTGTTACAGCGACGAAATCCCGGTCGAGTGGGACGACGAAGATCGGGGCATCTGCACCGGCGTTGCTGCATGCGATAACTGTAGTTGCGTCCACCGTCCACCGCCCATCGGCCAGATCCAAGTCACGGCCTCGGCGCAAACTTCTGCACGGCGTCGTGGCATGGAAGCCGACGCCTCAACGTTAACGGTCAGGAGACGCACACGAATCACTGCATTTGGTGTAGGCGCAAGCGTGATTCCATCCAGGAAAAGCGGCCAGCTTACCATGAATTTCATCTCGAGCGCCTTCCTTGTTCTCGTCTGGGCATCGAGAAGACCCTCCACAAATCGACTGCGGGCCGCAACGCCCACCGATGCGCCGAGCTCTGCGGGTAACCACGAGGAGGTGTGAAAACGGCTGCAGCGGATCGTTCGAAAGAGGGGCGGCGAGTGAACTCCCGCCAATACCAGTTTGGGGACCTGGAAGCGCTAAAGATTCATCAGCTTTGTGATGATGCATATGGTTGCGAGGTAAACAGACGAAATGTCCCTTCTCAACCTTCAATGTTTTTCCATGGCGTGTAGAGACTGGGAAGGTCGCAAACGAACCTCCGCTAGCGCTTCGACGGTCGCCTGTACACGTCTTTCAGGTTACTGCAAAAGGGTCGACGATTGTCTGAAGAGTTCGTATGACCGCCTCTGACGTAGTGGAACAAAATTAAACCTCGGGTCCGATTCAATTGTACTTGTCGTAAATTTGGAAAGGTAGCCCAGGCAACCGTTCCCCGCCACGTTGCCATCCACGAGGTCCTTCGTTGTTCAAGGCCGCAGGCCGGACCGCGCTGTAGGTCTGAGAGAACGTGGAGCACCGTCTGATCTTTGACGCGCGTCGGCCGCTTCTCAGTGAACGTCGTTCCACGTTCTGCGAAGAAAGCTTTAGATGAGCACCCCAGAAAGACTTCGCAAAGCGCTGGTAACAATTGAATATTCCAGTTTTGACAAGACTGACCTCGTTCGTGGCTCTTGAAAAACTTCCTGACGATTAAGTTTCATGGGAGAGAAGAGAGAACTACAACGAGCGTCGACGCCCATATCATGCATTCATCGATGTACTCATCTCATCCTTCGATTATTGCTTCGAGTGAACGTTCCACGTCCTTGGCATCGTGCACCGGTTCGCCGAATGGGTCTTGAGAAAAGGCCTGTCAGTCTGGCTTAGCTTCATCTACAGTCATTTGCATTCCAACCCGGAAAACGCGCGTCTCGCGGCGTGTTTGTTCTGGACAAAGCTTAGCCATATATGGTAGTCACGCGCGAGCTTTTGATACTCCGACGTGACTTCGGCTTTATGGACGCTGCTGTTGTGCCTCGCAGTCAACACACTGTAATACAACCCGCGTCAGAGAGTTTTGTTTAGTAGAGTTGATTAAGTTAGAGTATAGTGATACCAATCTATCTCACCACAATACCTAAGTCATGTTGCTTCAGATCAGCTCGGAATTATACCACAAATCACCAAGTGGTTTTTTGACGAATAAAACACTGCCTGTCAAGGAGCCTCAGATTGTTGCCTGAACCCTTGCCCGAACCGGCACTTAGATCCTCTTCTGCAACATCTACGAAATAATTTCTCACTATCGGAAGACAGACAGTGTTGACCGAGTCCAATTCCTGGCCTCAGGCCTCAGGACGTGCACGGATTTCATCAACTGAAATGTCAAACATGTTATACTAAGTAACATGAGTCTATACTCACTCAGGCATCTATCTTGACAAACTCTAAGTGCACCTTTTGGAAGAAGGAGTATTCATGTATTGATTCAACAGTTTCACAACTCCTCCGGGGCGCTGCATTCTCCCACAAGGAGGATCCACAAGACTGCGGGCAGCATAGAAGGAGGGGGGAAACGCCTGGAAACGGGCCCAGCGGTAACAGACAGTCACACTGTGATCGCGTGTGACCACAAGCCAAATCGGGTATGAGTTTGCGCGGAACAAACAGTTCGCGAGACGCGCGTTTTCCGGGTTGGAATGCAAATGACTGTACGACCCAACCGCAACGAGCGCTGTCGTTCGTCGATGCCCCTCGTCTCATCCTTCAAGCGAACGCTCCACGTCCTTGGCATCGCACCGCGCATATTCGCTTCAAACAACCAAGTCAACGTTAATATAGCCACAAAAGGCCCACCAACGGCATACGCAAAGATTGAAAGGGGGTTCGAACGAACAAGTCTGATGAACCTACGATACATCTGCATCAATGACCGTCCATCCACATCGCCGATCACCGTCCAACGTCCAACAGCAAGAGCGGGCCTTGCGCTTCCTAGTCCAGCCTGCGGCGTTTACCCATCCCGCCGCCCTGCCCCGCGGTCGCAGCCGCGCTCTTGCGCTTCACGCTCTCCACTAGACTCTTCAGGTCCCGTTCCTTGCCGCCTCCACTTATCGAAGAACCGATGGTCGCTTCTTGCGGTGCCTCAGAAGACGCATTCTTGCGGCCATCCCTGCCCTTGTCCTTGTAACGCTTCGACCGCTCGTCGAGGAGCGCGCCCATGCTCTTCGTCTTTTTGTACCTGCAGAGATATACCCGTCAGAGACAGGAGAAGCGACATGGAAGAGGAGGATGAGGAGAAAGAAGAGAATCCAAAAACGCAAACGCACCGAGGATTACTAGGATCAATCGCAAAATGATGATCCTCGTGGACAGCCTTGAACCGCTCGTCCTTGACGTCGATCGCAAACGTCTCCTGCAGCTCGTTTTCATTACCATCGTCCTCCTCCGCTCCTCCCTTCTTGTTCTTCTTATTCTTCAGCTTCCTGTCCTTGCGATTCCGGCCCTTGGCTTTTTCGGCTTTGAGGATCGCCTTCATGTCAAAGTGCCCGGGGCCGCCGCCCGCCGCGTCCGATGCGGCGAGGAGCGCGAGCTCGTCGGCGGTTGCTTCTTGGCGGGTTGTGTTGGTCTTGACTTGGTCGGAGGACTTGGATTTGGGTCCTTTCTTCGGCTTCGACTTGGGACGCATTTCCTCTTCCTCCTCGAACGTTGACCGCCCGAGCACATCATCGTCCTCCGACCCAGACACGCCAAAGAACTCGTCCTCCTCGCCCAGCCCTCCCGCACCCCCGTCCCCTCCCACCCCCTTCCCTCTCTTCTCACCCCTACCCTCCTCACCACCATCAACCCCCGCCCCCTTCTCCGCCCTCTCCTCCTTCCTCTTCTTCCGCTTCTCCCGCATCTTGCGCTGATACCTATCCAGCGTGCTCTCGTCGCCCTTATCCGCGCCCCCGCTGAGCGCAGGCGCAAACGTCACCTGCATGTCCACGTCGCTCGCACCCCCGCCGCTGCCATCGCCATCATCGCCGTCTGCGAACGCATCCCCGCCACCGCCCCACCCCTCGGGGAGTTCGTCGTTGTCCCCGCCGAGAAGGAGGGCGCGGAGGTTGTCCCGCGCTGACGATTTCGACTTCGATTTCGATTTTTGCTTACTGCCGTTGCCGTTGGGTGCGACCTTGGTATTGGCGTTGGCAGCGTTGGCAGAAGGTTTGGCTTCGTCCTCGGAGCCAGACGAGGACGAGGAGGCGATGTATGCGCGGAAGTCGGCTTCTTCGATCTCCTTCTTTGTCAGCGTGCGCCGCGTGAAGTGGTTCCGCTCGGCGTCGTCGTCGTCCCATGTGAGCTTGACTTTTGAGTTTCGGAGCGCCTGTTGGATTGGGTTGAGTTGGAGTTGGAGTAGGGAGTAGAGGTAGACAGGCGGCACGATAAGACGAGATGCGATGCGATGAGGTACTTACGTCTGTGACGAAATCGACTGCTTTGTATGTGCCGTTTGGCTCGCCGACTGCTTCGTCTCTGAATAGCGGAATGCATGAATGAGCCGATGTGGAGGTGAGACGACTGCTAAATTTGCGTACCTGCATTCCTCGTCGAACTCCATACCATCCGGGACGAAGCTGAGATCAAAGACGTTCGCTGAGCGCTCAAGCTCCGAGCCCTGCAGCTCGTCGTAGATATGCGACGCAGCATCGACAGTGTCACACTCCGCGACCGCATAGTAGTATCTGCACACACCCCGCACAACCTCATGTCAGCCCACCTGCGTCTACACACATAAACGCGCAGCATTACCTACCGAAGTCGCTCAAGCTGATACTTCCTCAGCGCATCCTCATCGTACTCGTCCGCATCGCCCGTTTCAAAGATCGTGCGCTCGTCGATATCCTCCTCCCTCAGCTCCTTCTTCTTCTTCTTGAACAGCTCAACGGGCGGACCCTCCCTCTCCTCCCTCTCCAGCCGCTCCTTGCCGAACGAACTCGGGTACACGCGCACGCTGAGCACGCGCCCGCGCGCGATCGTCGACGGCTGGCCTCTAAGCAGCTTCTGCCTGTCCTGATGGACCGCGTGGGTCGATGTGGAGGCGGCAGCGGAAGCGGCAGGCGAGACGAGGGACGAGAAGATTTTGTACAGGTGCACGGCGCGGACGTGGTCCCAGTCGAGGTTCACGACGGCGAGGCGGCGCGTGCGCGGTGCTTCTTCGTCGTCGTCCGCATCTGCGTCTGCAGCAGTCTGGGCGCCGGACAGCGCCGTCGCCTGTGCGTCGAGATCGGCGAACTGGGACTCGTCGAGGTCGATCTCGGCTTCCTCGCCCTCTTCGTCTGAGTCGTCGGTGTCGCGCCCGAGCTTGACAATGCCTCCGTATTCGCTGCCTGCTTCTGATATGTTGGCTTCGTCATCGTCGTCCTCTTCCGAGGAAGACTCCATGAGGACCGCTCCACGCGCAAGATCGGGCTTTGGGGGTTCGTCTGCGGCATCCTCCTCGCCCTCGAGACGGTAGAATCGGCGGAGGTCGTCACGGTCTTTGGTCTGCGCGACTTTTCGGCCGTATTTGTCGACGCGTGCGGCTAGAAATGTCGTAAAAATTAGTGACCAGCAGGAGGACGGATGAACGGATGAGCGCACGAGCTTTCTTGTCTCCCTTTTTGTCGTCAAAGATGCTCTTGAAGCGTTCATCTACGACGACCTTGTTCTTTTGCTTTCTCGGTTTTCGAAAGCGAGGATCTGTTTTGACCTTTGCAAATCGTGGGTCAGACATTTTGAGTAGAGATAAGTAGTTGGTTATATGCTCATAAGCGTCGGACTCAGGAGGTGAAGAGACTTATGCGGTGGCTGTGCCAGATTTCTGTATTTGGAGGGGAGAGACGCGGGACGTGCCGGGATAAATTGTCCCACGGTGTTTGCACCTCCTCCCCGTCGTCGTTCCGTTGTCTCGTCCTCATCATCCATGGCCTCCAGATTCGCTCTCTCCTCTCTCCGGGCAGGTAAGCGTCGGTTGACTGGATTTAGAGAGAAAAATCTGACAAAAAACATAGCTCGCCCTCGCGCCGTGCCCACCGTGGCCCGCGCTGTCTCTGCGTATGTTTCTTCAACATCCAGCAATGCCCTCGCTGACCTCGCCTTTTCCTCTTGTCCGTATATGCAGTCGCTCCATGAGCTCGCAGCCCCCATCGGAAAAGGCCTCCCAGATCATCGACAACATGCCCTCCTCCCCCGGTCTCGTCACCAAAACCGGCTCGGTCATCCTTGGTTCGGGTCTCCTCGCCACCGCCATCTCCCAGGAGCTCTACGTCGTCAACGAGGAGACTGTCGTCCTCGCTGGCACCGCCATCCTCTTTGCTTTCATTGGCAAGGTGCGTAGCCACGTTTTTCTCGACCGCCGCTTGCCTACTTGGCTGGCGGACGCATACACAACATGCTGACACGCGTTTGCGGTACGCCTTCAGATGATCCGGGAGCCTTACCGCGACTGGGCGGACGGCCACATCGACCGCGTTCGCAAGGTCCTCGAGGGTGCCCGTGCGGAGCACACCCAGGCCGTCAAGGACCGCATCAACTCCGTTGAGCAGATGAAGGACGTCGTCTCTCTCACTGAGGGCCTCTTTGCTCTCTCCAAGGTGCGCCTTTCCACCTCTGCAGTGCTCATGTGATGGGTTTGGCTGATGCAAGACATGAATACACAGGAGACCGCGCAGCTCGAGTCGGAGGCATTTGTGCAGAAGCAGAAGGTCGCCCTTGCGTCCGAGCTCAAGTCGGTCCTCGACAGCTGGGTCCGCTTCGAGCAGCAGCAGAAGGAGAGCGAGCAGGCCGAGCTTGCCAGGTCTGTCATTGACAAGGTGCTCGCTTCGCTCAAGGACGAGAAGACTCAGAGGGATATTCTTAACAACGCTATCGCCGACATTGAGCGTGAGTGTTCTCCACTTCCTACTCCACATAATTTGTGCTGACGGTTACTTGCAGAGCTCGTCAAAAGCAAGCAGATCTAGACAACTCCTGGTGTAGTGGCTCTAGATTACTTAGACGGATAATAAATCCATACGTTTTATTGTGTTGACGCGCGCACACTCTTTATGAAGGCTGTCGTTCTGCATGTTGTACCTTGTTGCCTGCCTCCTCATAAGCCTAAGACTTGAGTACACCAGCACATGTATGCCGTGCCCAATGCGCACCCGTGCGATGCCGCAAGCTGCTGAGGATACGTTGATGTGTCGGCCCGCGGTGGCCCATAACCCCAAATGTAACCAAACAACGCTCGCCGTGACGACGCGCCTCCGTGAATTTGCAGCCCGCGCGTGTCTCATAAGCACTCTCCCCGCCGCACCAACCACCTACATCCATCCTCCCTCCTTCATCGCTTCCGCTCACCACGCCACCCGAGTAGCCCAAGATGGACTCGGACCTTATCAAGCTCGTGAACAAGCTCCAGGACACGTTCAGCAACCTTGGTCAGTAGTTGCTTCTTCCCAGCGGTGGATGTATGCGAGACACGAAAGAACGCTGACATCTGTGCGTACGCGTCTGAACAGGCGGGGAGCTGGACATGCCACAGCTTGTTGTCGTACGTATTCACTCACACCGCGCGCCTCGCGAGCCATGTTGTCTCAACCACTTCGGAATGTTAGGTCGGGAGCCAGTCCGCTGGCAAGTCGAGTGTCCTCGAAAAGTGCGTGCTCCCCCTTCCATTTAAACACTGCCGTTCATCAATCTAACACTCCTTCCTCCAACCACAGCATCGTCGGGCGCGACTTCCTCCCGCGCGGCTCAGGCATCGTCACCCGCCGCCCGCTCGTCCTCCAACTCATCCACACACCCGTCCCCGAGCCATCCGCCGACGGCTCGACTTCAAGCGCACCCCGCGAATGGGGCCAGTTTCTGCACATCGACCGGCGGTTCACGAGCTTCGACGAGATCCGCAAGGAGATTGAGCAGGAGACGTTCCGCGTCGCGGGGCAGAATAAGGGCATCAGCAAGCTTCCGATTTCGCTGAGGATATATAGCCCGGATGTGTTGGATCTGACGCTGGTGGATCTTCCGGGGCTGACGAAGGTGTGTGTACCCCTCCTCTCTCTTAAGCCTGGTTCTGTGGTGAGATGCGAGAAGCTGACGAGACGTGCAGATCCCGGTGGGAGACCAGCCAAGCGACATTGAGCGGCAAATCCGGAACCTGGTGCAGGAGTACGTGAACAAGCCCAACAGGTACGCTCTTCTCTCCCGCCACGCCCCGGCGCGTTCGCTGTACCCTCGTATTCCATGGCCCAATTTAAACCATGCATGTGCAGCGTCATCCTCGCCGTCTCCCCCGCCAACGTCGACCTCGCCAACTCGGAGTCGCTCAAGCTCGCGCGGACCGTCGACCCGCAGGGGCGGCGCACGATCGGCGTGCTCACGAAGCTCGACCTGATGGACGCGGGCACGAACGCGCTCGATATCCTCACGGGGCGCGTGTACCCGCTCAAGCTCGGCTTTATCGGCGTCGTGAACCGCAGCCAGCAGGATATCAACACGGAGAAGGCCATGTCCGATGCGCTCGAGAGCGAGGCGGAGTTCTTTAGGAGTCATCCGGCGTATAGGAATATTTCACATAAGAACGGGACGCGCTATTTGGCAAGGACGTTGAACCAGGTGCGTGGTCCTGACCCCCCTGGACTATGTGTTTGTTCTGAACGTTAACTGGTATTGGTGACTGTAGGTTCTGATCAACCATATTCGGGACAAGCTCCCGGATATGAAGGCGCGCCTGAACACGCTCATGACCCAGGCGCAGCAGGAGCTCAACTCGTTTGGAGACGCCGCGATCTACGGAGACAAGAACCAGGTCCGTCACACCTTCCATTCTATCCCTTTCCTCCCCCTCCCCCTCCCATGCGTTGGCGCCCATATACTGACGCGCGCTTCCATCGCATCCCAACAGCAAGGCGCCGTCATCCTGCGCATGATGAATCAGTTCGCGTCCGACTTTGTCGCCTCCGTCGAGGGCACGAAGATGAACATGACGACGAAGGAGCTCTCGGGCGGCGCGCGCATCTACTACATCTTCAACGACGTCTTCGGGCACGCGCTCGCCTCGCTCGACGCGACGCACAACCTCGACAACCAGGACATCCGCACGGCCATCCGCAACTCAACCGGCCCGCGCCCGAGTCTGTTCGTGCCCGAGGCGGCGTTCGATCTGCTCGTGAAGCCGCAGATCAAGCTGCTCGAGTCGCCGAGCCTGCGCTGTGTGGAGCTGGTGTACGAGGAGCTGGTCAAGATCTGTCATAACTGTACTTCGATGGTGAGTGAACGCTGGGCCCTTGATCGTGTATCCCTTTACTAGCGACGTATTTGGCTGATGGACACGCGTGTAACAGGAAATGGAGCGGTTCCCCAGGCTGCACGCACAGCTCATCGAGGTCGTCTCGGAACTCCTGCGCGAACGGCTTGGCCCCACGTCCGAGTACACGCAGAGCCTCATCGAGATCCAGGCGGCATACATCAACACGAATCACCCCGCGTTTATCTCGGGCTCTGCGGCTGCTGCGAACGCTGCGAGCGCTCCGCCGCCCAGGCCCGCTGTCATGCCTCCACGGGTGAGTGTCGTCCCTTCCTCCCTGTTCAACGAATTGTAGCTGAGTATTACGTGCAATGTTGTAGCCTTCGAGTACGGAGCCCATGAACGGCATCGGAGGTCCCGACGACGAAGACGACGCCTCGATCGACGAAAACCTCCTAAACGGCTCCTCGGCGCGCTCCGCCGACCGCGAGCGCCCGCGGACGACGACGCCCACGCCCACCTCGTCGAAATCCAAAATCCACGGCCACCGGCACACGTCCGGCCAGTCCGCGACCGGCCACCTCAGTGTGAGCAGCGGCTCGAGCACGGGCTCGAGCGTCGTTGCTTCGGTGGGCGCAATGCAGCCGGGCACGTCGCCGCACTCGGCCAAGGAGACGTTCCTCAACTACTTTTTTGGGCAGAACGGGCCCGGGCCCATCGCGGGTCCCAGCGGCGCGGGCCACCAGGACGGCGGGGGCGGGCGTGCCCATGTTAATGGTGTGAACCATCCAGTGCCAATTGGGCGGGACGTGTCGAATGCGCAGAGTCCCGGGCCGACGGGCTTGATGGCAGGGAAGAGGACCCTCGACGGGAACAATGCGGCGTACGATATGCGGAGCCTGGGCAAGCACATCGAGGCGGTATGTCACCCCGCACGCTTCCTCCCCCGCATATATATGCTGACTCGCTTCGAGCAGGTCCCGTCCACGGAGGGCGGCTCGCAGCTCTCGATGCGCGAGGAGATGGAGACGTCGCTGATCCGGTCGCTCATCGCGTCCTACTTCTCCATCGTGCGGCAGTCGATCCAGGACCTCGTCCCGAAGGCGATCATGCACCTGCTCGTGAACCACTCGTGCCACCAGGTGCAGAACCGGCTCGTCGCGACGCTGTACAAGCCCGAGCTGTTCCCGGACCTGCTCAACGAGGACGAGGCACTCGTCGCGGAGCGCGCGCGCGTCAAGGCGCTGCTCGACGCGTACAAGGACGCGTTCAAGACGCTCGCGGACGTCAACCTCAAGCCGACGTAGACGATGTTGTTTCGTTCGTTCGTTATACACGATATCGCCATGATTTTGTTTGTTTCCGTATCGTTTATTGGTACTACCACGATTGACTATAGACACGCATTACTTTCTTCCTTTCTTCTATCGAACGTAGCATGGGAATAACCTTGCATGTCGAGGCTGGACGCTCCCCCGTTTAAATTCTTCTCGCGAGCCGAAGGACATGATTCTGGTGGAACGAAATAATAATTTGGAGGGCCGGGTTAGGTACAACTATGCGAGGCTGAGAATACAGGATTCGACGCTGCGTGTCTAAGTACGTCATGATGGCAAGAAACGAGAGAATGCGTTGTTGATAGAATGCGGAACTCCAGAAGGGACAATATCCAAGAACGCCGTGAGCCATATGAAACACCGTGAACCACGGATCCAACCAGAAAGAAGCGCAGGCAAAGGCGAACGCAAACGTGCAAAGCGGAGTGCAGCAAAGCAAAAAAGTAAATCAAGAGAGGTTCATCAACAAGGATCCGATGACGCAGGCGACGCATTAGGTGCAGGGGCAGGAGGCACGACAGGTGTTGGCTGCCCCTTGATGGAGACCCAGGGCTCTTTTCCGCCCGCGGACTTGCTGCTATTGCTCTCGCCCGACTTGACCTTGTCGGATTCCTCCTCCGACGTGATGCTCTCCTCCGTATCTGCCTCGATGCCTGTGCTGTTCTCCGATTCGGACGAGCTCGCCGAAGAGTCTGACGATGGAGTGATAGCCGCTGGTAGCTGTGATGAAGATTCTTGCTTTGCGGAGTCTGGTGGTGGAGCGCGGGATGCCTTCTTCGCCTTCGAGCGCGACTCTTTACGTTCGAGTTTCTACAGAGGGGGACATGTAAGACCTGAACGGGGGTGTCGGGATAGCTCGTTCAGATCGTTACCTGTTTGAGCTCCTTCTCCTCCAGCTTTAATGGATGTCAGCGCTGATCGGTTCATATATCGTACTAGGACATTAAACCTACCTCTTTAGCGAGGCGCTCTTCCCTCTTCAAGACTGTTCAGCGCATGTTCCGGCCTGACCATCACGCCAAAACTCACCTCTTTACGTTCTCTCTCTTCCGCCTGGGGCAGAAATTAGCTTCTTATTGACGTCATATACGAGAATGACCCACCTCCTTCCTCTCTTGGGCCTCACGCTGGGAAAAACAAAAGAGCAAAGTGAGCAAGTCATCAAACGGTAATTACACCCTGGACCTACCTCGGCTTTTTCTCTCTTCAGCTTCTCTCGCATCTCGCGCTCCTGCACTACCCTTTAAATTGATTACAGCAGTCGTGAGACATTGTCAAAAGTGACGGACGCGAAAGGGAAAAACGTACCATTCCGCCACCTCATCCACGCACTCACGAGGCCGGAGCTTGTTCTTGAGAAGGTATCCCTGCAGCGCGGCGACCTGTGAACCGCAAAATTGCGATGCAGATGCGGATGCGAACACGGCGCAAACACGGGTCACGGCGGGGAAGACACAAAACGAAACGCGCAGACCCAAGATCAGCGTGGAGTAGAGCTTACTTCAGCCTCCTGAACCTAATCTTAACACGAGGAGAGACACATACGCTGAGCTCGTTTTCGGGAATCGCGTCTGCGAACCCCTTCGCCAGGGCGGCAATATCCTCTTCCTCCAGCACGGGAACCAAAAGGCCAGACTTGCGCTCCGGCCCGGAGCCGGGCATGTTCTTCTGCGACACGTCTGGCTCCTTTTCCCTTTCCCTTTCCTTTCCCTTGTCCTTTGGCGCCTCGGAGCCCTTAGGTAAAGGTTGGCTCTGGAAGAAGCATTTGAAGATCCCCTCGGCCTGCCACTTGGTAGCGTGGGTAAAGTTGACCCACACGTCCATTCGTCCCGGACGGCTGAGAGCCGGGTCGAGGCGCTCGAGGTGATTCGTCGTGGCGAACAGCAACCTGTAGAACGAAAACGGGACAGATCATTGCGTGAGCGTCGGATCGCAGAACATGGCCAGGTGGTGCTCCCAGTCGTATGGAACACGGAATGAGGTGGGGGGTTGCACCCGGACGGGTGAGAAAGGCTTAGTAGGGTTTACTCACCGGCCTTCCGCCGCGGCAACACCGTCAAGACTGTTCAATAGGCCACTCAAACTCAGCGTAGATCCGTCGTTGGTGTCGTTGTTATTGCTGCTCCCGCTGAGGCCGAAAGGATTCACCGGGTTGGGCGCACCGGTAGACGAAGAGTCGCGGCTGACAGAACGCGTGAATGCCGCGTCCAGATCCTCGAGGAGGAGTATGCATCTGAGGAGGAGCAGAGTTAATGACCACCAGAAGGGATGATCACCTCACGTGTTTCATACCTGGAAGGTACGTTGCCCATCAACGTCGCTAATGTGTTATCACTCATTCTAAGGTGCAGTAAGATTAGAACCGTGATGGAACCTTATTGTAAGCTTTGCAGATGGCCTACCCTTTCGATGATAGGCTGACGACATATATGTCAAGGCCTAGTTCTCCGGCCAGTGAGTGTATCAACGATGTCTTCCCGCTGAGTGGAGAAGTATCAGAGGACCGCCTCCATCATTCGCACGAACTCATCGTACCTTCCAGGAACACCATGCAGCAGATACCCGCGTCGGAATGGGATTCCTAAGTTGAGGAGTTAGGTTTCATCCCTATCAAATAGCGGAACGGGGCATCTTTGACTAACCTCTTTCAGCGTACCTTCGGGGAGGTCATTAGTGAGTGATGGGCGTACGACGGGTCTAGGCTTACCAATCTTCGGAACGCAAGAAATCCTTACAATCAGCGAGGAGCATATCCTTGACGCCGGGCTGCAACACAATGGAGCTCATCGGTCGCTTCTGTCGGGCGCCGTTCCATCGCCAGCAGCCGAAGTTGCTTCATAGAGTGGGAGAGTTAGCCTGCAATAACATCCGTTTATAGCTGGAACGTAAACTAACGTGTCGGCCATAAAGATGTGGACTCGGTGTTCGGCATCCTTCTCGTACTCGCGCTTTGCTTCCAACACGAGCTGCTTGAGGATATCATTGCTTCGGGCGACAACGCTAACGGAGAGCTTCATTAATAACTTTCCGTGAGAAAGACGTCATTGATCCTTTACCTAATCTTGAGCATGGCTCCATGTCCGTAGTCTGGGTATCGTTTCGACCGTGTTATCTGTTTGGATGAAAACCCCCTTAAGGTTAAGATTTCCGAGGCGTTAGTTCAGAGGGCCGGAGAAAACGTACCCGAAGCCAGTGGCCACGGTAATAAATGGTGTGGGTAGTATCTGTGCGGGGTGATGACAGCGTTAAGCACGGGGTTTGTTGGTGATGAAAGGTTCAGTGACCGCGTACCCAAATGCGGCATGAAGGTAATGCGGCGCTTTTTCCGGCCTTGAATGAGAGCCTCGTCGTCATCATCGACCAACTCCTCCTCTTCCTCTTCCACGTCGCCCGATGTCGATTGAGTCATGCCGGAGCGACCAACTGAGCGCGTAGTGATTTCGAATTCGCGGCTGCGCCCCCAGGCTGGTTGCTGTATGCATGTACAGTCAGCGCTTCGGTTCCGACACGATGGTGTGTATGGCGTCTAAGCTCACCTTTGACAACCAGTGCATCAGCCTACAGGGGCAAAACCATCAGCTCTAGTTGCGCGTGACACGTCAAGAACGGACTCACCAGTCATACGGGTAATCATCTTGGCTGAAATGCGCAGTGAGGAAGAATGCTGTAGAGCTGTCAGTTCCGCGCGCAGGACCCCTGAGTTTCATGCTCACAGTCCACAAAGCTGTTCCATGCAGAGACAGACGCCCGTCTCGCTGTCTCAACTGTTCCGCCTATGACCACCAGTTTCTGAGGCGAGTGGCGAGGTCAGTAACGTGCGCAAGGGTAAGGGATGGCGAGTGGCATACGAGAGTATCTTGAATGGCATTGGCACCACCCATGCCAAACGTGGACAGAGTGCCCTTAAGCATGTCCATGGTAAAGGGTATTCGGAGGAGGGGTAAGGGAACAGGAGGCGTGCTCGGATCGAACTCGTCGACTATTTAACCTGTCGCCGATGGCCCATAGCCTCGTGCCTATAGGCTTAAGGGGCGCACCGCGCGGACATACAAGCAATGACGGAGTCTATTGCCGGTGATGCCTGCGGGGAAGAGCCAACAAACCGTGACCTGAACTGGACATCTGCTGTGGGATCCCGCAAGTGTTAATGCCCAGGAAATTGATTTGGGATAACATGTAGCCAAAACCGGGCGCTTCCATGGGAGATAAGACTCATTTATTTCGCCTATGCATCGCTAAAACTTTTACTTACTGGGAGAGTGATTGATTGTCTGAATTGACTCAGGTTTGGGTCGACCCCCCTCAAAACGCATTGCCAGCGAGGTTTACGTCCTGAAGTTGACGAGTCGAGAGCTGCATGAGTGGACTCGCGGTCCAGACATTGAGACATAGGAAGGCGGCCGTCAATTGAGAGAAGTGTGGCAAATCATAGACATGTTCATGAAACGTTACGGCACTCGCTTCTGGAGAACTCAGATGTCCGAGCCTCGGTGGGTGGACATCCATATTATAGTTATGATCGTGTCGGTGCGAAACTGTGCTTGATTGATTGAGAAGGTCGATACCCAGTATCCAAAAGTGCAATAAGAGTCAGACCTTTGATTTTGGACAAGCGTCTCGACTCCAGAACGAATGATGATGGCAGACTCGGGAGGCAAGCGCAACCCTTTGCTGAGGCCGAGAACGCCCTGGTCGACTTTCCACGTGATGCTGGCCAATAAAGGGACACCCTTGCCAACAAACCGCACAAACCACATAAACCGCCGGAAAGCCAGATTCAGATCGCTCAACCTTGTTGCGCCTCAAACACGTCCCTTCGCCTCACGTCTCACCTCACCAATCTCCTGGCAACTCCTTGCGAATCTGAATCTCTTTCGTCTGACGTTTGGCGCACACAATTGCTCTTCTTGTATCTGGTGCTAAAAGCCACAGCAATGGAACTGTTGTGGAGGTCAGCCGATTTCAGCTTTTCAAGCTCAGATATTATCTAACACTCACACCAATTCCCTAGATCATCATGGTACTGGGCGCTTCAAGTCCATTAGGCATCCACGTAGTCCTGGGCCTGAAAGCAGCTCCGACAGCCCTGCGCTGACACATGTGTGTGATTCATACAGCTTATGCTTGCATTGATATCAGCTAAATGCGCCTCGCAGCACCGCGGAAATTGAAAGTCAGCCCATGCTGCTAAGCAGTGCTAAGCGTATGTCGAGCACAAGAACCGTCGTCTGCTACACCCCGAAATGCAGCGGAGTGGATAAAGTGAATTTATATGCAGCCACGACACGTCAGAAAAGTCGCTTCTTGGGCTGGGCAAGTAAGGCAACGACCACGATTGGGAGCCAACCTACGGGAAACTTAATAACTGACAAGGTCGGCTGTTCCTTACTGATAAGATTTGTTTCGGTAGCGATAGAGCGCCCAAGGAACCGTCTAGCATGCACTCCAACATCCGTACAACGTGTAATACATGCTGTAGGATAAGATGAAACGCAGTCGATACACCTTGTCTCCTCTTGACTGTAAACTGAGTCCAAGTTGACTCACCTTTCGTCAGCGGGGACGCGTTCGGACTCCGACACCCACAAGCTTGTTGCCATTTGACCCTTGGGGCCGCATGGACAGTGGCGGATCACAGGAGAGCCATGGAAGCTACACTTGGTAGCGGCGTGTAAGCCGTGTGTATCGATGAGCCGCCACATATGAATCTACTAACTCCAAGTTTAGCAGAGTCTCAGCACCTGGTTCTACCATATGAATGGTCTAGTGCTGGTAAGATAACCAGTGGCGTACCAAGGTCCGCTGTAGTGAATTGGTTTCAACTCAGACGCGACAGATGTTATAAGATGAAGCCGCCTGTGCGGTGTCCGCACCGTCGGAGCCGGTACACCAGCTGTCCAACCTGAGAGTACCGACCCATATGCTACATCTTCTTGTCGGTATCGTTACGAACGTTGAAGCTGAAAGCTGCTAAATATGTATACACAGCGTCCAAGTGTGTATGCGGCGCAACGTCATGTTCCCCCTTTCAGCGAAAACCATAGGAGAAGATAATGCTTCATCGGAGTCTTGCCTGCATTCTGATCGACTGTAGGTGTCGCTGAGAAACAAATGACTTATTTTAGACAGCAGGGCTGCGGCGTCGTGAGTAAACTGTTCATTCGTGCATGTCGACGAGCAATGCCATAACTTCTCCGGCCGAAATGTCCTAAGTCGGTACGTAACGTTTGCATCATGTAGTTCAAGAGTAGAGCATCTTTGTCGCCTGCGAACGAACATCAGATGACGCAGTGGGTGCGTCAGCGAGAAGACGAATAATCGTACGGCACCGAGATAGAGATCTGCTGTGGTTAGGTCGTCATCTCCGCCTATTCCAGAGCTAGACCACACTTTACTAGTAGCTGTGAGGGCCGACGTCCAAGGAGGATTGGGCAATTTCCGAGAGTATATGATTAGGAGCGGTCACCACGGGACAATCATCATCACGTTCTCACTACCGCTTCATCGCACAGCTGAAGCCAATATTTGTAGCCGCGGCCATATGGCCCGGTTTGGCCGTTGTTTATCCGACGAGGCCGAGGGCCAGGCAAGTTTGGCGTACTTACCTCAAGAGTAGAGTATATATCCTGGTGAATGGGCGCGAATGTCATCTAATCGCAGGGATGAACGAGAAAATGATGACCTTACAACTCATCTCAAATACGCCGAGGCTTCCCACATGGGCAAACCCTACATAAGCACATGCGAGAAGGGTCTCATACTGAGTGCAAAGTCATGAACGCGGCTCGGACATGAACACAGTCGCACACTGCATGTATCATGATAATGAATCCAGCTGACACCCCTAAGGTGCCAGCAAATAGCAATGAGCAGTCGTAAAACAACGTGAAGAATCTACGCGGAAGCAAGCGCAGGCACATTAACACTTAGTCGTTCACAGCCGCCGGACAAGACCGCGGCCACTCACCTCTAAGCCTCTAAGCCCAAGCAAGCCAAGTCAGTCAAGTCTAGTGTCACCCATCTCCATCTCGTCTAGGTCGCCGTCCCGTGGCTGCGACTGCGACACCACCAAACCCTCGTTCATCTCTCGTTTCACGCATAGCTGCTCGGCGGCGATAATTGTCCATGCGGAACCGGCGACCATAATGAGCCAGAAGAATAGGGAGGTGGGTATGGAGGCAGAGTAGTATGTTGTCAGAACGAGGTGGTTGAACATCAGCGTGATGGCAAAGTCGAGGATGAGGCGTGGGCGGCGGACGAGTGCATACAGGTAGTATACGCTAGATGATCCGGGTCAGCACTGCCAAGGAGGACGAAGAAGATCAAGAGCTAGGCAAAACGGAGAGCAGAAAGTCAAGGAGAAAATACGTACTCGGCACAACACGCAGCGAGCCAACAGAGGGCTATAATCCATCCCCGCGTCGCGTCCATCCCCTCGCTCATGTGCCCCGCATCCAGCCCGACGCCGACTTGCTTTCCCCCGCTCCACGCTGAGCCATACAAGCTCCATCGTTGCTCTCCAGGCATCCCGCTGTGGCGCACCGTCGGCCGACCAGCCATCTCCCGCCAGTCCATGATCATCCCTGTTGCGTTGCGAAGTGACGTCTGAGTATGGCCCGAGCCAAGCTAGACGCGGACGCAAACGCGCGAATGCGACGACGCACCCACATTAGCAGCTCCCCCTTGGTATATGAGCGAGTTTGGCTCCGAGAATATGGCGAGGAGAGGGGGTACTATTATCGAGAGCGTGAGGTAGTGTAGCGTCTGCATCGAGATAATCTGCAGGACGTCCGTTTAGCGTTTGCAAGCGGGAGAAGACTGACAATCTGAACTTGGGATATCAAGAGTACAGGGTCCCATGATGTTGCCGATTGTCGCGGTGGTGGCATTGCGATGTGAGGAGGTGCCACTGGGCCCGGAATGTGTCGAGCAGGAAAGCTGGCTCGGGATTCGGGAAAGGCGGGACGGATGGCGTGGCGGTGCTCATTTAACCCCTATTTTGAAGGTCAGACCGGGTGGAAGCCCGAACCATCTCATCTTGACTCAAACTATCACCTCTGCCGCGTCCCACCGCATCTCACCACATCTGATTAGACCTGGATGGAACCACGGAAGGAAAATAAGATAATGCTGATAGTGTCTTCGCCGATATCTTCAAGCGTTCTTCTACTTGGCCACATTCGTGTCACTAGGCTGTGCGTCGACGATGAGTATACACATCGTGTCAATGGTTGAAAAGGCGAGAATCTTGTTATCTGCAGATGAACACTACGCTTTTCTCACTAGTCTACGCTGAGAGAAAACACATTGTCAAGGAATACCCTCTGCAGACAGTATCTTCGAGTCTATCGGTTATATTCGAAGCTTCAACACACTGAGTCTACCGTATCTATCTATTCTGAGGTTTTCTCCTGTCCGCTCGCAAACTGCCAGTCAGTGTATCCATCGGATGTATGATTTCCGGCAAGATAGTACTTGGTCCTGTCTGGCTTGGTCAGTGGCAGATCTTCTTGTAGACGACGAGGGAGGTCGGGCTACGGATAGGGAGGTAAGCTTTTTATCTCCAAATTTTTGTTTCGGGCTGCATTTTCTTGAAACTTACGTTCGCAATAAAGAGCCGGCCAAATGAGATCAATCCACCTTTCTCCTCTGCCGTATCGAGTGCCTTGGTTCTGGTGAAGCCGCCTGCGGCGATATATGGCCGATCGCCCCAAATCTTGCGAAGGACGTCGTTGGATTCAGGGTTACTAGCGGCCTTGACTGCGTCATCGACGCCGTTGATTCGCGGCTCAATAACGTGGATATAAGCCAGGCCTCTCTCCTTGAGCTTGCTCACATAATAGCTGAATGTCGGAATAGGATCAGCCATTCCCATGCCTATGCATTGAGGTGAGTACAGACACTATTACTAGAACGTCCAGGCATACCTTGCCACTCGCTCCACGGGCTGAGCCGTATAGCCGTCCTGGAGGCTCCGACGGCTGCAACTACTGCATCGACGACTTCGAGTGCGAATCGCGTCCTGTTCTCGACGCTACCTCCATACTCGTCCGCGCGACTGTTGCTGACGTCCTGCAAGAACTGATCTACGAGGTACCCATTCGCGCCGTGGATCTCGACGCCATCAAAACCGGCCTCCATGGCATTCCTCGCTGCGGTCACGTACAACTGGACGTACTCCTTGATCTCTGGAACAGTCAACGCTCGTAGGGCCTGAGGACCAACGTCGGCGTGCCAGTGCTCCTCGAGCGGGATGGCGGATGGCCCGACGTGTTCGTGTCCCTCGGATGCAAGCAATGTGGGGTCAGCGGCGCGCCCGAACGCCCACAGCTGAGCGTAGATGAAGGACCCCTTCGCGTGCACGGCGTCGGTGATCTTCCATAATCATGTTAGTGAGCCCGTATATGGTTTCAGCGACTTTAAGTTTTCACTTACCTCCTTCCACGCTTTGATCTGCGCGTCGTTGTAGATCCCAGGGATGTTTGGAAGTCCACCAGCACGAGCGGCGATGATGGTCCCCTCGGTGATGAGCAAGGTTCCTGGCATGCTAGCGCGCTGAGCGTAATACGTCGCTGCTTGTGGACCTGGTACGTGGTCGTCGTACGCCCTGAGTCGAGTGAGCGGAGACAGGACGATGCGATGCTTTAGCTGGGCGTTTCCAACTTGGATAGGGCTGAAGAGAGAGGGGAGGTCGGAGGCGGTCATGTCTGTGATGGATACTAGTTATGGAGTTTGCGAATTCGAGTGTTGATATGCAAAATCATCACCGAGTTCATCTCTCTTTTATACCTAAACCTATGTGGTCGATTCCTTTGCTTATGAACATGTTTTGTCTTGGTCAAGTCTTGGTAAGGAGCAGAAGGAGTCGGTCTTACAGTATCATCTCGCCGGCCCTCGTCGATGCTTGTTATAAACCCACTTCATTCTAAGCAAGCCGACAGTTGTCCCGGGATCCAAGAAGTTCAAGCCGGCGGACTACTGTTTTGCCAGCATCTGGAAGAAGCTGATAACATCCGTTTTGACGCCGGACTTGCTGACTAACGTGGGTAACAAAACTTGGACAATGAGGTCAGTCCCACATGTTTGTGACCGACACGAGGCTGTGTCAGAGATTCTCTCACACTCTCTGATCGCTTTCGTGTCGTGTCGTGTCGTGTGCCGTCAATGGGGTGTGGACTATGCCAATTTAGACGGACGACGGACGATGGACGGAGAATGGTGTTTTCTTGCTTTACGTCCACTGGGGGCAATTGCCCGTGTTTTTGTACAAAACATTCAAAATGTTTTGAGGGACGCCTTCCTAATTGGGAAGGTGACCTTCCAAATTTGGAATTTTGAGCAAAACATTTTGAATGTTTTTGACATGTTTTCCCTGGAAACATCGACTAACGCCCCCAGTGGTCACTTTCTGGCTTGGCTTTTGACTTTATCTGTACCTTTGGCTGACTAGCTAGGTTTGCCGACGATCCGCGATTGGCGATCAGCCGGCGGGGCGGCGACTCTGTGGTGAGGTGTGTCGGTGCTGCGATTGGTACCTAGTACATACTCTTTTTCTTTTTTCATACGTACAATCTTTTTGATACTTGTGCTGCTGGTTTGTTTGTCTGTCGCTGTGTGTGTATAATTACCGTATAATTTCTCGTTGTATTACTTCACTTTCTGTTGTCGTCTCGTGGTGATGCTGCGGTGTGAACCTGATACTGGGATTTGGATGCCCGTGGGTGCAGGCCGCACCGTGACGGCCACGAGGCGAGCGCGTGGAGGTTAGTTATGTCATGGTATGAATGACTCGGAGTACAGCCTGGTAAGGTCTGTTTGGCTTTGTTAGAAATGGAAGGCCTTGCCTGTCAACCCATGGGCAGAGTCATGTCAACGCGTTTTTTCTGGCCACTTGTTGGGTTTCCATCGCTTTGCAACACACATCAAGTCCCACTAAGTATATTGGTATTCTTACAGGTTTCACGTCTATTTAACATGGATGTAGTTCTAACGCTTTCCAACCCTAGTTTACAGCATCTCTGCTCAGGCGTTCTCCAAGGCATCAGCAAAACCCCAGTCAGAATAACCATCAGGGGTGTGGTTACCAACCAGATAGAACTTGGACCTATCGTACTTCGTTAACGGGAGGTCTTCCCGAAGGCGACGAGGAAGGTCCGGCTGATCGGAGAACAAACTCAACATTAGCTGCACTGCGGGTTGAGGCTCTCATAGGTGCTCTTACGTTCGAAATGAAGAGCCGTCCGAAGGAGACTAGCCCGCCTTTCTCCTCCGCTGTCTTGAGAGCCTTCTCCCTGTTGAAGCCACCAGAGGCGATGTAGGGACGGTCACCCCATATCTTGCGGAGGACATCTGAAGAGTCGTTGTTGCTCTTGGCAGGAGCGTCTACACGTTCGGGACCAAAGATGTAGGATAGGTCGCGCTCCTCGACGACGTGGATGTAGGCCAAGTTTCGCTCTTTGAGCTTGTGAACGTAGTAGCTGAACGTCGGGATAGGGTCGACCATCCTCATGTCTGCGGCCAATCCAAGTCAGCTCTCAATTTTATTTCGACAGGACAGGATAAATATCACCTTGGAACTCGGCCCACGGATTCATTCGCATGCCCACCTTGTCTGCGCCAACAGCTGCAACGACCGCATCGGCGACTTCAAGCGCGAAGCGCGTCCTGTTCTCGATGCTGCCGCCGTACTCGTCTGTACGGTTGTTCGAGACATCCTGTAGGAACTGGTCGATGAGATATCCGCCTGCGCCGTGAATTTCGACGCCGTCAAAGCCCGCCTTCATCGCGTTCTGCGCGGCCTTTGCGTACAGCTGCACATACTGCTTGATCTCGGCGACCGCCAACGCACGGGGTGGCTGGTGTCCGTTCTCTGCGTGCTTCTTGAGCGGTATGGACGACGCCCCGACCAGATCGTGGCCCTCGGACACGATGAACTTTGGGTCGGCGGTGCGGCCGAGTGCCCAGAGCTGCAGGTGTATGAAGGAGCCTTTGGCATGCACCGCGTCGGTTATCTGATGACAGACCGTGTTAAGACTTTATTTCCACTTGCTTTTAGATCATGCTCACCTCCTTCCACCCTTCGATCTGCGCGTCGGTGTATATTCCAGGAACATTCGGCGCTCCGCCCGCTCGCGCATCAATGAACGTTGCCTCTGTGACGAGCAAGGTTCCTGGCATGCTGGCCCGCTGGCCGTAGTACGTCGCAGCCTGTGGCCCTGGTACGTGGTCATCATATCCTCGAAACCGCGTCAAAGGGGCGAGCACAATACGATGCTTAAGCTGGAGATTTCCGACTTGAACAGGGCTGAAAAGAGCATGAATGTGAGGAGTAGACATGTTTTTCGGACGATGGTGGATGCGTGCAAGTCTGGTATGATATGCCATCTTTCTCCAGGCTTTATACCTTAGCTCTTTGCTCGTGTTTTCCCTCCACTAACGTGGTTATCTAGGTTGACTTAGTAATTGCTGTTTGGTCTTACAATCTCACCTCGCCGATCACACCGATAATCTTTCCCAGTGTCCATCATGAAGCAATTCACCTCTACGGTCGGTCATTGGCGGAAGCAGGCAAGCTTGGGATAAAGACGAGTCATTCTCGCCAAGGTTCAGTAGACGCTGGCTCTGAAACAACGTTTGCTGACTAACTTAAGTAATATTAGATCTATGTCTGGGTCCGGTGGACATTTCTTTGGCAGTTCGGCTTATTTGTTCTCTGCTTATGAATCGTGGAGATGTGACCTCACCCTTCAATAGTTCTCGTCGCGCTTCACACGCGCCTTTAAGTGGGGAAGTTACAGGTCGTTGTGGCTCCAGGAACCCCAGTTTCAGTCCTGATAGGCTGAAGTACGGCCATCGTGTGACAGTGTATATTCCGCGCTCTCTCATGGCGATCATTAATCAACTAAACCAAGCCTCCTTCATCATGCATCAGGAACCAATAGAAGACTAGTATTGAAAAGGAAAACGTTCGAGTCAGCGCTCTTATAGCATACGCCCGACCACGCGAAAGGTGGTTTAACAAAGGCCAAGTGCATGAATTTCGCTAGTACGCTTTAGGTTTTTCGCTGCCGTATACCATGAACTGATTTTGTATTCTCATCATTCCATACCAATGCTTCATATACTTCTAAGAAGGGAAAAACATCTACCACTCGTGCACTTGTCATATCGTACGTCTCCGCTATTGAAGAGCTTGATTAAGATTCAAAGCCTCGTGGATACTCCCGCAAACTCCCAGTCGGTGTAACCTTCAGGAGTATGGTTACCAACGAGATAGAACTTCGTTCTGTCAGGCTCGGTCATTGGCAGGTTATCTTGCAGGCGGTGGGGAAGATCAGGCTTCAGTGAGATACATTAGCGCGCTTTTCGAAAAAATTGATGCGGAGTACACACGTTGGAAATGAAGAGCGACCCGAAGGCGACCAATCCGCCCTTTTCCTCCGCCACCTTGAGAGCCTTGGCTCTGGTGAAGCCAGCAGCAGCTATGTAAGGGCGTTCGCCCCATACCTTGCGAATAGGATCATTGGACTCTACCCCGCCTCCTTCCTCAGAATAACCGGGGCCATGAATACGCGGCTCGGTAACGTGGATATATGCCAAGCCGTATTCCTTGAGCTTGCTAACGAGGTATGTGAACGTTGGAATTGGATCGGCCATCCTCATATCTAGTCGTCATTCCAGGTTAACTCACTCGACCATTATGGAGAGATAATGTCTACCTTGAAATTCGCTGTATGGGCTCATACGAAATCCTATCCTCGACGCACCAACGGCCGTGACAACGGCATCGACAACTTCGAGCGCAAAACGTGCTCTGTTCTCAATGCTCCCGCCGTACTCGTCAATGCGATTGTTGCTGACGTCTTGGAGAAACTGATCAATGAGGTATCCGCTCCCCCCAAGGATCTCGACGCCATCAAAGCCAGCCTTGATTGCATTCTTCGCCGCACGTGCGTACAGCTGCGCGTACTCCTTGATCTCAGGGATGGACAGTGCGCGAGGGGGTTCAGGTCGATGGTGAGCATCCACATGACCGTATTTAGTGAGAGGAATGGACGATGCGCCGACTAGGTCGTGTCCGTGGGAGGCGAGAAATTCGGAATTAGCAGTGCGACCAAGTGCCCAAAGTTGGAGGTAGATGTAGGAGCCCTTCGAGTGTACGGCGTCTGTGACCTAAAAATGTTCTCGCTGAGGGTGCGTCTACAAATTCCGAGAGGGACACTTACCGCCTTCCAGGCCTCAATCTGAGCCTCGGTATATATCCCAGGAACGTTCGGCAACCCACCAGCCTGCGGGGCGATGAACGTCCCTCTGTAATGAGCAATGTCCCTGGGGTACTGCTGCGTTGGGCATAGTACGTTGCAGCTTGAGGGCCGTGTACGTGGTCATCATATGCTCTGAAACGCGTAAGTGGTGCAAGGACAACGCGATGCTTCAAGTCCAAGTCACCGACGTAGATAGGTTTGAAGAGTGCGGGAACATCGGAAGCTGCCATGTTTGTCAGACAAAGAAATACCTCGGCGTGCCTTTGCTGCTCAGGATTTGTACTTCCGGAGCATACAGCACAAACATATATAAATGAGCGCTGAAAACAGAGTCTGTTCTTTGGGAGCTAGGTTAGCAAACGTGACTTTCAGCTCGAGACATTGACTCGGGCTGACGACATGTCGCCGAGCCTATCAGATTATACTTTACCACTACACTTTGTAAGCTCGTATATGTTGCAATCGCCTAGGTTGACTCATATGTCTCAGCAACAAGCGTTTGGGGTAACGCATGGTTTATGCCATGCCTGCTACACATGCGCGCCGGTTCCGACCAGGAGCGTGCTGAGTTAGCATGGAAGTTATTTTGCGTAAGACTGCTCGGTCTTGCACCATCATCACCGAGGAAATCGTGAGTATCTCAAGTCTCCCACCACTACGTAAGCTCACCGATGCAATGATGCCATTTTTAAAGGAGGCGCGACGTATGACAAGTCGCGGATGAAAGTAGTGAAGGAGAGGAAATGTTGATGCATGAATGCATGACGCGTGACGCGTTGAGGCGCGTCAAGCGTGCGAATAAATGCAGATTATCGCCGGCAGTGACCCCTATTTCCTCTCTTCTCAATCTCTTCTCGTCGCCAAAGGGGCGACTTGTTGTTTCTGCTACTCACTGATCAAAATCAAAGTCCCCTTAATGGTACATTAACACTTCGTTTTTATTAAGACCGCATGCTAGGTCAAGTGGTTAATAAGGCACTAAAAGGCTGCCAGAATGCATCACAGACTCGGAGGCATCAGGTTGGTCTTCCAAATCAACAGCAGGAGAGGCCAGTGAATATTTGATCACTACTCTATTCGTAGCGTGCCGTGCATGCTTGATATCCTAAAAAGTGTTTGACCCACTCATGTGGGAAACACTACTTGGATCCCAATCGGTCTTGTACGCTTCTCGCGAACACAAGGACTTTAGATGAGCAAGCATACACGTATGAGACTGGTCAAGACTGATTAACCTTGAAGTACATCATGAAGTGTAACAAAGTTTTCACCATTGGACTAAGAATCACACTTCAGTTGAGAAAATTAGGATACCATGACGCGCTGATCCTCACAATATCACCTACTTTAGCCGGAGTCGCACTGTCACATACATTAATTTGCCTACGAGGGCGCGCAGCACAGTTTAGAGGGAGTGACGGCACAAGGCTAGTACGTAAGTCTAGCATCTACAGAGAAACAGGCGACGCAGCCCGTTCTACACCAGGAGGGAGACGATTTCTCGTAGGCATCTTGAACCAGAAAAGGTCCTGATTGGGCCGACAAAGAGCAAGGTAAGCACCCTCAATAACACTAAAGTGCTCTTCTCCCGGCAATATCTGGTCAGGCGTAAACCCCATGTTGGCCTCCCAGCTTTGGAGGCGTCCAGCGCACAAAGTCGAGAGGGTTCCTGGTAGGGAAGCAACATCGAAGGAGAACCCGAGTTCCGAGGAGTTGATAGCTATCTTCGCGTCCATGTCGTAAATGTCCAAGCAGAATTGACCCTCCCCTTCAAGACCTCCGTCCCATATTCTAATCACAAGGCCTCTCGTGTCGGGGATGCGGACAATACGAACGTGCTCCCTGCTGGGGTCTGCGTCTGGCCGTGGTTTCATCTGTAATTGCAGAGGTGAATGTTGGCGGAGACTAGACAGCGGAGAACGTACACCATGGCAATTGATCTTTCCACCGTTGCGATCAAGGTGCCCCTCCAATATTGCGTCATATTCGCGCCTGTGATCCGCGAGCTGTGATTCTGGTATATGGAGGAGTCGAAGGTAACCATTCAGCTGGTCGTCGGAAAGGTAGACTTTATCAAAAGCAGGGATATCCCCCCATGTGTCATCTATGTACTTCTCCCAACGATTACGCGTGGCTCTCGGCCTGCGCGTTGATGTCGCTCCGGATGGCTTGCTGGATGTCGGCGCATTATCCCGGACGCTGCATGCGGGCTATATTCCGAGTGACCGTCAACAGTGACTTCTGACGCAAGTGACTATCTGATCTTCGGTTTCTGGGCTCGAGGCATGGTGTGTCTAGTTGTAGCTATGAGTGTTCCTGGCAGGGTAATGTTGAGCTGAGGGCGAGGCGCAAGCAGGACGAGCTTGACAAGCAAGTTGACAAGAACGCGGGCTACCCAATATGGTTCATGTAGCAATGTTCCCACGAGCGCAATGGAATCAGGGAGCAGTTCAACGTTCAACGCTTTCAGCGCTGACGCGACGACGGGCAAGCAGGTCTACCCAGCACATACAAAGCCCTGAAACGGTCCCATACATTAGTCGGTTGATTATATTGATGCATAATGCGCGAGCTGTCTCTGCAACCTACATTTCTGCACTGACCCACCAGTGTCAATGCAACTCGGCATTCTCAGGCTCAAACTCAGGCTCAAAAGACATGACGGTTGGAAATCATATTAACAATGGTTGGGCTACATGTCCTGACGACTCTCTGCAACGACATATCGACGCGACCACATGCAAAACTGGAATTATGTGTTCAGAGACTAGAAATAGGATAAGGCTACATGAGCTACTTATTGTAGAGTTCTTCCGTAATGAACAACGTAACTACTCGATCGAAGGTACCATAGAGCCTAGTGAATAAGAGTGCTATCGTCATAATTGCTATAGAGATATAGGGGATGCAGCCCGTACACCAGCAGGCAGACGACGTCTTGTCGGTACTTTGAACCAGAAGGGATCCGAGTTAGACCGGTGAAGAGCAAGATAAGCACCCTCAATCACGCTAAAACGTTCTTCTCCTGGAAATATCTGGTCTGGCGTAAAGCCTGACCTGACCTCCCAGCTCTTGAGCTTCCCAGCACACAGGACAGTCAGCGTACCCGGCATAGAGGCAGCCTCAAGAGAGAATCCAAGCTCAGACGAGTTGACAGGAACTTCGGCATTGATATCGTAGATGTCCAGACAAAACTGTCCCTCATCCTCGAGGCCACCATCCCAAAATCTGATCGCCAGGTGACTGGTGTCGGGAACGTGAACTATGTGGACGTTGTCTTTGGCGGGATCATCATCGGGCTGCGGTTTTCTCTATGATATTTGTAGTAAGCATCGACTATCACATCGAAGGAATGACTTACGCCCTGGCAAAGACCCCGTCCCTCACTACCACCACTTCTCTCAAACTTCTCATTTACTGTTGCATCGTACTGACGTCGTTGTTCCGCGAGTTCAGATTCTGGTATGCCAAGTCTTCGGAAGAGGTTGTCCAGTTTCTCGTCGGAGAGGTACAAGTGTTCATACTTAGGGCCGTCGCCATACAAGTCATGCTTGTATTTTTCCCAGCGATTACGCATGACCTTTGGTTGGCGTGTGGAGGAGGTTCCGGAGTCGCGACGTTTGCTAGATTCAGCTTCAGAACGCGTAGTTTCCTGAGGAGAAGTTAGAGGCAGCATGCCGAGCAAGTAACGGATCCTACCTTAGGCCTCCGGGGAGCCTTAGGCATAGTGGACAATTTCGTAGTGATGGGCGTATGCTAATAGGGGCAACCTGGCAGTGGTGGTGATGTCTAAACGCGCATGCGCGCGCACTTGCATCTCGACGCGCTCGCGCTGCGGTCACATGTGAGGGTTCTCACGAGTTGAACTTTTTCAAATCCAGAACTTAATAATTGTGAGTCGTAATACCATGTATTCTGTTAAAATCTAAACACACATGAGACCTCACTAACATTAACATAGCGAGCGAGGGGAACACATCCTTCAGTTCTTATGTCATTGTTGGGAATTGGATTACATCAATTCATATAAAACATAGCACAAACATACTAGAACGTGAAAATTGCACTGGGAGTAATCACCCGCGTCAAGATGCGTCGGCGGCGAGCCGAAAAAGGCACCCTCATGATCCAATTTACAGTACATATAGCCGTCATAGACGTACAGGTGATGCGGGCCTTACCCCGTCAGGTTGATGGTATCTCACCGGCACTTTGAACCAGAAAGGATCGAAGTCGGGTCGATGAAGGGCAAGGCAAGCGCCCTCAATCACACTAAAGCGCTCTTCTCCTGGCAATATCTGTCCTGGCTTAAAGCCTGACCTGGCCTCCCAGCTTTCAAGGTCTCCAGCGCACATCACCGAGAGCGTTCCCGCGACAGGGGCTACTTCGATAGAGAAGCCAAGTTCGGATGAGTTGATCGGCACCTTCGTAGCCATGTTGTATATATCCAGGCAGAATTGGCCCTCATCTTCGAGGCCGCCGTCCCAGAACCTGACGACGAGATGGCTGGTGTCAGGAATGCGGACGATGTGAATGTTCTCCCTGGCTGGATCCTCGTCTCGCTGCGGTTTTCTCTGTGGTCCGTGATGAGCATCGACGAGGATGGAGAACTGAATAACGTACTCCTTGACATGGAACTTTTCCGCCATGATTGTCGATGTCTGCATTATACGCTGCGTCGTGTTTGCCCCGGTAGCGTGCAAAGTCTGATTCGGGTACACCAAGTAACCGATAGAATTCGTTCAGTTCCTCGTCGGAGATGTATAAGCTCGAGAAAGCAGGATCATCTCCGTAGCTGTCATATATGTGCTGTTCCCAGCGGTTGCGCATGACCTTCGGTTTGCGCGTCGCTGTCTTCCCAGGTGGCTTGGTGGATGTCGAGGGCGCCTTGCTCTGGACACTGCGTGCGGGCTAGAGACCGAGTGAGCGTCAACAGAGGCTTCTCTTGCAAGTGGCTATCTAACCTTCGGTTGTTTCTTAGCTCGGGGCATGTGGGAGCTAGGGATATACGTGACGTGAGTGTGTTGGGTCGGGGTAACGTTGAGTGGAAGGTTCGATGACAAGTACTTCTGAGCACGAACGCAACACGAGCGCCACGCGCATCCAAACGCGTCCCATTAACTCGACCATGTGATCATATTCTCACGGGCTCGCAGCGGATTGGCTGCCGGATCGCCTGCCTCCGGTTTCGTGGTCTTATCGCAACCACTGACTTGCAGCCCCTAGTTGCGAGGGCTTGGGGATGCAGCGGTGCGTCCGAGATGGCAGCATAAAATGGACAGTATGTTATTGTTTTGATTGCATCTGCTCCAACATTGAAGTCCTTACGCGAGTGCAGCCTATTCATCCTCTTACAAGTTACTCATTGGATATTGAACGTGAAGTTCCGTGTATCTAGTCGAGCCATGAAACACAGAGTAGACTCATCCTACGGTGCTCTTGTCCTTGAGTAGTCCGTGACGCGCACCATCTTATGACTCTCACTACACACGTGAGCAACATAGCCTTTCCCGCGATGGAAATGCTGGCTTGAGTTGCTGTGGATTCCCAGGCCGCGCCGTGGCTAGATTTCATTGGGATTGTCAAGCCACAGCTACTGACAATCAATGCAGTGGTCTTAACTCAAGCCTTCCAAAAGTGAGTCGCTACGAAAATCGGAGACAATTGATAGTGACACATCAAGGAGAGCGTGATGCTTGGGTGTTCACATCGTCGCAAACCTAGTGTTCTATCAAGTAGCCTCTTCATATATTAGTGCACTTGCATGTATGTGTTAAGGGAAACACAACGAATGCGAAGCGCAAACACTACTCTGGGGAAATAGCTCTATAGAGACCGACTGCTGAGACTAGATAGGAGAAGACTAAAATTCTCAGCGAACATACCGGTACAGGATAATATCAAAACCAGACAGCGACATCATAAAGGAATAGGTGATACAGCTCGAGTGACACCAGCAGGTGGACGATTCCTCATAGGGACTTTGAACCAGAAAAGGTCTGAGTTAGGCTGGCGGAGTGCAAGGTAGGCACCTTCAAGCGCACTAAAGCGCTCCTCTCCCGGTAGTATCCGCTCCGGCGTATACCCGGCGTTGTCTTCCCAGCTTCGAAGCCTTCCGCCACACAGAACTGAGAGCGTTCCTGGCTTAGGGGCAACGTTAAAGGAGAACCCAAGTTCGGACGAGTTGATGGATATTTTCGTGCTCATGTCGTAGATATCCAAACAGAACTCGCCGTCGTCCTCGAGACCGCCATCCCATAGCCTGATAACAAGGCTGTCATTGCCGGGAATATGGACAACGTGGACATGTTCTATAGTAGGGTCCTCGTCTGGTCGCGGTTTCCTCTGTGATAACGATTGTAAATGACGAGAGTTCAGCAGGCAAACAACTTACGCCCTGGCAATCAATCTTTCCACCATTCATATCCAACTGCTTCTCCATTCGTGCATCATAGTCACGTCTGTACTTCGCGAATTCTGATTCTGGAATGCCAAGGTCTCGAAAGAGTCCGTTCAAGTGTTCGTCGGAGACATAGAACTGCTCATATTCGGGTCCATCCCCAAAGGTATCATACATGTGCTGCTCATAGCGGTTGCGCATGACTCTCGGTTTGCGCGTCGACATCATTTCATATGGTTTCGTGGACGTTGAAGGCACGTTAGCCTTGCGTTAGCCTTGCGTTAGCCTTGCGTTAGCCTGGCCGCTGTGTGATCGCTGGAGGCTGGCCAAGTGAGAGTCAGCGTGAGCCACTCATTTATCTTAAATCTGACCTGGGGTTTTTGGTTCGCTCGGGGCATACCGAGCGTGCTGAGAAGGGCTGTTTAAGTATCGCTGAGTTGAGGGCAAGTTGACTTATGCAGAGTCACGGACAAACGCGTCACCCACAGTCAGACCACGTGCATTTGTTCTCACGAGTTCATGGTCGACGAGATCAAGCACCAGTAGTCAATATTTCAATGCTGCAGACAACGAGCTACAACGAGCAGCCATTATTTTCCACTTCCACATGATGTCATCATAGGAAAAAAAATTACCTGCTATAACTGCCAAACATCCCTGGTCTTAGGTGGCGGACCTAGAGTCAGTCAGAACTCCTCGATCTCTGCATGACAACGTTAACATTGCTGTAAAGTTCGTCAAGGTACTAGGTTCAACCAGCTTCCCCGAGCATGGTACACCTCCAGTTATCGCCTCTGGCCACTTTCTGTCCCACAAGCCGATCCCACGCAACCCAGTCTTCGTATATTTTAGGAGAACAGGAGGGATTTCTATACCTATGCCCCCATCAGGATTTTGACACGTGCATTTCCATGCATTTCCTGGTCTCAAAAGCTGCAAATGTCGTAAAAATGCCAAAACTCGGGAAATGCGCATTGTATCGTCAAGAGTAGGTTCGAAATCGGTAGGGCGCCGTGTGCCTCTGTAGTCGTAATTAGACCATCTCCGAGTGTATTTCCCATAACTTTCCTGGCATTATCAAAACGACTGATTCACGATTCGGGCACGGGAAATGCAATGCAAATGTATTCATCACCGGGATGTAGTACGAAATGCGGGGAAAGCTCATGAGGTCCATATAAAGCGGAACAGAATATCGCGAATTGTGGGATTAGTAGATAACAAAAACTCAATTAAAAGAGCAGTAAAGCGTGAAAGGGAGATTATTAGAGAGCAGTCCGAAAAGTTCTATGCGCGCACGAGGAATACCGTACGAAGGAGAAAGAAGCGGGGGGAAAGAGATGCAGAAGCGATGATACTAGCCACGAGAGGACGACCGGATGGAGTTTAATCTGAATGAAACGTGAGTGTAGAGCAACGGGATTAAACGGACGACTTACAGACAATGCGGCGGTAAGCACGCACATCGAGCTTGAATGACCGGGCCGGGCCAGAGCTCGCAGCCTGCTCGCCAGAACTAGCCTTGGGCTGACGAACCGGGGCGCTCGCAAACTGAGATGACATGGCCAACGCCTCGGCGACGCTCGCCCGCGAGCACCGCTCAACGATGAGGTGGGTATAGTTGAATGTTGTTGCCTCATTGTGGTCCTTCGAGAAAGGAGGGATTGAGGGGAGCTCCATGTCGTCGTCAAGGTCGTCTTCGAGGTGCTCCTCGTCTGGCTCGGGAACGTTGGCAGCCTTCTCCTTACCTTTGGTGGCGGCATCCTCCCTCGCTTTCTCCCTCTCCTCCCGCTCCTTCTTGACGCGCGCCCGCTCCTTTGCCTTGTAGTTGCTCATAAGCCTCTTCGTCTTGTTGACAGTCGAGAGGTTCAGGGCGCCCTTGGGGTCAATGCCCTTGATGTATCCATTGATGTCTCCGAGGAGCCCATCTTGGGCGAGCTTGAGTGCACGATAAACCTAGAAAAGGTGATGAGTAGAATACTGGAGGAGAAGGGGATAGATAATTACCGCAGCAGCAGCAAGAACAGTGGCCGCATATGGCGCATAGACGGGGTTCTTCAAGTTGTCGTACTGCGGAACGTCGACGCGGCCGACAATAGCGAGGTGATGGCACGCGAGGACGACGAGGAGAAAGTCACCTTTGAGCATGCCGGTTGGGCCCTGCAGATCCCTGCCGCTGTTCAGGAACTGGTCCTCATCGAGCAACTCCGCAATGTAAGCTTGCTGCAATTGGGGTGTGTTGATGCCTTTCTGAGCGAAGGAGGTGACGAGGGCGGCAATGGCAGTGGTGCCGAGGTTGCTCCGCCATTCGATGAGCTTCTTCTTGGCCTAAGCATTGGTTAGCGACAGGACGAGTAAGACATGTCAGCGACAACTCACCAAGTTGAAGACGGGCCCAGTCACCGCTCTCTCGTCTTCCGGGAGAGGGGTTCCATAAACCACCTGCCAGCAGAGCACCACATTCTGCGTGATCTCCACGTCGGACCAGTCCCAGACCTTCTTCGACCCGCCGAAGAAGTAAATCAAGGTCGGGATGAGCTCGTCGGTCCAGGCACCACGATTGTGAGCACCCGCCGGAAGGTCGCCGAGCTTCCAGACCAGGCGCTTGCTATCCTCTTCGGCAGTGTCGGAGGCGGTAACCTTGCTGCGCTTTGACACGGGTTTGATGGCGGAGACTTGAGCGTCCATCTAGAGTATATTAGCGGGGCATTATTCGAGCAAGCAAGCATACCATTTGCGTCGTACGAGAGCCCTTTCCACCCAGGGCTAGACCCTCGGATTCTCCATCCTCGGCCTCGACATTGTCAACGTCCATCTCCTCTGGTGTCCCGGCTTCATCGTCTTGTTCGGCTGGAATGGGGTTGTTGATGGGGTCATCACTGTCAAGGGCGTTGTAGATACCGATGTAAGGACTTGGAACCTCTTGTGCTTCCTGGAACCAATGCATGTCGGGGTCGAACGGAGGGCCGGGGCTTGAGAGATTAATACCGAGCTAATATACAAGCATTAACCCAGTGGGTAGCGTCAATGGAAACTAGCGACTTACCCAAATTGAGTCCTTCACAGCATCAGGCTGCTCATCAGGCTGCTCGTCATCCGCCTCAACGGCACTTGCTTTGCGCTTGAGATGACGAGAATGGGTTGTGGATGGCTGAGACGGCGGGGATGTAGGTGTCTTGCTGAACACAAGGAGGCCCTATAGTTTCCAGGAATCAACTTGCGAAAAAAATAAAATAAAAATATTGCTACGCTCACCTGTGCTTGCGGGGATCTTCCTGTAAGGAAGTCTCGTTCCCTTGCTACGTCAGCGAGCGTGTCTTCACTATGCAGCCCCATGCTGTCATGGCTGGCCTGATCTTGAGTGGCAGTGCACTGTGCAGTCTTGTGGGAAGAACGCTTGCTGGAGACTGAGGTCGTGGTACTGTTCGATGTTTTCCGTCCGGTTGTGCCAGAGCTGGAGGTAGAAGACGGAATACGGTGGGTGATGCCGGTACTAATGTAAGTCAAGTTTGGTAAGCATGAGAATCGCAGAGAAGTTCCGAATACTCACAGGCCACGGGACTTGATCCCAATTGAGGCAGCTTCTTGATGGCCCAACTTGGCCTGGGCAGTGTCGCTCGCTGCTTCGTCCTTCATGCTTTGACGCCTCGTCTCGATGTGGTGCCGCATCGTAGCTCTGTCTTTCCTCGCAACAACCTTGACTGCAGGCTGAGGGTCGTCGAGCTCCACTTCTGACCGGTATGAGGTGAGATTTACGCTGCTAATACTGACAACTAGTGTGGTACTGACCTTCAACGTTCTGCTTGGAACGCAAATGCCCCGGGTTCAAAGTCATCTTTGCACCTCCGTCCTTGAAGACCGTACCCGTGCTCTTGTGTACGCTCGCAGCTGCCGTTGAACAGGCAACTCTCTGGACCTTCCGAACAGTCTTCGGCTGGCTGCTTGGCATTGGCTTTGACCGCATCGCCATCTGCTGTCGCTGCTGCACTTCGAGTTCAACCGATGCAAGTCGATCAATGCCAGAGGTGACCTCTGCATCCCTCTGGGCATCGCGTTCGGCCTTACTGACTGGCTTCTTCCTAGTAGGAGCAGCCTTTACCAATGCCTCAATGGGCCTGGAGCGGGGGCGAAGGGTGCGCTGGGTTTCGGGAGACATGGAGGAAGCAGAAAGAGACACGTTGCTGCAAACGGGGCGACGTGGATGTTCAACTTCAACAAACGTAAGCTCTCAAATTGCCGTCCTACTACGCGGTGGCTCATTCATTTGCATTGCGCCAGCCACGTCAGCCCTTTGTCACCTCCGAATTCGAACACCCATGTCTCGCAAGCAGCACCAGTCGAAAAACAGAAAAACTCAGAAAAAACCTCTCAAGCGTCTGAAGTGTCCTCACTGCGAACGATACTGTGCGAACACCTCTGGCCTCACCCAACACTACCGTAGTCAACACGCTGGCGATATCGAAGATTTTTACTACCATGAACCTGCTCCCCCCACTCCATCGCCCTCACGCTCTCCCTCTCCTTCACGTTCGCGCTCGCGCTCTCCCTCTCCTTCACGCTCGCGCTCTCCCTCTCCATTGCAGTCTCCTTTCCAGTCGCCTTCACGTCGTCCACCCTCCCCTACACTCTTCTCCCCTCGCTCTCCTTTATTCTTTCCAACCTCGTCTCCTACACCCGACCACTATTCCCCATCCTCGTCCTCCAGCTCTTCATCCTACACAAGTCCTCCTCTGCAAGGGCTTGCTCCTTCCCCCACTCTGGTTCCTGAAGACTTTGACCTCAATCCCCATCCACTACCCGAAGGCGACTTTGTCCTCGACACCCATTCCCCATCATCTCAAGATGAAGACCAACCAGATTTCAACAATGAGGACCCCTCGGTTGGTGACGCTGTCAAGGTGGGACGCCTCACGAGATATTTCCATAAGTTCTTGACAGGTGCGTCAATTCAACTGGTTGTCTAAACTACTTCTCTGACATCTCAGTAGGCCGCAAATGTGATGAGCATGGCGACTTCCTCTCACCTGGAGAGCCTCCCCCACCTTCTCCCCCTCGCAACCCGAATGACTGGTCCCCATTTGGATCACGCCTGGCCTTTGAGACGGCGGATTTCTTCTTCCGACATAACCAGATGTCTGCCAGGCACATCAACTTCATGTGCCGGCTGTGGGGCATCGCCATGGCAAAGCACAATGCCGAACCTCCCTTTCGCGACCACAAGCATGTCTACGACACCATCGATGACGCAAAAGTTGGGGATATTCCCTGGCAATCATTCTCTGTCAACTACGGTGGTGCAAGGCCCCCCCGAAGCGTACCACCATGGATGGATGCGAAGTACGACGTGTGGTTCCGCGATCCTCTGGAGGTTGTCAAGAATATCCTCGCTCGCCCGGACTTCAAGGATCAGATGGATTACTCACCCCACCCTGACTACGACAACGATGGTGTCCGGCAGTACGAGAACCTTTTCTCCGGTGACTGGGCCTGGGAGCAAGCAGTACGTTCTTCCTATTTTCAAGATCTGTCTACTGACATCTACTTATAACTAGGATGAGATCGCGCAAGACCCAGCAACGCATGGATCAACGTTCGTTCCGATCATCCTCGGAAGTGACAAAACAACGGTCTCGGTCGCAACAGGCCTGACCGAGTATTATCCCCTATATCTCTCCATTGGCAACGTTCACAACAACACGCGGCGGGCACGCCGTAATGCTGTTGTCCTCATTGGTTTCTTGGCCATCCCAAAAAGTAAGTCTTTGTCCCGCTTTTGTCTTTGCAACTATCTAATATGTCCTTAGCCAATAAGACCTTCAGTGCGGATCCAAAATTCCGACAGTTCCGACGTCAACTCTTTCACGCGTCCCTCTCCACAATCCTCCAAGTCCTGAAGCCCGGCATGACCCAACCACAAGTCTTAAAATTCGGAGATGGCTACTTCCGACGTGTCATCTTCGGTATCGGCCCGTACATCGCAGACTACCCGGAGCAGGTTCTGTTAACAGGAATTGTGCAGGGATGGTGTCCTCGGTACGTCTATGCGAGTTTCTGGTTTTGTATCACGTCCTCAATCATATGGCAGATGTCTGGCGTTTCCCGACGATCTTGACAGTGGGGCACCACAACGGTGCCGACAACATAACGAGGCACTTGTGGAGTCACTGCCACCAGATGTCTTATGGGATGAGTATGGTATCATAGCTGACGTCGTCGTAAGTCATCACAACCATCTACCAGTCTTAGTACTCTATTGATGGGCGAGCACAGCCATTCACCAATGACTTTCCCCGTGCCGACATCCATGACCTCATCGCCCCCGATATACTGCACCAGCTCGTCAAGGGGACCTTTAAGGATCACCTCGTCGACTGGGTCGAGCAATACTTGCACAAAGTTCACCCCAAAGCGGAAGCCCTTCGAATATTGGACGACATTGACCGACGGTATGTTTTCTTGGCATGGTGTACATATCCGGACGCTGACGTGGCACCATAGCATAGCTGCCGCACCTCCCTTTGCTGGCCTTCGCCGATTTCCCCAAGGCCGAGGATTCAAACAATGGACCGGCGACGACTCAAAGGCCCTTATGAAAGTACGTACATTTGACGCTTTCAACAATTTTTATTCATCTGGTTTTGTAGGTCTACTTGCCAGCCATCGAAGCCCACGTCCCCCCCGACGTTGTCCGCGCGTTCCGCGCATTTCTGGAGTTTACCTACATCGTCCGGCGAAATGTCATCACTGAAAATGACTTCGCCATCCTTGACGACTGCGTCGAACGGTTCCATCGATATCGCCAAGTCTTCGTTGAGTGCGGCGTCAACATCTCACTCTCTCTTCCCCGACAACACTCCTTGCCCCATTACAAGTACCTTATCCGACGTTTTGGCGCCCCGAACGGGCTGTGCTCATCAATAACGGAATCAAAACACATTGAGGCCGTAAAGGATCCGTGGCGGCGGTCGAGTCGGTTCAACGCCCTCGGTCAGATGCTACGCACCAACTCCCGCCTCGACAAACTCGCAGCATGCCGAGTTGATTTTGATGCCAGAGGGATGCTCGCAGATGATCTCCTTGACGAAGAGCTGGAATTGGATGAGCAGTGTGCGTATACATGCCCCATTTCCCTTCATGCGCTTATCATCCCCCAGTCCTTGAGGTTATCGACCACATGCCTGAAAACCAACTCCTCGCCATGGGCTATCATCCCAACAATCTCCGAAACCGCGAAGCTCAATCTAAGTCCGTTGCTGCCGACTTGAACGATGAACTTGCGCTGGATGGATCAAGGAGAGTTCGCATTGTCGGGAAGATTGATGGGAAGGAGTTGATGGCGGAGGTGAAGCTGGCGAAATCAAGAGGTGAGTTCCTCCTCTATTCTTCCAGTTGCCACGCACGTCGTACTTACCCTGTAATCAGCACGGAAACGTCCTCGCACGCTTCCTAACCTTGCCAAGGAGGTTCATGAGCCGCAGCTGGTCGAGCAAACCCAGCGATTCCTGTTCGCCATGCTTCACCACGACGACCCTCGGCTCAAGTACGACATATTTATTCCTCTCCACGAGTGTCCCCTACCTCCACCGAAGATCACTGTCGTTAACTCGGCAGTATCGACCTTTCGCGCGCCAAGCGACAACTGCGGGACCGGCGGCCTGAAGCGTGAGCGCATTCGCTCTACGGCTTCATGGCGTAATGAAGCGCCACGCTACGACTGCGTTTTTGTCTTGACTGATGAAACGCGGCCCGGGACGCTCGCTATGGATGTTGTGCGTGTCCTCGCACTGTACAAGTTTGACATTGGGAAGGTGGTTTACGAATGTGCCCTCGTCCACTGGTTCGAATACTATAGTGACGAGCGCGACGAGGATACCGGCATGTACATCGTCCGCCCAAAGTTCAAAGGTAATACCCGCGATGTCTCCGTGATTGACGTCGACACGATCGTCAGAGCCGCTCATCTGATACCTGTATTTGGTAAAGATACAGTTCCAGAGGATTTCAAGTGCCATCAAACCTACGATACGTACGACGCGTTCTACATTAATCGTTTCATTGATCACCATGCATTCGAGCTCGCTTGAGCTCTTTTAAACTCTACCTTTGTTCTATTTACTCATAATAACATTGTGATATCAATCTCGTGCTCAGTATACGGATCTCAACAAAGCCTTTACCACACGGAGTAGCGAGTTGGACCCAGTGGGTCCAAACTACAGTTAGTACCAACCACCTGTAATAACTGACCGTCTGTTCTTGTATTAGCACCACTTTCCCGTCATTTCCCAACATTAATAGTAGATTGTAGTCTTTCACTGCGCTTTTGTATTTACGGGAGGGAGGGCCCGAGCAACAAGGACGGCAAAGTGCCGGAAATTAAGGAAATGTTCGCTTCGCTTCCGAAATGTCGGGAAAGTAACGTGTCACTTTCCTGATGCCGCCGTGTCAAATACGTGATGATGTTAAGGAGCGGCGGGCTAGGTGACGGTGTAACTTAGTAGTACTAGCTAGTCTTGTTGGAATTATCTATTTGACATCGCTCGCATCATGACGTGTCGTAGCTTATCTTATTATATCTGAGATATTCATGGTATATATTCCTGTCATAGTTAGTCAAAATCCTCATGCGATTGCCCTTCGGGAACCCTCCTCTTTCCTGGGACAAATGCGCTGTGCGTCGTCGCGAGCCCGTGCGACCTCGATTTTCTACAAGTATGTCGCTAGTATGTAAGTGTATCGATGTAAAAGGTAGTAGGCTATGTAAGTGCTCTGGTATTTGTGCAGTATGCTATTGATCTTGGCGTTCTGGCCTTATGGGTCCGACATATTACTAGGATGTGGAGAAACTGTATGTACTGGGTATCCCTCGGAGGTGTATATGACACGGAGGATTGTCTTCATATTGTAGGACGAGACATCACAAGCTAGCTCATCATGCTCCTTCTCGTTATCTAAGTCATGTTTGCTCTAATCCATTCCTTCCCACACGTCAACGTGTTTGGTACGCGAAAACTCAGGCTGCGCCGCGCGCGACGCGGCTCTAGCTGCCATCTATGAGCCACCATACCTTGCAAGAGTGAACTGATAGCATCTGATTACTATTGCACTAATGATCTAGACAGTTAAATCTTCTGAAGATAAACTAGCAACGGGCAGCACATAAATATGCGGGTGGTAATATGACAGAGGGTGGGGCCATTCACACTCTGACGCGCTGACCCTGGTAACATTGCCTATTGGATTGTCAGCCTGAGAACGACATTGTTACATATCTTATGTACTTACGGTTACGTGCACTATATTGAAATCGAGAGAACTGAACCACAAGACTAGTGTATAATCCTATCAATTTCAGACGGACTCAGTACAGAGGAACAGGCGATGCAGCCTGTTCTATACCAGGAGGTACACGATTCCTCGTAGGTATCTTGAACCAGAAAGGATCAAGATTGGGCCGACAAAGAGCAAGGTAAGCACCCTCAATCACGCTAAATCGCTCTTCTCCCGGCAAAATCTGCTCTGGCGTACAGCCTGTTCTGGCCTCCCAACTTTGGAGGCGGCCACCGCAAAGAACCGAGAGTGTTCCTGCTAATGGAACAACATTAAAGGAGAAGCCAAGTTCCGACGTGTTGATAGCTATCTGTGCGTCCATGTCGTAAACGTCCAAACAGAATTGACCTTCCTCTTCAAGACCGCCGTCCCATATTCTGATCACGAGGTCTTTTTTGTCGGGAATGTGAACGACACAAATGTGGTCCGTGCTGGGGTCCGCGTCTGGCCACGGTTTCATCTACGAGCACAAAGATGAATGCTGGCAGAGCGCATATAATGGAGAACGTACACCTTGGCAAATGACCTTTCCACCGTTACTATCAAGATGCCCCTCCCATAATGTGTCATACTCGCGTCTGTAATCCGCGAGCTGTGACTCCGGTATATTGAGGAGCCGAAGGTGTTTGTTCAGCTGCTCGTCGGAGATGTAAATTTCTTCGAACGCTGGCCCGTCTCCATACTTGTCATATACATACTGCTCCCAGCGGTTGCGCATGACTCTTGGTATGCCCGTTGGTGTCTTTCTGGGTGGTTTGCTGAATGTCGGTGCATTACCCCGGACGCTGCGTGCGGGCTACTTCCGAGTGAGCGTCAAAAATGACTATTGAAACATGTGACTATCTGACCTTCGGTTTCTGGGATCGTGGCATTGTGTATCTGGCTGTAGGTATGAATGTTCCTGACAGGGTTGGCGGGGTGAGGTTGACAGGCAAGTTGACAAGAACGTTAACGCGGCGGACCACCCAACACGGTCATGTGGTAATGTTCCCACGAGCGTAATGAGATCAGGAAGCAGTACTTTCAACGTTTTCACACCTATAACTCCCGTCAAATGATATCTCCCTAGACTGATGACACCTGTCAGTCTACCTATCTGGCAGGTCTGGTTTCCGCCGTTCCCCGCGTTCCTTCTAAAATCCTGCTGATTTAAGGGGACTTGTGCGTTTGCTGGCGTGTATCCCTCCCCTCTGTCAACCGTTGGCACTCCGCTGACAGCTGTCAGTCCCGTATAAAGCCATTCCACGTGTGTAGCTCCCCATTAAGTTCTAAACGCCCCTAGATGTCATCAGCACATGCCGGCCGATGTCACCTTGTCATCCCGACGTCGTCCAGGCCAGCGTGCTCGCCGTCTGCGACGACGAGCACGCATATCTCGGCGATGAGCGCACGTATATCCCTCAGATCTTATCTCCTGAGTGCCGGGCTTTTTTGTACATACTCTATATACCCTCTGCTATGCATCTATGTTGGACCACCCTGATAAGTGTCGCGTTCACCGTCGGGCACGGCATTGAGCTCGCTGGGGGGGACCCGATGACATCTGAAGCTGAGTCATGCAGCGGCCACGTCATCGATCGGCAGCTGTACACGTTGACGTGTGCACGTATCACGCGTAGATCGGATGTAATGGCCCCGGCATTGTTCCGCCGAGTACCTGTGCCTGACGTCGACAGCAACCTCGAGCTCATCGCGGGCGACGACGACGAGGGGCTCACCTTAACGGCCAAACCTTGGCCCCCGACATCGGGCCTTTTTTAGCAACAACGGCGACAGCGACAGCGACACCGTAGATGCCGAGATCGATCGTGCACGTCAAAGTCTAATTAATTGTGGGAACCTTTTGTTGTCGGCATGGCTATGTCGTTGTACTTTGTGCTTCCCGTCGTTGTTGGCTTGAACCGAACCGTTGCCCCTTGGGAGTCACAACAGCAGGCGCCGACGGTGACAACAACCCTCGGCTGAAGTGTATGTTTTCGGAGATTGCCGGGCCTGACATATCATCAAGCAGGTCCAGTCAAATGAATTCATAGCAATGACTACTATTGAAGATTTACGAATACATCATTACAAAGCTCAAAGGCCGATGGTAAGCCAGCACTACTACTTAGACTTGTAGGTAGGAAAACGAATAAGATTGAGATTTAATTTATCAGAGAAAACTACTTAGTCAGCCTCTGAGTCGACATCAGAGTCTTCAATCGTTGCGGGGCTGACGATCTTGCGATGCGAGGACGCCGATTGTGCAGAGGCACGCTCGGGGCCCTTGGCCACGGACTTCTTGTTGGATTTGGATGCAGTGGCCTTGGTGACACGGCGGCGCTGCTTTGATGTACGCTTACCGTCGAGTGTCTCCCAGAAGATCTCGTTGCGCTTGAGCATGTCGCGAAGGCGGCGTAAAGTCACCCTCTTGCTGATGTTGGAGGGGCTGATCATCGGGATGGTCTTGGGCCATCCAGTCAGCTTGGCGCCATAGAGCTCGACAACACCCTCCTGGTAGTTTTCGTACGACATCCTGACGTTGTCCTTCTGCGTGACAAAGCCTAAAGAGCAGTCTGTTAATATTGTAGCACGTGCGAGGTTAATAGGCACTCACGTAGGCCCTCGATAACCTCGGACGTAATCTGCTTGCGGACGTTGCCAATATTGTTCGATTCGCGCTCGTCGAGGTCTAACATGGAAATGGTGAGACTAATTTACGAGGATAGAATACAAGACTCACTTTCGTTTAAGCTGCACACCCACGACTCGAACTTACGAATAACCATATCCGCCGCGACCCCCAGCTGCTCATCAAAAAAGTCTTCGGAGTTGTCGGTCCCGTAGATGACCGGCTCGATAATATCGTCCACGTGACCGCGCACCAACATGACACATCCGTAAATACCCGCACGGGTGCGGAGGTCATCGAGCTGGAGCACGACAAAACGGTTAGAACAAGATAAGATAGACGAGTGAACAAGACATACAAGCTTGATGATCTTCTTCGTGGTCTCGATGGCGTCTTGGTTTGCCGCGTGATTGGAACAACGCACCGCCAACGCTGAGATAAGACGATGCTCCTCGAGGGCCTTGATCATTGCCTGCTCTTGCTCCGGGGTGTACACCTGTTCGCGGACGTGATCCTGAAGCATCTTGACCTTCTCCTGACGCGTGAGGCCATCTGCGGCACAAACATGAGTGATCAAGCTCGAGGAATGGAGGTGAAGGGCTTACTTGGATAGACCATCTTTGGGGCCTCATGAAAAACCTTCGCGTTCCAGAGCCGGACCTCGCGGCTCTTCTTGTCATGGGCGCGGAAGAACATTGATTCAACAGTCTTGAAGGGAACCGCGTGCTTGGTAGCCAGTGAGTCAATGATGTCGTCAGTGACGATGCGTGCCTTCACGTCTTCTTGCAAGGCGGCGTCGCGCTCGGCTTTCTGCTCGCGAAGAGCGTCACGTTTCGCGCGCTCCTCAACAGTGAGGGGCTTTGCGGGGGGTTTAGTGGGGATAACCGGGCGGTTGGGGTTGCGGTACGACCATGAGTTCTCGGGACGTTTCTTGCCATTGGCGTCGTTGCTGTTGGCGTCGTTGGCGCTGCCGGCGTTGGCGTTGCCAGCGCTGACGCTGCTGGCGTTGGCATCAGAGTCCTCCTGCCCTCCCTCCTCCTCATCGACCTCACTGTTGGTGTTCGCGGATAGAGTCCACCGACAGGCCTCCATTGCAACCTCGACTGCGGTCTTGTCATGGCTGGCGGAGGAGGCGATGGTACCAGTAGCTTGTTGCGTAGAGAGGACGGGCGCGGGGCCTGCTGGTGCCGTGAGAAGGTCATTTAGGTGAAGCCGGCGCCCCTCGACAGGAGGCTCGGCTGGCGGAGAGTGAAGAGGGGTCCTGCTGATACTGGCGGTATCTTGGTAAGGTGTCACACTTGCAATTGTCGAGGGCAGCGAGGGCGCGTAAAACGTGTCCGAACGCGTGTTTGAGGACGTGTTTGCGACAGCGTCTGGATAGTAAGAGGGGTAAGGCATGCTTGCAGGACGAAAAGACGCGTCGACCGGATCCAGGGGCATCATCTGCGGCGAGTAGTACTCGGAGGAGATCAGTATAGACACACAGGCCACAGATAAAATACCTACAGAGCCAGCCATCCAAGTATCATCCGTAAGCAAATCTGTAAAGCTGGACGCTGGAGGCTCAGAGCCGCCGAATCCGTGGAAGTCGAAGTCTTGCCCATTGAACATCTTGAAGAGTGGTCGATAGTCGAATCGATCGCAAATTTCGCCTTGCATATGCATATTTATACTGAATAAATTAATATTTTTGCCACAGCGAAAGCGCGAAATCAACATGGTAAAATGCGCGCGGCTCGGGAGCGGTGCGCTGGCACGTGATCAGAGCCAAGGCGTGTTCAAGTAGAATAGGCTACACACGTCGAAACCGCTGTCAGCATACTTGTGTGCTTGTAAAGACGCGGAAATATACACGTACTGCAACAGGGAGACTCGCCTCACTTACATGCTGGCAAGTTTCCGGCACCGTGTCTATACATATAGCCGCACACCTAAAGAAACAATCAGCTAAAGTGACCGACCTGGTGAGGTTGTGCAGCCAAACAATGATGCGAACCCAGTCGAAAGTGATTTACTGACCTTGAGAGTGACGACGACAAATGAAGATGAAGCAAAAATTAAAAGGGCGGCATTTTACGACATTGATGTCTTGCTCAGAAAGCGCGAAATGGGCGGTCAGCCCGCTGCGAGCTGGACCTTTGACAAACCCACTCGAACTGAAACCTAGAGTAAGTCAAATGTAAGCCCCAGAGCAAAGGATAATAAAGGAGTCGGCAAACAACCCACCAACGTTGTTGCTAAAGAACACTAACCGTGAGAACCATGTCCGTGTAGGCATCCGCAGGAGAGCTGTTGGTGAATGTTGAAGCAGATATGTTGCATTCGCATGCAGCAACGGTAGGTGATGAGGACTGGCATATGCGATAGCGACGTGAGCACTCAAATCACCGGAGGAACTTTCGAGGGAGAGACAATGACGGGGGGATGATCGAGAGGCGATCGACAATTTTACTTCCGTGGCAAATCCCGGCGGTGTCAATACCAGTAATTCGCGGTGACTAATGCCATATGACTCAGCGCGCCCTTGCCATCGCCTGCATCCGCAGCTTATCTCTGTTCACGTTGCTCACTTATCCTCGCCGTCCCGCGCGTTCCCTACCCGCACCCCCACGCGCCGCCAATGCGACCACGGAAAACCAAGCAACAGAAAGCGGAAGCGCAACGCGCAGCCACAGCGCGCTATCTGGCCGATCCTGAGTAAGATCAGCCTATTCGGCACTCTTCTTTGCAACTGAATCGAGCGGTAGGGTTCGCGCTCAGTACAATGAAAAGGCTAGAGTCCGTTCGGCATTGTAAGTTCTAGTTTCATTGGCTTGTATTACGCAGATTAGGTGGCTGATTGCAAGTAACGGGTCCAGGAGACGCGCTCGGTACGTTGCATCACTCAGTCACTCTTGCAATCAGATCTAAGTGGTACATCCAGAGCCAAAGAACAGCCCATTGAGCCACGTTCCTCTCGGCAATGCGCCTCTCGCCCGCGAGCAAGTGACACGTCGCCTGCACGTACAGAAGACACCAACTGTATTCATCCTCTTGCCATTCCCGACTTTGGTGCCGCCATCCGTGCTTTCGAGCGCTGGTCCTACAACTGGGGACCCGAGGAGATATGGGAGGACAGATTTAGGGAGATTCTGTGTGGTGCCACAGATGACGAGAATGATCCAGGCTTAGTCGGTCTTAGCACTGAGATTCAGGAGCATGTTGAACAGGGTTGGGTACTTATGGATGTATTGAGAGAACTTGTTGTACGGGGATCTGGTTCACGCGGTGTAAGTGTGCCCTCCCAATTCAGTCCCGATGTTTTCGACACTATGGTAGCATTGATCTCCAAGATACGCTTTTTAGAGCCCAAGGATGTGGAGCAGTGTCAGAAGGAGGCGAAGGAAGCGCAGTGGATCAAGCTTCGTAAATCACTGAGATAAACATACATCTTTACCAAATGACCTTGCTACACTAACTAGTAAATGTCGGAATACACACGTAATCCACTCAACGGTTATGCTTAAGAAGGTTAAGGAAAATGAGCCGGTTGTTGCAAGGATGCAAAAAGGGAGACCGACACTCGGACGCGTACATAGCGAACCCATAGCGAACCCATAGCAAACCCATAGCGAACTCATAGCGAACTCATAGCGAACTCATAGCGAACTCATAGCGAACACCTTTCTCCTACTTAAACCACAGGCCGAATAAAGTTTTTATTCAGTGCAGAGACATAGGAAGATAGTAATATATCTATTCTCAATACACTCGGGCCTTTGGCATTGGTGCTGTGCAACTCGGAAGTGCGAGTGTGTGTACCAGGGACCGATCCGCCGACATGCGACTTAGCACGCCGCGAGACGAGAGTACATGGCTTTTGGGTCAAATCCGTGCACCAACTACACGCAACGGCCGCAACGCACCCTCCTCATCTCACAAACTGAAATATAGCACTCATGCACGATCTCGGGCACTTGACTAGCATCTATACAAGCAACGCTAGATTATTCATGGCCTAGTAGTACTTACTGGGGGCAGTAGATAGCAGATGCACTCGCACATCCAGCAGTAGAAGTCACAGTTAAATTATAGTACATCGACGACATTGCTACATTACTGGTTCTAATCTGTCTGAGCCCAGAGCTCTCGTTCACTAGGAGACATGCTCAAGGTCGTTACTCCGCGGACTTCTTGTGATGGTTCCGACCAAAACATGGAACCGACCTCACGTATAGCGATGACAGCGCCATCGTCATATGCCGCACGGTAGGTGACCATGGCATCGGTGAGATTATCGTACTCTGCCCATCTTGCGCCCTCCACGCGTCGAACGCGTTGATGAAGTTCATGCCTACATAAAATACTCATATTAGCTTGGTACCCCTGTAGAGACTCGAGCTGATAACGCACCGTGTATAGAACACCCCCGTCTGCAAACCACGGAACACAACAAAGTAACTTTGGTTGTCTTGAGGCTCAGGTAACGGGAGCTCGGTGGGATGATAGACATTGAGGTGGCTGTGGTGGGCTGCATAGCGGCCGTCGAGCCACAAACGAAGCCGATGCATCTTTCCCTCCAGTTGTCGAGGGACGATATCGAAGGCCGGCATGCTAGACAATTCCGCACGAAACAATCATTCACATGTGTGAGCAGGTAATAGTGTACAATGTGACATACCTAAATGTCGTGCGCATTGACACCAGCTCGTGCACCCTGTCGGGACTGGCACTGCGTTCGTGACTTTCACGTCTCGATGATGTGTGCGCTGGCGATGGCCCGTGTGCTTCATCAGGCAATCGGGGGGCAGGAAGGACTAAGCGAATACGCCTGTCGTTGGTTCCATGTGGTGTCTGGGGCGCCGATGCAGGTATAGAACGTTCAGACGTCCTCGATGGTGGGGTATGCGTGGCTGGGGTGGAAGTACGTCGCTCGGTGTCGACTTCGACAACGACTTCAAACCGACGTGTTATGGTTGTTGTTGAGGTTGTTGTGATTCTGAAACAAATTGGAGGCATCGTGAGTGAGCGAACGTCAAGGGGAAAGTGAGTAATACAGGCATCTACCTTTCAGGAGCTGGTATGCTAATTTCCACCGGCGCGTCGGGGCACGCATTTGCTTGTGTCACGTGTGCTGTAAACAGAACCTCAGCGTAGCAAGAAATGCTGAATGACCTGTGTGGTCAACTGTAACAGATCAACTCAATGTAGCCAAGATGCGCCAGAAAGGGTCAACTCGGAAGGGTACGCGAAAATCATCCAGCAGCAGGACAATCCGTACGCATGTGCCTTCTGGAGTGGCCGGAAAAGGGGACAATGCCGGTTCAAAGCTGGGCTCGTTTCGACCAAATGAACTCCGGGCGGCCGCACGGGAGAGGCGCAAGGCTCGGGAACACAGTAAGTCTTTAGTAACTGCATGATTGTGGGCTGGCTTACCTCGAAATAGATATGACGGACAAGGAGAGGCATGCTCTCCTGATGGCTGAAGCTGCGCGTAGGGATACATCTCCTACCGCAGAGGCTAGCAGCGGGGATTTCCTCGATGACGGATACGATGCGAATGAGGTGATTGACGGCATGGCCTACCTACCCCTGAGCCATGCAGGCGGCGAGCTGCAAGAGCTTGCAAGCGGGTCAGCTCCTCCCCGGTGGGTATTCATCACGACGACTTGCTGTCGTCCGCAATGCTGAGCCGTTATGCAGACAGCGGCCTCGCGACTTGCGTAGTCGTCGCCTGCGAACGGTCAAGCGGGATGACCTGTTCCTGCGGCAGATGGACGAACTTACCGAAGCCTATATGACATGGGCCTTGGAGAAGAGCCGAGAAAAGGCTGGCCACGAGACCGATGCACCGGGCGGTTCCAGTGCCGACTCAGAGATGGAGGAAGTGGTACGAAAGACGATGCAAATGAAACTTGTGGATGTATTCGGTGAGTGCCGTAATGAATTAGACGCTGAAGAGCTTCTCTTTCTCACCACGCCACCTAGTCCTTTCTTCGTCCGCTTTACGTGTCCCCTATACTGGCAACGTTGCGCCTGCCATCGTACGGCAGGGCTTTATACCCTCGGCGCCCGTCGACCCAGATGTTGCTTTCAGTATCGACACCCTCGAGCTTTATCGTGTTATCAAGGGACGGAACCCTCGTGAATCCACACAAGCTTATGTCCGGTCGTTGTGTGACCTACATGAAGTGAGTTTTTTCCTGGCTTATCTCCTGTATCTCGCCGCTGAAGCATGAACAAAGGTCCCGTTCGAGATTCACTTGACGCGACAATTCAGCATTGCCTTCGACATCTACCTTCAAATCCGGGCCAAAGTGGACCAGCTTGTACACGTGGCGCTCCGCCGAGACTCCCCGAACTGGCGCCTCAAGCACGTCTGCCCAGCATGCATGTATAAGCTGAAGGATGAGCCCTCTCTCAAATTCGCACTCCTCTATACCATTGACGGTAACGACTCGCTGAAGCGGGTGTTCAAGCGTTCGAACAACATCAATGCCGACGGGCCCACCGAGTCATCCGAATTGCCAACGTTGCTCAAGGTTCGTACGGACCGGTACATCGATCGTGCGACGGTGAACAAGTGGGCAAACGCTCAGCTTGACCGCGCTCTCACTGCTGAGGTAACTATTTATCCGCGTAGCTGCAATATCTACTTATGTCTATATACAGGACATCGCTGCAAATCCATGTGCGGCTCGTTGGAAAAACATGAAGGAGGATATTACCAAGAAGATGTGGAGTGTCTTCGATGAGACGGGTATTTTTCTCGCTGTCTGTCGGCATGGGTTCTCCCTCCTTGTCGTTGACATGGTAAAGAGCGGCGAATTGTGAGTCTCGGTAGTATATCTATAATCAATTCCATAATTCTAATTGGATTACAGATCGAAATACCCGCTTGCTATCATTGAGCGCATGCTCCATGTGTTCGGCAAGAACCTTGGCACCGGCTACGATATAGGATGCAAGTTCAATACAACGATCGCAAACACGCGCCTAGGCGCGCTTGCCGTGCAGCTGGAACATGCTTGCCTGGTGGGCGCTTTCCATGGACACTCACACCGTCGTCTTTGCCAGATTGATCACCTCTCCACGTATGTGGAGGGCCTTGGAACAGAAGACCTCGAAGGGTGCGAGCGCAAATTCTCGCAGACTAACGACCTTGCCATACCCACCCGACACGCAAGTATCTTCCATCGTCAGCAGCACATCGACCTTTACCTGGAGTATCTCGACGAATTTGAGGTATACCCGAACCTTGGTAAGTCTCATATTTGTCTGCTGCAAAGCCGGCCGTATTTACCGTCGCAACGCAGTCACGTTTTTGTATAACAACTACCGGCAAGCCCTGCAGATCATCTCTGATGGTGTTCCCAGCCTACGTATCGCTATGGCACACCTCAAGATCACCGACACAGCCGTTTTCAAGACATGGCTCGAAGAGGAGAGGGTATACCTCAAGAGCCTCGAGAGCGAGCCGGTGGAAGAGACCACGCAGATGGAGTACTGGAAAGCACTAGTGCGCATGCAGGATAACGGGTACGTCTCATTCCTCGTCAATGTATACATATGTTTGAACTCTACCTGACATTCATCCCGTAGCACTGTGCTCCAAAAATGCAGAACCGAGCCCACGTGGATCAACACAACATCCAACGCGAGCAGCGCAAGCGCAGCACGCATCGCCGGGTCAAAAGTACGGCACGCCCAGGAAAACTACGACCGCTCGTGTCAGCTCGTTCAAGACATCGAACGTCGGCTCGAGATCAATACGAGGTGGACGTCAGCTGACGACGAGTGGCAGAAAGCCGGACGGCTTGTCGCAAAGCGCACATATCAGCGTACCCTGGACAAGCTTGAAGGCCTCCTTGTCGCCCGGATTCTAGAGATGGACCGTGCAAATCGACCGGGCATGGGTGAGTTTTGTATGCATTGCTGCTGTGCATACGGTTTCTAATATTTTCCATAGGCTACTCCGTACGACAACATGTCGCGAAGGCGCTACAGTCTCGCGCGGCAGCCATCCGTGCCGCCCTTGACCTCTACAACAAGGCCGCCCGCGCCCTCCGCCCTCCTGCGCGAGCCCTGACGTGGGAGGAGGTATCGAAAACCTCCTTCCTCAAGGACCTAGACCTGCTGCGAGACACGCGTCAAGATGTTTCTAAGCGCCCTTGGGCAAAGCCGGCTGCCCGTGCCGCCATGGACGACTACTTCAAGCTCTGCCGCGCGTACGAAGAGATTGAGCGCCTCAACGTCGAGATTAAGCGTGTCGCAACGTACCTACGCGACGAGGATAGGTATCTCAGCGCATGCGAGAAGCTCTTGCAAGAGCAGCATCCGGCGTTGGCACTGCAAGTGGGTATTCACCACCGAATACGCGGGCGGTGCAACGACATCCATAGGAAGAAGCTGAGGGCTATGGCGGCCTTGGAGGGATTCAACGGGTCTATCGATCCGGGCGAGAGCGTTGACATAGGGCCGGGGGAGAGTGCCAGCATCCCTGCCCCCATTGTTCCCCCGGCACTCCTGTCCGGTGCCGCCGCTGTTAACGTTGAAGTCCACGACAGCGATCTCAAAGATAACGGGGACGACAGCGACGATAACGAGGACATTGGGAGGGCTGACGATGATGCTCTGCAGGCCGAGCTCTACGATGACGAACCCGGTGATATCCAGCCCATAGAGGATGACTTAGACTTAGATACCCTTATTGTAGCAGGACTTAATGACGTAGCTTAGACATAACTATACCATTATCTTTATTTGATGTAGGCTAACAAGGTGCAAAAAGGCCCGATGTCGGGGGCCAAGGTTTGGCCGTTAAGGTGAGCCCCTCGTCGTCGTCGCCCGCGATGAGCTCGAGGTTGCTGTCGACGTCAGGCACAGGTACTCGGCGGAACAATGCCGGGGCCATTACATCCGATCTACGCGTGATACGTGCACACGTCAACGTGTACAGCTGCCGATCGATGACGTGGCCGCTGCATGACTCAGCTTCAGATGTCATCGGTGTCAGATTTACGTCTAGTATTCGACCCTTTACGGCTTTATTGGTTCATCCAGAAGCCTCCTGTACGGCGATGTTCCTCTACGAGGTCTACAAGTAAACACCGCCTTCATACGTCTATTCAGGCGCTTAGTATCCCATAGGTACTTTAAGCGCTTACGCACTCGTGTGGCTCCGCGTTCATCGCATAGGGCCACGTTCTGCTTACGTAGCCGTCCTGCATTACCGCGGGACTTGGACTGCATAGTAGTTACGAATACGGTAGTGACTTCACACGCTCCTGTCATATATATACAGTCGCTACCATGAATATCATCTAAGTCTTCTCTCTCCACCGAACGACTACCATTGTCAGCCTACCAGCTACCAAGCTACTAACTCAACCTTCAACACTAACTGCCCGGTGAGTTCGCGCTCTTA